CCTAACCCTAACCCTAACCCTAACCCTAACCCTAACCCTAACCCTAACCCTAACCCTAACCCTAACCCTAACCCTAACCCTAACCCTAACCCTAAAACATGCTAATGGGTGTATCTGAGATGTGACGTGATCCATGGCGTTCTCAACCCTCGTGTCGCGCCCTGTAGCGCCCCACCGGCCTTCTCATTTTATATTTGACAATGATTCTGATTACAGGCGACAGCCAGCGTGCTAAATTTGAATTTTTCCTGTCTTTCCTTTCTTTCCTTCCTCCTCTTTGACCATGCATTTCCCCACCATTTTACCTGCCAATGATGCGTGTCGCCTTTCATGCTCAGGCTTCGCGGAGCGTTGACGGCGGTTGACGCTTCCCTTGGTCTCCTTACTTTGCTCGCCTAGTTGGTGTAGTACAGGTCAATGAAGCTGCATTTGCCCCTCGAGCCCGATGCGGTAGAGTTGAAAGACTAGGACGAGGACGGGGGCGAGGGCCAGGGCGGGTTGGTGTTAATGTGGGCGTTGTACGCTTGGATGCTGCTCGGCGGATGCATCCGTCATTTGCGTCAGCCCAAGGTTTTTCAAGCGCCCAAGAAAAGAGGAAAAAGGGAGCAGACAGCATGGACTCACCCAGCCATAGCGAGCGCGCCGCCACCGAGTATTGCAACTCCCAGGCCGAAAGACTTTTTGTTCTCGGCCTTAGTCTCGTCGTTTGCCTGTTGCAACAAGTCGATATTCGGCTGGTCAACCTTGGCCTTGCGGGCGCGCTCGGCTTCTTCGTCAGCCTCTTTCTTGGCGGCCTTAGCTTCGGTGTTCGTCTACACGGATGGCGGCGGTGGCGGCGGGATCCTGCGCGCCGGAAGGCGTTGGATTCTTCTGCGCGGATGGCGGGGGAGCGCACGAGCCCTGGTCTCGCTTCACGAGGGCGGGCGTACTGCTGTGGCTCGCCGCTCCCCCCAAGTTGCCAAAGGGCACACTGCCACCATTGCCGGACCCCTGGGCGCGGCGGCTCATGCGCTCGGGCACGGGCGCGGCCAACGACGTGGCCGACGCAGCGATGAGCGCGATGCCAATGGTGGCGATGAGGGAGAGCTCCATTGTGATCGTTGCTCTCGTCAGGAGAGGGATGGACGACTCGACCAGCGAATGTACCGTGAAGAGAAATGCGTTAGGCGAGCGATGTGGGTGATGATCAACCTGAGGAAAGTAGGGAAAGGGGAAGGAAGAAATAGAAGAAGGGAGCTATTTAAGTGTATGCCATGGAACACATTCCCCCTAGGAGCGGGTGTGGCTATCACTAATTGTTTTACACCGCTGCAAGTGGTCGCAATCTGCATCGCGTAAGAGGTACCCCGTCGCTGCTACTGGAATCAGGTCTAACGACGACAGCCGGCTGAAGGATATGCACGGTGAGCAGCCTTTCATCAGGCCGTTCATGCGATCACAATGACGAGTTGAATCTACTGGGTCAAGACGGCATCAGCGTCGACTACCTCGTCTGCAAAATATGCCGACATGTATCTTCGTCGTGTCAGCTCCGGCTCGAATGCTGCGATTATTCACCAGGAGCAGCCAAGAATCTTGCAGTCGTGGCTTGATGACAGCAGCCGCCTTCTATTTAAATTATGAAAGCACCCCGGTCGACAATGGGGAGTAGTGCTCATGGACGACTCGTGCAAAAGGAGCAAAGGTGCCGGCATCAACCTGGGCACCGGTAGAAATTTTGTCGGATGCGGGGGACATGGGATTCAGAATTGAAAAAGGAAGGATTGCTCATGCCCTCGTACGTGGGTTCATGGTCTGCGAATGGGCTTTCGGATATCTGCAGTTGTTCTACCTGAGTGATGCATTTAAGAACGACCTCCCTCGGTTCTGCGAACTTGTCGATGTTATCCGCGAGGAGGTTCGTGATCGAAGCTTTGAGCCTGCCGAATGATGCGGATGAAAAAGAGTGAGGCGCCCGAGCAGCGAGCTTGGGTCCCCGCTCAACTTACTGAGATGGACCGCTTAGCAAAACACCCTTTGAGATGCTGGCGGATACTCTGCGCACATGTTTCAGGGGGCTGCGAATACACCAATGCTGATGAATCTCGTCACTTGAGATGGCCAACTCTTGCTATCCTGCCAGAAAAGATGATCCACCTTGCAACAAAGACCCCGAGCCACTTTCGGTCCCTTTAGGGTGCTTCAAATTATGAAGCCAATGGCTCACATATTGGGTTGGGGGGGGGGATTATTGCGGTCTGAGTGGGTTAAAGACATGCGATTCGGCTAGAGACTGGATACAAACATTGTTTCAATACGAATGCAACAGATGATTGAATGGAAGACGAATTTAAAGCAAACTTTCGATGACGAATACGAAACCGCAGTCAGCGACGTTAAGAGAAAGACAACAATGACTTTGGCATTAAGAGCTCCCCATCAGGCCTCTTCGCTGTTGCGCCTACTCAGCGCCCTGCTGCTGACCCTGCTGGCAGCAAAGCTCTGCTGTCGAGACGCGATACCGGGGCGCACACGGGATTCCTGATCAGAGCGTGCACAAGAGCTCCTGCGAGAGTTGGTCGGCAGCTTGGTGCCAGCGTGGCCCTTTTCATTACTTTGCTTCTCGGGCGCGCGCCCCAAGGCAAGATTCTGCGCAAATGGAGAGCGCTTGCGCAGCGCAGGGCCTTTCCAGTAGATGACGTAGACTGCCACGACCAGGCTGCGGGTAGCGGAGCGGATATGTCAGCGACAAAACGACGAAGGGAAGTGTGAGGTGCAGCTTTTGGAAACTTACAGCAGGGAAATGAGGCAAAGGATGGTAGATGCATATTGAAGAGGTCTTTCACCGGTATCTGTAAGGAGATTGATGGAAATGTCAGCTGCGGCTGGATCATTTAGCTATGCGTCACACCTACTTTCAAAGAATGGCGTGGCGGGAATGGTGAGCACGCCAGCGAGGAAGTCACGAGACCAACCGTTGCCTCCCGTGGCGGAACTACTGTAAGGACCGTACGCGCAGAGCATGAAATCAATGGTGCTGTCAACGTGAAATCAATTCTTAAAGTCAGCACTGCGAGTTATCGACGTGTAGAGAGGGCACAGACACGTACGCCATATAAATCGAATAATTGGCTATATGTGGGATGGACAGAGGTGATGGTCATGAGCATGATTTGAAGCTCTGATCGCGCGGTCGGCGCAATAGAAACGACTCACCAATCCCGATGATAGCAGCAGCGATCATAGACCCGATCCAGTGAACAGGAGGACCACCACAAGTGCTGCAAGGGAGAATTGGTGGATGGCGATTGCTTCGATCAGCAACTATCTAAACGGGCAAGAGGAAAAGGCGTTGTAAGGGAACAACCACTCACCCAGCGAAAATGGCGAGGCCGATTGGAAGGCAGGGCGCAGTGAAGAGCAACCACCAGAGGCGGCTCTCATACTGAGCACGTTCATCATCCGGTTTGGCTTTACGCTCTGCAATGTTTCTCTTAATGGCAGGGATGAACGAAAGGTATGCGAGGAGGTACCCGATGCCAATTGGAATGAAAGCAAGGCCAATTTCGACTGGACCAAAGTTCCATTGTTTGTAGACTAAGGCGAAGGACCTATAATCAAAGATTGATTAGCCCGATCAGGAATCACTTCGTTTCAGGCGGCTTTAGCTTTATTTACTTACTGAATGAACAAAAATATGAGGGCATCACTAAAGCCCGAGAGCAGACTCAACGTCAAAACAATGGGTTCTCGGACGAACATGATGAATGGTCGCTTATGTCGAGCAAATCGAATGGTCAGCCCAAACTCCCAACTCATATGCACTTTCCCGCTGAGAAAACTCACGGCAAAAGTGCGCAAAATCTCTTTTGGATCAAGCCTTTCCCTCAGAGGAACGAGCTCGTTCGGACCATAAATTTCTTCGCCATTTTTTCTGCGTCTCTTGGCGATGCGGTCCATAATGATGGTGGTACGCGTCTCTGGGACAAAGAAAAAGTGCAGAGCCTGGACGAAGACGCCGAAAATCAGTTGGATCCAGATAGCTAGACGGTGGATGAAGGTGACCAAGGCGTCAGCTTGCAAGCTTCCTACACTTTCAGCAATAAAGGAGTGCTCACTCCATCGCCAGTGAAGATTGGCCTGGACGAAGCCTCCGACGATGGGGCCGAGGACCGATCCACCAACACTGCTGAAGACGACATAAGCGACGGCGTACTGCTGCACGTCGGGCTCCCACATGTCAGCAATCATGCCGAGGGTGACTGATCCTCCGGCAGACGAAAGGCCGCCAAGCGCACGGCCAACCATGACCGAGGTAAAGTTGGGAGCGAGCGCGACGGGAAGCTGCCAGATGTTCACGAGGAGCAGGGACAGCTGGAGGATGGGCCAGCGCTGATGAAAAGAGATGACCGTTCAAATGTCTCAGGTCAGTACGTGGCGTGGATCTGTGCATTCGGACATACTCACTCCGAGTTCTTCACTCCAGGGAGCCCACAGCTCACATCCAAAGGCGTATAGGACAAGGAAAATCATGGCACCACAGCGTGCAGCTTGCAAGCTGACGTTAAACTCCGCAGAGATCCCATCCAAGCCGTTACTAAACGAGGAGATTTCATAAAAGCAAATGTATCAGTGAATCGAGTCGTGGATACAACAACAGCAATTGGACCACGCACCTGAAAAGCGACGTATTAAAATTCATGCTGACTTGCACCAAGAATATCACCGTAAGGATGGTCCACTTTTTCCAAGTGGGATAGCTGAATCCAAGCTCGTGGTAGCAGTCCTCCTCAGTGATGAAGAGTTTACCTTGTTCAATGGCGGCCTCCTTGCTCGGCGGCAGGTCCATATTTCCGCCGTCGTGCTGCGTCGCAGAGGAGTCGGAGTAAGTGCGGGAGGGCGATGCAGCCCTTGCATTGTCGCAGAATGAGGCAGGGACAGCCTTGCTATCAAATATGTCGACACCCCCGGTTTTTGTCACGGGACTCGGCGAAGGGTCGAAGGCTTGCTGCGGTACAGCTTGCTCGGCATCGGTTGCGGCCGAAGGCATCTCGCCGCCTTTTTTTCTCTTGTGCTCGCTTACCATCTTGTGGAGGTGTGTCTAGCTTTGCTCAGCTTTTGCCGGAAGGTTATTGGAAAGAAGAGAAATGGTTAAGGGAGGGGAGGAGGGGAGGAGGGGAGGAGGGAAGGAGGGAAGGAGGGAAGGAGGGAAGGAGGGAAGGAGGAGAGGGGAAAACACCAAGAGCGCCACTTTTAGGTGCAGCTGCTGCCGTCTTTTATACAGGGCTGCCCGAACGCAAAAGATGGAGGTGAAAAGTAAGGCAAGGACTTTTCGTACGTGCTCTTTAAGGCAGTACCAAAGTGACACAGAGAAGGTGTGCCAGGATGCAATGGTTGAGGTGGAGAAGAGAGGAGTAGATGATGCGATGGAGGTCGCCTACCTGATGGGGAGTCACCCGAAAAGCTCCAACCAGCTTGCGGTAGATGAGCTGATTCAACTCCGCCTACCTGACCCTCAACGAGCCATGGTACAGAGAGACAGCGGATTGAGTACCCATGTTAATTGAGAAACGGCTCCAATATCATCCCATCCTTTGGTCAGCTTGCACACTAGTGTAGAGGATAAGCCGGCCGAAGAAGTGTTATCACAGGAACAGCACCAAGTTCTCGGGTAGGATGGGAAGCCCATGCAGTGCCCTCGTCATACGAAGTACATAGACAGATGTCCAAACAGCTCCCCTGTTCCGATACTGGATAATGTCTTCATTGGCTCCCGTTGCAACGGTCGTCATTTGCCACACACTAGAGAGAGGCCGTTGGCAGCGTGGCAACCGTCCGGGTGCGGCGTGCGAAAAAAAAAACCCCCAAATCAGAGAAAAAAACCTGCAGTACCGCAGAGCAACGTCGTCATGCCGCCCCGTGGAGCATCGCTGAACAGGGGGGCGCAATCATTGTCTATTAAGCAATATGTATTGCGAAGTATGTCACTGTGGCTCACTTTCGAGCAAAGGTCGGGGCCTCCGGAAAACATTGTGTCAGGAGCAGGAGGTGCGACTTTCTGGACAGACACGACAGTAAATTCGTTGGGGACCAGATACACAGACGGAATGCGATGAAATGCCCGTGACTACTACTTATGCGAGGCGAGAAGGGTATAGCACACACAAGATGCGCTATGCGTGTCAAACAAGGAGTTTGATTGATGGAAGCTGAGCCCGAACTCTGTTTAATGCATTTGCTGGGCCCGACCGCTTCGGCGGGCGCTCCCGGTGACGACCAACGGGCGGTCGGTAACAATGCACTCCTTCTCATGGCGGCCTCCCGACGCCGCTTGATTTGCCGTCAGCGTGGAATCCGAGGCAGCATCACGGCTATGCTGAAGAAGGATCGCGTCGATAGCGTTGCGGCTGCGTCTGCATTACGCGATGGGTCGGCCACGATGACCAGGTTGGAAAGGACAGCAGGCGCACCGTGCGATAGGTCTGTCGTGGGACACCATTCATCATCATCTCACTCGTAGCCAACCCAAAATAACTTGTACTCGAACTTGCCGCAATGGATACGTGATTCGAAGATCGTTTCCGCTGACGAATGACATTGACGATGCGCGCCTTCTGGGGGTGACGAGGGCGGAGCGACGAGTCGATCGAGGATGACGCTGATCCTGTATGGTTCGAATAGTGTTGATCTCGACGGTATCGTGCATCCCCAGGTGTGGCAACTGAAGTCGAAAAGCAGAGTTCCCGATGCGCTTGAAGATCGCGAACGATCCTGCGAATGGTTGCGACAGTGCCCTCGATAGCCGTGTTTTGGAAAGACGATTTTGTTGCAAGAGAAGGAGTTGGCCTAGTGCAGGCATAGGAGCTTTGGATCGGAGGTTTTCGGCGTAGTACGCATGTGTTCCTTTGCATGCTTCAGTGCCTCTTGAGCAAGTCGTTGGGCTTCGCACATGTTCGACAAGAATTCCGCTGCAGCAGGAACAGAGGGCGTGGTAGGGGCCGTGTCGCTGCAAGGAATGCGACCGTCCACCATGCCAAAAGTTACTTTCCGCATGAGGCAGAAAAGGCACTGTTAGTAGCAAACTGTGCCATTGGGAGTCAACTAGCCCGGTCGTTCAGGAGATACTCCACGTAACATCTCAAGTATGCGTTCAACGTCTCAATGACTCTTTCGATTTGCCCGTCGATAGCAACAGGATACGAGGATGAAAGCTTTGATGTGACCTTCAGTATGTTGTATGGTGTCGTGGAAGAAGTGAGGGTCGAAGGTGGGCTCCCGATCTGAAATGATAGACTTGGGGAAGCCGCGATCGGCGAAGATATGTCACACGAAGTGCCTGGTTAGCTTGTAAGAGTGCTCCGCGCTGTAGGACTTGAAGAATTTGGAAGCCTTACTGAAAAATCCCATGATAATGAGGATGACGTTCGATCCATCGCTTGAACAGATTGCTGTGATATGTTCGCCTGACAATTCCTCCCATCATGGCGATGGTGTCCTGAGTGGATCCAGAAGGCCATATGCACGATGTCGTGGAATCTTCGACCTTTGGCAACGATCACACGTCGAGAGATAGTTTTGGACGACGCTCCAAAGGATTGACCACCAGTGGTTCCGAGTGGACCGAGAAGTGGTACGATGCCCTCCCTAGTGACCAGCGAGCGGAAGGTTATTTGCCAGGTGCAGAAGTTTTGGACACGCAGCTGAAAGAATGTAGATAATATACCCGAATTAGAGCAGACCTCCTTCGAGCCTTAATAGTTCAGAGAGCGTAGAAGACGAGGTGATACTGAAGAAAGTGTCGGATGGCAGAGCTGATCTGATAGGTTCGATGGGATCAAAATTCTAGAGGGGCTTTTAGCATTCTCCGGACAGTAGCCTCGCGCCACGGAGACCTCCACTACTTCGCTCACAGGTTCGAGCAACACCGCTGGTGGTGTTTGCGATGCTTGCCCTCCTTCTACGAGATCGAAGCGGTGAAACATTGCATCGGATTGGGTGCTGTCCTTGCGAGGCCGGTAAAGGATGGCGAGTTGAAACGGCATGACCTGCTCGCGCAAGCAATGCTCATAGCAAGGGAGCACCTTCGGGGACTTAAGCATTGCTAGGTACCGATGGTCGATATAGACGTCATGCATCTCAACCGAATCGACATACCTCCGCCAAATGAGGGTGCAGTCGACAATCGGTAAAAGCTCGGTGTCGGGCGTTGAGTAGCTGGCTCTGCTGCTTTGAAACTTCAAGCGTAGAAGGCGAGACGATGCCCGCGTCGAACCTCATGCAGCTGGCTGAGGACACCGACCAAGGCTACGCCTGAAACATTGGACTGGGGCCGAAGGCGGGGACTAGGGACCAAAATGCAGGAGCACAGGGGCAAACATGGAGGTTTTCTTGAGAGTCAAACGCTGCTCGGCACATGGGTGTTCCGTCAAAGATGGCATTCTTTCGGGGCTTATTGCCAGCGGAGCGATGAGCTTGAAGTAGCCGTCGATGAACCTTCGGGAGAAGTTGGCAAAGCCAAGCCTGCATAGCTCAAAAGGGTTCGGAAAACGCCAAGATTTGATGGCGCAACCCGTGTAGCGGAACATCTCGATGCTATCGGGTGTTACTGCGTAGCCAAGGTACTCGGTCTGCATGCTGTTGAACTCGCACTTTTCCGCTGCGCTGAAGAGGTATTTCTTGATCAAGCGGCGAAGGACATCGCAGACGCGAGCGTCGTTTTGCGACGGAGTGCTTGAAAAAAAGATTTCGTCCACAACGACCAATACTGTCACGTCGAGCAGATCCTTGAACATCTCTCGTTCATGACGGCCTGGAACGTTGCGGGAGCATTGTTCAAGCCAAAAGGCATGACCAACGTTTCGAACAATTCATGGGCATCCTGAACGCAGTTTTGTACTCGGCTCCCTTGCGGATGTAAACGATATTGTAGAGACCGCTGAGGTCAAGCTTTGTGACGCGCCTTGCACATGCGAGGTGGTAAGCGTATTGTCTATGGTCGGAAGGGATACCTTATTCTTGACTGTTACAGAATTCAACGCCTTGAAATCGACGCAAAGCCGCAAGGTGCCCGACTTCTTTCGCACGAACAAGATTGGAGCACCAAAGGGGCTCTTTCTTGGACGTATGAAACCCTTGCGCACCTTTTCTTCCAGCAAGGCTGCAAGCTCAGTAAGCTCATGACTAGAGAGAGGGTAGGGCATCCGAAAGTTGGCTTTGCACCTTTAAAAAGGTCGATCGCTTGATCGCTCGATGTGGTGGCAAGCGGTTGGCACCGGATTTTGAAAAGGCAGAGAGAAGGTTAGGCTAATCACGGGGAATCGTCTGCTTGAGATACTGCTAGCACACGGCTGAGCCTGTGACTTGTGCCGAGTCCCGAGCAACAGAACTGTCACTCGTGTCCTCCATTGGGGGAGCTAGGAATCCGGAAGCAAACTGGGGCGCCACAGGAGGACTCCTTGAGTGTTGAAACGGGATCCGAACGAAATTGTAGAAAGGGTTCTGACCGAGAAGCTCTTCTTCGAGCCCGGAACAAGAACTCTGGGAAATTCTGGAGTCACTGCATGCTGCAGACCCCGACTGGGGAATTCAACAAAGTGAAGTGCGTATTGCTGAGGTCTTCACTAAATTCAAGCGTGAGCTTCCTAAAGTCGAGAGCAGTATTTTGTTCGCGGTGAAACTCAAGGCCGGGTACGATCAGGTACCTATACCTATCCAAATGAGTGAAGAAAAATCTTCGAGGGAATGCAGGTGGCCGACATCAATCTCCGTTTGGACTTTGTGAGTCACGCACCAGATGAAACGTTTCTCCCATTAATGTCAGTAAGTTTACGCAAGCCCTGTAGCTGCTGCAGATGCAACCCATAATGTATTGCAAAACGGTTGTCAATGAAGCAGTCCATGGCTCCTGAGTTTACCAGAGCTCGAAAGGGAACCTTTGATCCGGAAGTGGTAGCAAGTTGGACGAGGACGAAGTAGAGACGACCAGTGGTTTCGATAGACTGCACCGTGCTAAGCAGGAGGGGGTCGAAATGACCTTGCTTAGCGGGACACATGTCAGCACGGCGATCTGCTGCCTCGTAGCGGGGGAAGGTATTGTTGTCGAAGCGGCTTTTCTTCTCTTCCACGGCTAGTGGTGCTAGCAATTCCCGTCCAACGCGGCCATGCCGATAGCGTCCAAAGCCATGTCATCCAGCGAGGTCGATTCCCACCCCCTCCTGCTTAGCTCGGTGCGGTTTATCGAAACCACTGGTCGTCTCTTCTTCGTCCTCGTCCAACTTGCTACCACTTCCGGATCAACGGTTTCCTGTCGAGCCCTTGTAGACTCAGGAGCCAGGCCGCGGCACACTACATATACCGCCTGGGGTTGGCGGGGCGCAGCTGGCCCTGTAGCCTAAGCGACGGTGTGATGAATATGTAGTATGGGGCATCTGTGACTGGGCGATGCCGGCCAAACACTGTACGCTCCAAAGCGAGCCTGATGGTGAATACTTCGGCTTTGAAGGTTCGGTGGGCCAAGCAGCGAGCTTACCCTACATGACACGCAGGGAGTAAGTGAGAAGTTCCTCCCGGCTTTGGCAGTTTCGGTGTGCAGTCACGCGGAAGCGAAATTCCGCGGGAATATCGGAAGCGCATCCGAAGGTGGGCTGCGAGAGAGGGCGAACAGGGGTGAGAGAGCGCGATATGGTTGGACGCCACCACACCCCTACCCCCACGTAGCGATTGCGGCGCGATACTAACCCGGCGGCCAGGAAGCAAGCGAGTGTGACATAGATTCGGCACTGGCTCCCAGGATCTCACCCTGTCAGCCAGCGGGACTGTGCAACCCATCGCATCGTTATCATATCTCCGTGGCGGCGGGTGTCGCTGCGCCTAGACATTGTCTCAAACGACTCATGGCCGCGTGAAGGATGGCTAATGAACACACAGACGAACAGCAGGTACACAGCATGTGCGCCCACTCTTTGTTACATGCATGCATTCGCTTGCTCGCCTGCTCTGCTTGCCACCCAAGGCCGATTCGAAAAGAACCCATCGACTGCCATGTATGCAGTCAATACATAGGTCCTCCAGCACCGGACAGGATCTTCTTTACTGATAATGATTGACAATCACAGCGTGTTGTCTCATCTCGGAGCGATCGCAAAGAATATACACTGAAGATAACAGCTCATTATCGCCGCGAAGAGCATGCCCTTTATAAAAGCCAGAGCGGCCTCAACGCCAGACGGCCTCCGCCGGAGACATCTTTCTTAGTAAACAGACTGGCCACGTCAACATCTTCTTAGCCAAGCCCCAGCCTCGCCCGGCCGGCATTGCACAAGATCTCCTGCGCTCCCACCCCTCCCGTCGCCCAAGATGACATCACCGGAAGAACACCAGGCCACAGAATCGAGCACCGGCTCGTTGGACGCCAAGGTTGCCCTCGGCAAAACGCCCAGCTCGCTGAGCCAGCCGCAATACGTGACACTCGAAAAGTATACCGACGCCCACGCGGCGGACCACGCGCTGGACCATGACGTCGCTGCGATCGCGCACGAGCTCCAAGCTGAGGCACTGCAGCCAACGCCCACCGAGCTCCGCAGCGTGCTCCGCAAGATCGACCTGTTGATGATGCCGATGATGTGCTGCGTCTACACGTTGACATTCTTGGACAAGGTGCGTGTGCGCGCTCAGCCCGGGTTTCAGCACACGCTGATATTCCCTTCATCTGCAGACAACCACCAACTACGCTCATCTCCTCGGTTTCCAAAATGACCTCCAATTCAGCGGCGCCGATTACAGTTGGCTAGGCTCGATTTGTAGGTGACGCAAACCAACGAGCCGAATGCTCCCCATACCTCCATCGATACTCACAAGGAACTACCTCTTTCTGTGACAGTCTACTTTGGCTATCTCTTCGCCACGCCCGTGCACGGGATCCTCTTCCAGAAACTCCCGCTCGGACGCTACCTCGCAGCCTGCATCATTCTGTGGGGCACGGTGCTCGCGCTGCACGCCGCGGCATTTAATTATGCTGGCCTCGTTGTCTGTCGCCTGTTCCTCGGTATCTTTGAGGCCGCAGTCACCCCGGGATTTATTATGATCACTGGCCGTTTCTACCGCCGCAACGAACAGGTCTCGCGCACAGCTATCTGGTTCTCCTGCAACGGCTGGGCCCAGATCCTCGGCGGCCTTGTTGCATACGGCGTGCTCATGCAGCCAAGCGGGTCGCTGCCCGTCTGGCGAGAAATGTTCATCATCCTCGGCGGTGTCACCATCCTCCTCGGCATCGTCGTCCTCGCCTTCTTCCCCTCCTCTCCAGAGACCTTCAAACTGCTCTCTCACCGCGAGAAGCTCATCGCTGTCGAGCGCATCCGCGAAAACCAGACGGGCCTGCACAACAAGAAGTTCAAGTGGTACCAGCTGCGTGAGGCCTTCCTCGATCCTCGCCTCTACCTTCTCTTCTTCTGCATCCTGACCCTCGATGTTGCCAACGGTGAGTTTTCACCGTCCATTAACCAGCGAACGGGCTCACTCATACAAAAGCACTCGTCTCCGCAGGTGGCACTAGCAACTTTGGCAGCGCTATCATCTCCTCCCTCGGCTATAACAAAAAGATCACCGCGCTGCTCGGCATGGCGACCGGTCTGTCGGAAGTGGTCGCTGTCATCATCATGGTGCTGATCGCACGCTGGACCAAGACCCGTTCCATCCCGGGCATCGCCTGCCTGCTCGTCGCGATCTTAGGTGCTTCCATGATGGTCGGCCTCCCCGCATCCCAAGCCAATGCTAAGGTGGCAGGGTACGCAATGGTCATGTTCTTCGCCATGCCGACGCTGCTCCTCTACGCTACGCTCAGCAGCTCCGTTGGAGGTGAGACGAAAAAGGTCACCTTCAACGCCGTCTTCAGCCTTGGCTACGCCGCTGGCAACATCATCGGTGAGTCCCTGTCCGACGCGTTAATCCGTCCGCTAATGTGCTAAATATCGATATTTTCATTTATTATTATTATCATCGTTGGCAGGCCCACAAACATATCGTGCCAGCGAAGCACCCAACTACCCCAGCGCAAAGGCCGCTATGCTGGCCTGCTTGTGCGTCGGTGGAGTCTTCTACGTGGCCCTATTTATTTACGTGAGTCTTACCGAAGCGGACCCCTTCCGCAGGGTCTCCACTGACGCGCCCGCACTTGACCTCTGCACCCAGCATTCCATCGAGAACAAGCGCCGCGATAGGCTCTACCCAATCGAAAGCGCCAAAGAACAGAACGCTACGCAAGAGCTCTCCGATCTGACGGACTGGGAACGCAAGTCGTTCCGGTACCCGTTGTGAAGGCCGCACGCGAAATAGGCACTTTGCCTGGATCACTACTATTGTATCCTAGACCATTGAGATATGTTGTACAGTTACCTTTTCAAAGGCTACATGTTGCCTCGTACCACAAATGCCCCTCGACTCTACGTGGACAATGAATGAGTGTCCAAGGATTCGCGGGGTCTCCGACCATGCAGCACTGCTAAAAACCATGCGCTGCTTGACTCGCATTGCTACATACCTACTAGTGTAATGAGAGTATCGCATACCACTCATGCCGCCTTGGTGTCCTCCACCGCACGATCAAGGCCCTCAGTAAGAGCATACCCAGTTGTGCCGGCCGCATCGACACGGCCGACAAGCAGAGCCTCCTCGGGGACAGTGTCTCTGTCTCCGGGGAGGAGGCATGTGCGGAAGAAAGCCTGGACACGGTCGACATCCTCAATCTCGACCCGCGGCGCAGATTCCCTCTCCGGGCGAACTACGATCACGGCACCTGCAGGGGAGATGTCGTACGCTTTATGAGCGCGATTGTGACCTGTACGGGGCAATCCACCTGTCAACCAACTTCGGGAATCGAAGAAGGGGCATGGGAGATTTTCACGCTTGCAAGCTCTTGCAATCGGAAACGATGCTCCGGTAGTCCTGTGAGAGGGCCTTCTTTCCCAGGCCTGCCGAGTCAGGCTGGTGCCATATAGTCGTGAATGCACGCAGGACCGGGTGGTACTTGGTAAGTTCGACTTCGGTGCGGAGTGTGCTGGATATGGCGAGCACGTCGATCACCACGCTAACCTCTTAGCAAGCAGGTGTGTAATGCTTTTGCATGTCTACAAGCTATTCAGCCAGTAAGTCTACTCGCTCCTTCTGCTTGGCATCACGGGTGCCCCTTCCCCAAAAGAGCACGATCATCCAGCGGCCATTGGAGAACATGGCATCGACAAACTACCACGTCGTGCATCATCACGGAAAACGACTTCTGCGGTGTTGAAGCCATTCCCAACCTCGATGCACGAATTACCGCAGCTTTTGGCTCTCAGTGATGGCCTGCTGACCATGCAGGGCTGTTCGGCCATGGTGTCAACGCCTTGGGGAGAAGAATCGCCAGCGTTTCCGCAGGTGAGAGAGGCGCCATAGTTTTCAACTGTGAAAAACATAGACTCGTTTCCTTTTTCAAAATCAGTCTGTTGGTACCGATGGAGCCAGCGTTTGTCGCTTTCTGCAAGTATCACAATTGGGCACGCTCGACACAGACCTACCTTGAACTCCGCGAGCGAGATGTCTGCTTCATCGGCCGCAACTTTGGATGACCCTCCTGAGAAGAGGCGGCTGAACTGTGCGACAAATTTGATCGGATCTGGCGCGATTTAACGGAGTTCAGCTGAGAATGTAGACAGGATGGAGCGAGGCGATTGCTTTTGATGACGCTGGTGAACCTTCCATGACGAATTGAAGGTTTCTGTACATTAGCGAGGATGCATCAGTTCACTTCCATGTGTGATCTTGTAAAAGAGCAGCTTGAATTACCCATCATCGACACATTCATGCCCTAGCTCCCTGTGCGAACGTGTGTGAACGCGCCACTTCTGCAATGGATAGTCATGGGGTGCCATGAAACCAGGTAACAGCCGTGTTTCGAACAAAGGAAGCCACGCGATGAAGATGCGATCACCCTGCGAGAATTTCTGGCAGGTGCGCTGTCCGATGACATATGCCGCCCTTTGCATGTGAAAGAAGAGTTTCGGCTGTTGTAGATCACGCTTAAACTGATAAAAGCGCATGAACCTTCAGCTAAGGGCATTCTCGCTGAGCTCGAGTGAGTTTTGTGAGAAAGTAGAATGTACGGGTATCAGCTTTATACGAGCCATTCCGTCATGGGTCAAACATGCATGGGTGTCAAAAGGGTCTGGGCGCTCTTGGAAATCAACTACCAGGTGGTGTTTTGTCTATGCACGTTTTTGTTCGTCCCATCTGAATGTGAACTCGAACAATGCCATCCTCTTGAGAGATGATTTGCGTGAAGTAGGAAGCACAAACCATGTTCAGTTCTCGAGCACTGCGTAGATCCGGCTGCACATCCACGACACAGCCGCTGCTCACCATAACTAAACCGTTGTAGCCCGAGTGAGTCGCACAACGCGTTCGAATGTCTGATAAATATGTGATGGGAACAACATCGAGAGCGCCTGAGGTGTAATTCGTCTGCCCTCCTTCCATCTCCCACCGATCTGCCTCAGGGCCCAGCTGTGCACACTGTCACGTCCGATGACGTACTTGACCTGGATGAGCTCCCTCATTCCGGGTAGGACGTGGGTCCCTGATCCCTTGTTGCGTATCATCAGGATTGAGACCACTTTTGCAAAGTCCATTTGGCGTGCTCTTGCTTATTCGGTCGGCGTGGCTTCCGCCTCAGATAATTACCGGACCTGCACCCTCACAGGATAGCTATCTTCGTCCTTAAACTAGCAGCGTCCCATGTAATACTTTTTGGTAAGGCGCTTCTTGCGACGCCGACCGTACTGCCTGATTTGTTGATGATATTTTTCAAATACAAATGCACGCTTCGACCTTGTTGGAGGACTACCTGTTCAAGGCGCGAAATGCCTGGAATCGTATCGAGAATCTGGCTGGTTCGCTTCAGCTTTCCGTCCATAGGGTTCTGTAAGATGATGATGGGTCATTAATGTATCAGGCAGCAACAGATAGACTCGCTCCTTACCCGGAAACAGATATCATTCAGGGGGTTTGCTATCACAGTTCAAGGTGTTTGTATTAGCAACTGCTTTATCACTCCCCTCCATCTGAGCTTCCGGAGTACTGAACACACAACTTGCTGCAGGAAGAAAAGGCCGTCAGATATCAATACTTTGAAAATCTGACGCCGCCACGCACGCCCATGATGTCTTGAGAGAGATCGACCGATTGCAAAACTTCGAGGGTGCGCGTTTGAAGACCGTCAATTGTGATTGAGGAAACTACTCATGAACGACTAGTGGCAGCAAAAATCACCGTACGAATTGGCAAACGGACTTGAGTCGGTGCAGCCCTGCACATGTGTGAGACAGCCAAAGCTCTCGTAAGCAAGCGTTGTAGAAATGGATTGCAATCTGCCCTGCACTCCGGGACACGCGTTGTGATTCCTCTTGTCGCAGCTCTTGATATCCTTGAGGTGCCGCACGGGCACGTCTGATGGCTGCCAATTGGACTGACTGGCCAGCGCCGGTGCTGACGAAGTCGTTTGTACAATGCTTGATATCTTCTGTCATCTTGGACTATGTCCAAGCTAGAAAGCATCACTCGGATACATTTCATGGTAACCAGTAGGACAATTCCAAGATTCGGTAGATGGGGCCTGCGGCTGACATGTTCCGAAAGGGGTGAAGAGATGAGACGCAAATGATAGCATTGAAGAAGGTGAGGCTACCCAGAAAAGCGAGAAGAGGGGGTCCATTTGTTACATCGCAAGAGCATGGTAAGCCCGAGCTGCAGCGAAAGGACGCATACAAGTAATCAACTGCTGAAGTCGTCGCTTTGGATAACAAGTCTTCAGCGGAGTTGCTCCGGGCGGTGAGGCCCACGTTTTGCTCTAAGCGCCTTTTTGGCCAGCTGTGCGGGCGATATTCTTTTAGAGTGTGATTCAAATCATTGAGGCCTAGAAAAAAGAGCTACTGCCCGCAGCCGTGCGTGAGCGTGTCTGCCGAGTGTTACATAGATACGCGTTCACCCTGCTCATCACGCTCACGCTCTCCATCGGGTCGGACGGTGGCTGATGCGCAGATCTCGCTTTTTGGAAACCGAGCCGGCCTGGTTGCCCATTGCCCATCGAAAGGAGGCCTCTCATAATTCTAGCATGCCTAGCGGACATTGGCCGGCATCGGATAGCGGCAGCTGTCGGAGGCTGCTGGCTAGGAAGTGGCTGGGGGCTCCACCGAATACCGATGGTTGTGTAGGTTCGCGTGCAGTCGCGTGCACCCTTGCGGTGTGTATGTATGTATGTATGTATGTATGTATGTATGTATGTATGTATGTATGTATGTATGTATGTATGTATGTATCTATCTATCTATCTATCTATCTATCTAATCTACCATCGATACTCCTTCCAGCACCATGAATATCCTCTCCCTTACGTGACTGTCCAAGTCCCAAGTCTCACATCATTTCCCAGCTCTGCAATTTATGAGCCTACATGAACGCCACACTCCAGTCCTTTATGGATGCTGCATTGCACTGCATTGTATTGCATCTACGGACTCGCGCTTGCCTGGTTGAGGTCCTTGTCGTACAGGATGCCTTTGGTTCTTCACTATTACGCTGGAGGAGGCGTCTGCGTGTCGCGGGTATCGTTTGCCCCAGGCGTCCCTTTCCGCGCGCTGCGTGAGCTCTTGTTCGAAGCACTTGTGACCGGCTTGTCCTTGAGCACTGTTGAATCCGTGAAGCGCCGGTCCAGGCATCAGCAACGATACAACGCCGCTCGTAGTACAGCAGATGTTTCCGAGCGGCCGCGTTGGACTCACAGCTTTGGAAGAAACTCTGTAGGACCTCGCTTTGCTTGGGCACGCCGGGCAACGACGCTGTCCCGCCGCCCATGCCTGGGCTCGTCGGCCTCGAGCCGCCGCGTGAAGCAGGCAATGCGAGACTATCTGTATCGATGCGCGGTCGTTCGCGCTTGTCCTGTGAGATGAGATTATAAATGGTGAAGAAAGCGGTGATAAGCGTGCAGCTTGCAAAATACTAAGTGGTGACACTCACGGACGATCGAGACTTGGACAATCGAACAGGCTGTATCACTTCATCTCCAGCGTCTTCCGCCGTGTCCATCTTGGGCAGAATGCTGAGCCCGTTGCTTGCTATGGGACCCATGACGCCGCGACGAACATCCTCAGCAGCATCAACCGCCGCCATCGGCCTGCCTGCGGCGTCCTTCGAGCCGCGTCTGCCGTCCGCATGGTCAGAAGCAGAAGCGACGCCGCCGAGCGCGCCTCCTTTCGCCTCAGCGGGCTCCTTCTGAAGCGCCGCATAGTGCTGCGCAAGGAAAGCCTGCATGTCCGGCTCGGCGATCTTGGTTCCCGGCGCGACGGGTGGCGCGCGCGCGTGCCAGTCGCCGACGATATCCTCGAAGAGCTGCACGGCGCTACGCGCTGCACTGCCTCCGTCAAGTCCGCCGAACAGCTCTTGGCGCAGTGTCTCTTCCGCCAATGACGGGTCTGCTTCGTCCGGCTTCTCGGAGGGTGGCAGAGACGAGGGTAGTGGCGCACTGCCAGGTGCAGCGATGCTTGCAGCTGCTGCTGCAGAGAGTTTGCGCAGCACCCGCTCGCGTCGCTCGAGCTCGACGGCAAAGTCGGTCTCCCAGCTCCTGCGCACGGATTTGGGATCGAAGCTGTCGTCGCTGCCGCGAAGCGCTTTGATCTTCCCGTAGGTGTCCCAGCCAGCGGGTACGAATACGGTGTCTCGGTCGACTGTGCTGGCACGCTGGGCGAGACGGAAGCGCGCACTCGTCGCCGCGCTTACTGCACCGGCTGCTGTTGCTCCCGCGGCACCAGTGGGAGCAGAAGAGGTGTCGAAGAGCCTGTGGAGGATGTACTTTCGTAACGAAGCGACTGATTCTGGTCGATGGCTCGAGATGTAGAAGAGCGCCGCGCCGTCTGCGCGAGTGCAGTGCGTGCACGGGAAGAGGAAGTAGCAATCAACCTCATTTCATGCAGACTGCAGGGCAGAATCAATACTCACATTTGAGGCAGACGACACGTAAAACCTGCTGGACGTAGTCGAACTGCTCCTCTTTAAAGTTACGCTCCGCTTCTACCTGGCCCATACAGTCGGCCTTGGTGCATACGATGACAATACCTACACCCCAGTTGGACTCGCTGTCCAGTGCCCCGTCCGGCAGGGGGAGCTGGAGCGATGATAGCGCGGCCCCACCGACGCCAGCGCTAGCGCTGCTGGGCTCAACGAATGCATTCGACGCGGCAGAGCTGGCATCCGACTCCGAGGCCTGTCCAGCAGTGCCGTTCATCCTACCTGCCCCTGCTCCCGCTACTGCTGCTGTCGGGCCACCGCCACTGGCACTTGCATGCACAGCAGGCTCTCTGTATGCGCGGAACGTATTTTCCACTACACAGCGAGAAGGGCCAGGTAACATGCAAGTAGTCAGCACAACCGCACGATTAGCAAAGAGCGCGATCCACGCGGCACTCACGCGCTTCGCGCATCTCATCGAGCACGACCCACTTTCTACTCCAACCGAGGCCGCTTGACGCTGAACCTGCTGACGTTCCGCCGCTGCCTGCTGCTGCCCGAGAAGAGAGCGCGGCGTCGCTGGCGCTGTCAACCATCCTACGTACGATAACAAGCCAGCGGCGCAGCTGGTCTAGGAAGGACTGCGGCTGCGTCCAGTCGAGGGTGATCAGGATCAGTGAGGCGCTCAGCGCCGCGAGCGACGGTTGCGGCAGGTGCCCTCGTTGCTGATTCAGCTCCGACAGAAACGGTTCCGCTTGTGCTATCATACTCCCCGCCTCGCCCGGCGCCGTAGGGAATGCGAGAGCGAGCAGGCCAGTGTAGGCGGGGTGCGAGCTGTGCAGGGTGTATGCGCCTACACGCGCGATAACGTCACCCTGCTGTATACCCGCACCGCCGGCCAAAGTGCTCCGGCTGTTGCTGGTGCCCTGACTCGCATCATCGTCATCTGTCACGTCAAAGTAACCATATGCAAGGCCTAATAGTGCGGCCGCCGCTGCTGCAGAACCTGGGCCTGGATTCGAAGCGGCAACTGCATTGGCACTAGAAGGATGCTGTACTGCAGTGACGGTCGCGATCGAGGCAGATGATGATGCTAGTGCTGCGGCGGGTGCAGCATCAAACTCTGCACCATTGATGTTTCCGCTGCTATTTCCGGAGATGCCGTCACCAAGTGCAAAGGAGGAATGCGAGCCGGCTGCGAGCGCCCTGAGCAATGTTCGTTTGCCGGTTGCTGGCTCGCCTGTGCAAGCAAGAATCAATCAAAAAGCAAACGAGTCGCCTTGGCACGTCAGCGAGTCGCGTGGAAGCATGCTTCGAAATGGCTGAGGTCCTGCCTGGCCCTAGAGAGCATGCTGCAACGCACCAAGGAGGACGATGTTCTTTGTCGTCACGCCTCGTGAGCTATGCACCGAGTTGAGAATGGAAGACCAGAGGTCTTCCGTCTCCCCGAAGCCTGCTGCAAATGCCGCCCCCGCTCCTGGTGCCGGTGCTGGAGGAATACCTGCCACAGTTGATATTGATGCTGAAGGCGCGCCCCCTGCTACGTTCGTGCTCGCTGAACTGGCAGCGGCGCCGGCTGCGATGGTTGCGAGATCTACGCTCGTGTCTGGGGCCATGTTGTCCGCTTGAGCTTAGCTATGAGTCGCAGCCGCTCGAGTGGAAAGGTTGCACGACAGAGCAAAGCCGACACAGTCTGCCTGCCTGCGCACTGCCGTCCGATATCCAAAGCAGGGCTCAGAGGTGCCTTCGGCGCAACCAAGAGGAGCTAGCCGCCCGCAAGAGCCGCTCTGATGCACACAGCGGCGGCGCGATACTCGGGGAAAGGAAAGGTTCTCACAGCGCTTGACAGGGGATGGTGCTGCCACGTGCGCTCCTTTCGTGCCAGTCCTTGCGTTCGAATATCGTAATAGGTAGCATGCAACCCCCGTGGCAGAGCAACGAATAAGGTGATGATTGCGACGGACAAGTAGCCTCAACGTCAACCAAAAAGGAGGGGAGGGCGTCGCGCGGTTTCTGGCGATCTTTGCAGCAATAACCCTACTTGGCCATATGTGTCGATATCGAAGCGCAGCCAAAGTCAATAAAATAGATTTGTGACCCGCGCCGTGGTATGCTGAGCAGCCCGCAGCACCTGTCTCGCACGCTCACCGTTGCCGCAAGCGACGCAGCCCTGTCATCCATATGCAAATTTGCAACGATAGATGATAGCCGCCTCCGAGGCTTTTCGAAGCATGTGCTCTGTCGCGTTGAAGATGGCCGTGTCGAGACGAAAGACGGCGTGGTCCCTCCACCTTCCGATCAGTGAAGCAACCCCTGAACTGTCGCACCCGGTTCTCGCTGCCTGCCAGGAACGGGGCGCTACCTCCCAAGAAGTAAGAACATTACGTACTACCATGAGCATCCCGGCAACCAAGCACGACTTTTCATCCGTTTACACTGCAGGTTGGCAGCAGCCACAGCCCGCAATCTGAAACCGCTGCTAGCCCCGCTTGTGCTGGCGGGCACTGCAGCAGAAGCGTTGCTTTGCACCGAATTTGATCTCTTGCTCGCTTCCAACAGAACACACGGGCGGTGCATAAACAAACAGGCACAGTGCCCGCTTCTCCACTCTGCTGCCATCCATGTGGTCGTTGCTCCTGACCATGTTGCAGCAATTGTGAATGGCATAGCCTGGGAACCTCTCGTATATATGTATCCCATCCCCTTTGGGCACAGTCCTGCACCGTCAACCCCACCTCCACCCGCCGACCCCCGCTCGGCCCTCTTTCTCCCCCCTCCCCGAGGTCAACTGACGCTGTCTCAGGAATCACCCCTCGGCATCCTTTGGCAGTCCACATTTTTTAAACCCTGGCCTATACCCTCCACTTCCTTCGCCTCTTGCTCATTTGCCTTCCTATCTATCGGCATCATGTCGCACACCATCCGTAGCACCCGGGGCTGGCGCCTCCCCTTCCTTTCGCTTCTCCTTGGCGCCACCGTCACGGCGCTGACCCTGACCCTGACCGCCGCCCCGGCGGATGCTCAGTTCGTCCCGCCTCCCGCCGCATCCTCTTTCACGCACGCCACTGGCCACGCTGCTGTGCCCGTCAAGTATCGCTCCGTCCCGACCGGCCCGGGTGAGGTATGCGAGCAGACCCCCGGTGTCAAGTCGTACGCAGGCTACGCCGAGGTCGAGAAGGGCGAGTTCATTTTCTGGTGGTTCTTCGAGGCGCGCAAGACCGATCCACGTAAAGCCGAACTAACTAGCTGGATCAATGGCGGGCCCGGCAGTAGCAGCATGATCGGCCTCTTCCAGGTGAAAATGAGCGGCATCTTCCACTTGGATACTTTGAACCTGCGCTGACGCATGCCTGACTCCCTCGCCCGTTGGCGCAACAGGAACTGGGACCCTGCGGCGTCGATTCGGAGGGAAAGGTGACGCACAACCCGTACGCCTGGAATGAACACTCTAACCTGCTCATCATCGATCAGCCCATCTCGACCGGCTTCTCCTACTCGCAGCCGTCGAACGGCTACGTCTCGTCCAGCGGGCACATTGTCAACCTCGGCCCCTCGTCGGACACGTCAATCGAGTGCCCGTCGTACGTCACCGACGCCGGCCTGCAGTGCGGCACCTTCTCCTCCTCCTCGGTACGCAGCACGGTCAACTCAACCCAGGCAGCCGCGCCCAACTTTTGGAAGACGCTGCAGGGCTTTATGGGCGCGTTCCCCCAGTACTCGCGCAAGGGTTTCCACTTTGCGACCGAGAGTTATGGCGGGCACTATGGCCCCGTGTTCAACGAGTACATTGAGAATCAAAACGCTAAGATTGCCAACGGGGAGCTCAGCGACGCCAAGCAGATCCAGCTGCAGACGGTCATCCTCGGCAACCCGTGGGTGAACCCTAAAACGCAGTACGAGGCGTACTACGAGTACGCCATCGACAACTACTATGACATCCACCCATACAACGCGTCGATCCGCGCGCAGGTTCACAACAACCTCTACGGCCCAGGCAACTGCGTCGACCAGCTTGACGACTGCGCCTCGAGCGGGATCGATAGCGTCTGCTCCACTGCCGACACATTCTGCGCGACTGAGGTCGAAGAGTTCCTCGACATTATCTCCGGGCGCGACGAATACGACATGCGCGAGCTGCAGCCGGACCCCTTCCCGCCGACGTTCTACGTAGACTACCTAAACTCTCCTAAAGTCCAGGAGGCTATCGGCGCGTATACTAACTTCTCCGAGAGCAGCATCACAGTCGGCAACACTTTCTCGACGACCGGCGATGACGCTCGCGAGGAGGGAACCGTGCAGGACATTCGCAAGCTGCTCGACAAAGGTATCTACGTCGTCATCCAGGTCGGAGATGCGGGTGAGTTCTGCTCTCAGGTTTTGACTGACCTCCCCCATTGTCTCCCTTGCTGACATTCCCTTTCTCATGCTCGCAAGACTACAATTGCAACATCCACGGCAACCTGCGCGTCGCCGAGCAGATCGCTGCGCCGGGCTACTCGAGCGCGGGCTTCACCAACATAAGCACGACGACGTCACACGATGACGCCGTACATGGACAAGTGCGCCAGTCTTCCGCTTTTGCCTTTATCCGCTGGTACTACTCAGGCCACGAGGTGCCATTCTACCAGCCACGCCCGAGTCTACAGGTTTTCAACCGCGCCATACGCGGACTCGACGTCGCGACGGGTAAACAGCGCGTCGTCGGCGAAGGCAGCGTCAAAGGCTACAAGACCCACGGCCCCAAGACCAGCACTTTCAAGGAGGGAAGCGCCACCGTCCAGAACCACGTCCTCCCTCCCGACGCCACGTACAACACAACCACCGGCGCGCCGAACGCGTACAAGGGGCAAGCGCAATCTGCCGCAGCTGCTGCTAAGCGGAAGAGTAGCAGCAGGGCTAGTAGCAGGCACGCCACCACCTTCTCGTCATCATCATCGTCAAGGAAGCAGCATGGCCGCAGCGCCGCCAAGAGCGAACATCTCCGTCGGGGAGTGGCGCTCGGCGCGCGCTTCGGTGGCTCTGCCCGCAAGCAGCAGGTGCTGAGCCCGTGATCGGCGCCACCCTTATCTATATGGAGTGAATATCGAGCCAGCCCTCCATCTGCAGCGCCAAGGCGCTCCGCTTTGCTTTCTCGCGACCCACCATGTCGCCACGCTCATGCGCTTTCGCCGCGTGCGACTCGGATGCACATGCCCAGTCAGTCACTCGCGAGCGGCTTTAATATGTGCTATAACTGCAGTCTATAACTATCACAGTATCATGCAGCACGTGCTCCTCTTGTGCAACGCCACTCGCATCTCAATCCTTAAAAGTCTATATCGGCAGATCTGTGGGGGCAATTTGCGATGGGCGATGATTAGGCGAGTCTCTATAATGTGACCTCAAGGGAGCTATCAAGAGGTCGAAAGTCATCATAGTTGGCGTCATCACTCATGCCAATCCAAGCAGTGGTATGAGACGTCCGATGGCGAGAAACAGATGATCCAATGAGCGCAACGACGTAGCCAGCACCTTCGCGGGTACTGGAGATGCCAGATAAATCAAGCACGGGCTCCGTCATCGTCTGGGAAACGCTGTTGCAATTCTTTCTTAGCCAGAAAGGGGTGGTCTTGCCGGTAAAGGGGTGTTGCATGGTGTGTCGTGCAATCCCGGATCTGATGGTGAACCGTTAGGGAAGAAGGCTTACCTTATAGTCGGTGACGATGGTTGGGAGTTACTGCGCACCAGAGTAACCGCCTCCCCCAATCAGCACATACGTAGTACTCTATGCAGTTGCAGTTTGAGTTACGGACTTCGATTGGGTGGGTATAGTCGCCTTCAGTTGATACCGTCTGGCCCTAGGGTTAGGGATGCCTGCAGCATCGAATGCAAAGGCCCACTTTGACGGCGATGTCCTTTCAACCCTATTTTCCAGTCCTTCAAGCAATTCATCTTTCCCCACAGCTGACTACTTTGCTTTTGACACGATATCGTAGACGAACAGCGCCCTCATCCTACGCTCCTCTAGAATACATTGGTGCAGTGACAGGTGTTCTGTGTCTGTTGCGCGTCGCGCAGCCCCTGGGGCTCTAGGACCGCAGAGTTATGCTCCGCCTCAGTGAGCATTCGACGTCGACGACCGCTCGCCGTGGCGCGCTAAACACACGGACAAATGTGACAACAATGTGTGGAGCATGTCCTTGAAGTAAGTGAAGTCTGACACGCACAGAGTGTCACCCTCTGCCATGGGGGAAGCGCAAGCTACGACACGGCCGGCGGCGCCCGCGTCCCCAGCATCGAATGAAACCTCAAGCAGCAAGAGCGCTGGTAAGGGCAAAGCGCGCGAAATCTTCATCGTGGATGATGACGACGAAGACGACGAAGGCGATGATGGAGATGTTCTGTTCCAAGCGATCTCGCGGCTCGAGTCCACGATTGGCCCCGCAATCAAACCGGCTGTGGTATCGGCACGTGCCAAAGTCACCCGGCAATGCCTCATCTGTATGGACGATATCCAGCGCGGCAAGGGCGTGCGAATGGCGTGCAAAGATCGACATTGGTGGGATTATGACTGTTTGAGAACGTTTGTTTTAGCGGCAATGAAAGATGCCAGTGTGATGCCGCCGAAATGCGAGGGCTTCGACATCCCAGAGGATTCCTTTCTCTTCCTGCTGACCGCCGACGAGCGCCGCGAGTACCACACCAAGCATGCAGAGTTCATCGACAAGGATCCTGTTTTCTGCACGAAAACTTCGTGCTCGCTTTACCTTGGCACGCGAAGAAAACGAAAAACTGCAATCACTTGTCTGACATGCAATGAGCGGACGTGCGGTGCATGTAAGGCTGCCTGGCACGGCAGGGACGCAGGGTGCACCGCGCCGGCGGACAACGATGTCATCTCAAAGCTTAGAAAAGGCGGCATCCAACGGTGTCCAGAATGTCGAAGAATGGTCGAAAGAGCGGCAGGGTGCAACAAGATCTGGTGCATCTGCAGGGCGCTTTTCTGCTATGAATGTGGCGCCAGCTGGAAGACGTGCAATTGGTGAGTGTGCAAGGATCAGAATATCATTGGGCGGCGGGGAGACACCTGATCTTCAAACAAAACGATTTTGTAATCGCCGACTTCCAGCCCTTACTTTCCGGGGGAACAACCTCTTCCGGCACAAGGGATTGTGCGCATCCCCGGCTTGAATGCTCCAGCTCCAGTTCCAATGCCAGCCCCAGTCCTGCCCAATCTCGCAGGGGCCCGGGAACGCGTAGCACGTTTAGGAAATATGCCTACAGCCCCCCCTCCTGCGCCGAGGTCTAGGCCAAGGCATCAGACGATGCCGCCCCCTCCACCGGCTCTTGTAGGTCCATATAACGATCCGAAACTTGTTCCGGCAATCCTTCCGCCAGCTCGATTGCACCCTACTACCAAGAAGAAAAGTTTGGTCGTGGATCTCACAGACAATGGCTCTGGCCCTTCCAAACCTCAAACGCGCGCTTCGGATGTGTCGTTGATCGGCATGGGTCAGAAAGCTGTTGACGCAGCTGACAAGGTGGCTGCCGCGCAGGCATCTTCGAGCAATGTGACGATCGACCTGACTGTGGATCCAAGCCCGCCTGGCAAGAAGCGTCGGACCATTAAGGGACAGCAGACCAACCCGACCGACATCGCCAGGCGGCAAAAACCCTGAATTGCACTACCCACACAAATGAGGGCAGCAACTCGTGGCCTCCAGCATTAGACAAGCGGAGGCAACCCGACGCGGAGGTGATTGACCTCGCTGATATCGATAATGACTAGGGCAAGGAGCAAGAGGACGACTGAATGCATAGGTGCGCTCTTTATTGTTGTAACATTGGTGTAGGTCATCTCCATTAGAATTCACACATGCGGCCATGTTTCCACATCCGGTATCCTGGACGGCAGTGCCTGAGACGCTGCCGCAAGCGCCTTGAGAGAAAGCTCCTTCAAGTTTGCCATCGTCCCGTTAATCGCCGACAGGCGGCCCGGGGTCCTGCCTAACGGCCGCCTCTCTTGACGCGGTCTGATAATCGGCAGCTCGACGTACCTTTCCTGCGCCCGTCCCTCAACATCACCGTAGAGATGTTCTTCTTTCCAGTAGACACAGTTGTACGCCTTCTATCGAGCACCGCACTGGTAGCAAATTGTGCTTTCCAAGCACAGCGCATATGGTTGCAACCGGCGTCAAGGTATACCATGTGTCCATACGAGTAGCAGTATTGTTGTCCATGGGCTATCAGAACTGACATTGCGTCCGCGTCCGTGCCTTCGGCACAGGGACCTAGCGAACCGTGTCACGGTGCCCTGCGCTTGCAGCAAGTCTATTCTGGCAGGCAGAGTATTTGACAGACCCTTTAGTCTCTTGACGAGAGCCGAGGAACTTTGAGCGCCGCTTATTGAAGGAGTACAGACGCTTCTTGACATCGAACTCGTCCTGCTTTTCGTAGTATTCCATGCGTTCGCGATTCTCAAGAAGCGGCAGGAGTGTCGACTCCACAATGACGCTGCCATTGCAAGGAGGGGGAATCAGACTTTCGTCCCTCAGGGCTTGGAGAACCAGCGCTTTCATGCAGTCACGACCATACCAGTGTCTCTGATAACATGCAACTTGGGCCGCTCCCGAAGATGAGACTTTCTCGAGATTGTATGACGCACTGCACAGACTTCCCGGGAGCAAAAGATATGTTTGTGCTTGAATAAGCTCGCTCACTTCCCGGACCCAAGCAGCTTGACCTGGGCTTTCTACATAGAATGGAGGAGCCGCTCTTGCTATGGTGCTGGGTGGTTCGCTGATGCTACGCCTGCTAAATGCAGCGTGTCGTTGACGCTATGCCCTGCTAAATGCAGCGCGTATTCACGGCCGTAACACCTTTCCTTTCAAACTCCAGGCAGGCTTGAATCATATTTGCATCCTTGCGCACAGCTTGGTTAATGCTGGGCGTGAACTGAGCATCATTAAGTCCCGTTTCAGCAGCCAATAGCTCCGCGCAGTACAGCTGAAACGCGAACTTTTCTTCGCCAGAAGTGCCGCCTTCGCAAGCCTTTGTCTTTTGTGACGCCCCTAGGGTATGAATGACTTCGAAGTGGTAATCGATTGTTGCTTCGAGGGTGGTAGAGATGTCCGTCATTGCGGCTGCCAAGAGAGTGCACTGCCTCGATCTGGCGGGCGCTCAAGCACTTGGCTTTCTTCTGGGGGGTTACCAAACATTGATGTTCAGCCTTGAAGCTGATTGAGACTGTGAGATCTGTTCATTCTGCGATTCTCGGCTGAGAATCGCCTGCTCTTTGATAACCCATATGAACTAACAACGATAGATGGCAGTGGTAAGGGAGGTCAGTCAATGAAAGAAAGGTTTGTAGGTAGTGTATATGGCGCTTATGTTCGCGTCGGATCAGGGCGGGCCATTTTGGCTTTGGCGGGTGCAAACTGCTCATCCTTTATACCATCAAATGCAGTACACAGCCCAAGCCCGCATTCCGTTCTTACCCAAGTCCCCCTCGATATGCACTCTGCATTGCAAGTCTGCGAGCCTTTTGCACAGCGCAACGTCATGAACAGCATTCAGTCAGCACACATCAGAAGACTGGTCGATTAGAATGACTCCATGCTTACCTGATCTAACGAGATTGTACCCTGTCGATACGCTAATCTCTGACCGTCCTCGCCGGCAACTTCCAGCCCACCATCGGAACCGACCGCAATGGGTAAAGGCCTGCTGGGCTTATGATCCTGTGGGTCCTCATCATCATCATCGTCCGCCGATGCGCGCTGCATCGATGATCGCGGCGAGAGGAATGCGTCCGAGCCCTGCGGAAGCGTTGGCGATGTGGAGGCACTGACGCTCATGCCAGGGGTAGCACTGAAAGAGCTAAAGTCGGATAGCACCTTGCGCGAAGGTGAGCTGGAGGCGGCGGACGAGCCTGACGAGGTGGCGTACAACGATGATGGTATTGGAACCGGTTGACGGGGGTGCGGAAAGGGTGCAGTGGACGACCTCAACTCCGCAGCGGCCCTACGTGTCTGTAGATACTTTTCGCTTAGCCTGGATCCCACAACTCGTTTTATGTGCGGCCGTGCGGTTTCCAAATTTGGCGCTGCGGCCCAGATCTCAATATTGTGGCGCGATTCTTGCGAAGCGCAGTCCATGTCAGTGCTGCCAAAATCGACTCATCTTCGAACAGAGCTCTCACCTTCGCTCTCTCTGTATATGCTTTCAATGTAGAGCTGTTTGGTGTTCTCATTCCGTAGTAACAGCTTCTCATGCAGTTCTCGGGCGACATCATCGAGCGTGACAGAAGCGGCAGCGAAAGCCTGCGTTGATTGCTGCTGCTGTTGTTGTTGTTGGTCCAAGCTGAGTCCACGCAGCCGCTCAAGCACCGCATCGCCGACGTCTCTATGCAGGCGCTCCATGTCCATCGCCTCTCCTGCCGCGGCGACGATGACATGGCTGAGCAGGCTAGCCGTGGTCAGCGGGACACACATGCCTCCAGTGACTCGAACGAGGCCCTGATAGAAGTCCGCCGCATGCTGATAGCCTGAAAGCGCCGGCTCGCACGCGACCATGAAGAGCGAGATCCCGAGTGCAGCCATGCGTCGTGCGAGAACGAGTGGGTCTTCATTGTCCGGCGAGCCATTCGGAAACCCGTCGCCAATCTCGCCAATGCCATGCGGTGGTGCGTCCGCTATCAAGACGGCCAGTTTTGTTGCGTGGGTACGCCAGGGCTGCCAAAATGACCGTGCATAGCCAGTCAGCTAATGAATCTGAATCATAGGAAACTACGCTCGCATGCACCAGTTGGACAGCTTGTTTCATAGCAGCAGTCACTGCCTCGGGTCCGTCTCCTCCGCCCGATGCATAGAGCTGCTTGAGGTTGTCCTTCATCTCTTGAATATTGCTAGAAAAGCCAACTGGAAGCATGTTCAAAGCAATGCGAATGAGAAAGGCGCACGCAGCCCTAAAGAGTCCGACCGTTCTTACAATTCTTGGTAATATACGTGTGATCTTGCGGTGGATGATCTCGAAATGCAATCAGTCCGACGCGTAAGGCGCCAGGTCCTGGTAGCTGCTCAGATTGTACGATCTGGTGAGCCAGGAATGCAACTGTAGTGGTTAGCAAACGTGGTCAACTCTACTGCGCAGGGGTGTTCAGGAAGGCTTACATTATCGCAAATCGTTTCGATGTTCTTGGTGGCCTCTCTAATATAGCTACCCATGCTTCCAGTGGCGTCCATTATGAAGAGTAAGTCGAGCGCCCTTCCAGGCGCAAAGTCAGCCGCGCCAGTGTTCATGTCAAAGTCGGCTGCACTGATCGGCTGGGACGAGTACGATGTCAATGGATCCGATGCGAGCGTTTGAGCGGCGACCGCTCCGAACATGCTGTGTCGTGCGTCAAAGATAGTTTTTCGATCCGATATGATAGGGTCCATCATGAGCAGTTGTTCTCCAACATATTAACAAAAAAGATGGAACAAGGATGGCTGAAGGACGCTTTGACTCACCCGTACACCCCTCCGCCGTGGCTGGGTCCAGCCATCTTGGCCTGCAGTGCTTCCGCGATCTTGGCGCAGTACTCTTGTGCTTCCTAGCCCCGTATTGCTTCGATCTCCGTGCAGCGAGCTGAAAAGCGCCCTCGTTTTGTGTAGGAGCCTTATGGGAGCTTACACGGCAGTATCACCCACGCTCGAGCTGCTTAGGGTGAAAGGCGGCGAAATGGACGCGGACGCAAGACGACCGCGGCAAGCCTCCCCTCAGCTGTTTCTAAACGCACTAGCAGAAAGCACAGAGCCACTTGAAATGTTTATGGGGAGCGTTGCATGGCAAGCTTCAATGTGATTGTGAACGTTTGCGGCGAGTTAACAATGAACACGTCAATTATGAGATCATCATCGATAGTATGCATTCCTGCTGTTCAAGCTGTGACTGACCTGCTTATTTGATCGTTCAGCGCGCGCAGCCACGCAAAAAGAAAGAAATAAAGGTAAGCAGAAAAAGAAAGAACCGGAGCAGTCTCGCTCATGGCGGTGACCCATCGATGGGACCTGCCAAACGACTGACTGCACAACGGACGACACGGCGTGCGAGACACGGCCCTTCACATTAGATTGATTTACATCACTGCTCCGGCCCAATCCAGATCATCGCAAGATATCAATACAAGGCCCTGCGGCGCGACGCCGGCAGCAGCAAGAAGTGCTTAGATAGTGCGCAACGCTTCAAGTCACGAAGATGCCCCCAAAATATCCTTGAACGATGCTTTTGTACTTCGCCTTCTCCCACTTCCCAGCGATCATGTCATAGGGTTAACGCTCGCGGCCGCCTCCGCCGCCGACTTTACATCGCGAACCGGACATGGGCGGAAGCGTTGGAGCCTGCACGCATGCGCAGCTGCTCCTGCACGTCGGTGAACCACTGACGCTCGCCCATGGTACGCAGTTCGTCGACATCGACGATCATCATGTCGCTGCCGCCGCCGCCGCCGATGATGATCCAGCGGCCATTGTACGAGACGCAGTGCGTGCCGATCTCCGCGCAGCTCGTGCTGGGCAGGCGGTGCCAAATGCCATGCAGCGCGCCGTCAGCGTCGACAGGCGTGTTGGGCGACCAGACGCCAGCATACGTGATGAAGGCGGCCTTGTCGTCATCGAGGCCAAAGTAGGATGAGCCGACGCCGCTGCCGCCGCTCTCCTCGGATAGCGATGGGCTAGCATCGGCTATGCGCCGGACGATGTGGCGCGCCATTTCGACATCGTGCGCTGTGCGCACGGTAAGAAGGACGAGGCCGGGGAAGCTCCACGCGAGACAGAATTGCGTAAAGACCTCGTCGGCGGCGTCTTCGAGTGTCGACTCAAACTTGGTGAGCTTCGGCACGCCTGTCGCTGACGAGCAGAGGATCCACGACCAGCCGACACCCTGCGGGTCCTGTACTGGCCACAACATCGCGTCCTTGCACGGCGAACAGATGCTCTCGCCCGCATCGTACCAGTCGCGCTCGGCGTCGCTGGCGGCATCGGCATCAAACTCAGCGATACTGACGCACAGCTCGTCGACATGTCCCTGCCATGGGTCAAAGGCGCAGTAGATCGAGAAGTCAGCGTCGAAGTGCTTGAAAATGATAATCCCATGTCGGGTCGTGTGCACCACGCTCGAGCGCTGCTCGTTCAGCTCGGCCGGCAGCGGCACCTCGGCGCCCGTGTCGGTGCGGTAGAGTGCAACGAGCGTGTTGGACGATGGTCCACCGAGGATGAGCACGAGCCGACCATTTGCTTGCAAGACCGCCCTCCTTGCTCCTCCTGCCGCCGCCGCGGTTGCGCCGGCGCATTTGCCGAGGTACAACGGCAGCAAAAAGGCTTCGCCACTGACAAGCTGCCAGATGTGAAGCTGCTTGACGGCGCCGCGCAGCAGGGATTTCTCACTCGGCGGAGCGGCACTGGTGCCCATGCTCGCCTCGCCGACCAGTGCTGCGGCGGCGGAGGCTTTTTGGGGCTCATCGATGGCAGTGGTAATGGGCGTCTCGCATAGGACGGCGCGCTCGCCAACCTGGACAGTGGTGCCCTCGTTGAGGACGCAGTCGGGCGGCGGGAGCATCTGGCCGTTGCCGAGGAAGAAGGCCATTTCGAAGCGGTCCGCTTCGTCGCCTTTGAGGATGAAGAGGAACGTCTCGCTCTCCTCAAACTTGGCCATGCGCTGCCTCATCTCGGGCAGTTCCTTCAACACCATGAGCTTGCGGCGCACCAGGCGGCCTCCTCCAGGTGAGTTGATGACCAGCAAGGAGGGGCTGGCGTGGGACGCAGCGCTGAGGGCGTGCGCGTGCGCGCGCTTGCGCTCGCTTTGTGCAACCCCTGCGGATGCTGCTGGTGGCGGCGTAAATCGCGCCTCGCCAACCTCTTCGTCACTGACTTTGTGGGCAGCCCTGCAAACCTGGACGACGCGGAGCGAAGTCCAGTCGGCGACGACAATGTACTCTCCGCTAGGAGCGACGACGACGCTGGCAGAGTGGCCGTCAGGGTGCTGGATGGGCGGGTCAAACTGCTTGCGGAGTGTCTCGGGCCGCGCACCGGCGCGAAGGCTGCCGGGGACGTACAGAGCGCTGAGGAGGTCGTCGCGCGCAAGGACCCAGCAAGTGTGGTTCTCTGAGTGGGCGAGGGTACCGGTAAAGTCGTTGACGAGCAGCTCGAGCTCTGGGAGGATGTGTGCGAGGTCGATGCGGAGGAAGATGTTGTCGGCGAGGTCGTAGAGCTGGAGCTCGCTCGTGCGTAGGTTGAACGCCCACGCGACGTCTCCGGCAATGTACGGCATCTCGCCAAAGCCGGACAGGTCGAGCAGGCGGCCAGGGAAGAGCGGGCTTAGGTGCGGAGCGCGGGCAAAGCGCTGCGCCAGCGCGCGCAAGGAGACAGCATGCTGGATACGTTGGCGCAGCTGCTTGGTCGTGTGGCAAAATGCATGCGCGTCGTACACGCTGGCGCAGAACTCAAGGATGCGCTGCAGGGCGCGTGCAGGCAGCTGGTGCAGCAGGTGCGTGATGGCTGACATGACGCCGTGCGACGAGCTGCGGCTTTGCTTTTTCTTCGCAGTGGATGAGCAGACGTAGGAGGGATGTGAACAGAAGAGAGATAAATAACAGCTGTGCAGGCGGGAGATCTGACACGTCTTCACTGCTTCTTTGACTCGTGCCACCGTGAGGTTGTGCGTGTGACGTCTCTGCAAAGAATGCAGGCCGCGAGGCGTGTCAGTCTGGGCCAAGCGGGCTCGCCACTTACGCTGCTCACCCCACCGCGTCGTGCACCTTCCCTTTCCCTCTCCCTCTCCAAAATAGAAAGTCGATTCGCGTCAAGTCCAGTTTAGTCGAGTGTAGTTCAGTTCAGTCTGGCGTATGATTGTGATAAGAGGTCGGTGCAGACTCCCCTGGTTTGGCGTGCTGGGTGAAAGTAGCTACGAGCAGTGCGTGATACCTTGCGTGAGCGCCTGTGCAAGGCGTTGGGCGGGTGAGCGGGAGGAAGAGGTGCTGCACTCCCAGCACCCATCTCTTCTTAAAAGGCGTGGTGCGTGGTGCAAACTGAGGGAAGTAAAGAGTAGGGTGATGCTGTGGATGATACGTGTCGCTGGAAGCGAGCGTAATATGGTAACGACCGACATTGTAGGATGCGGAGCCTATTCGCGCCTTTCCTATCGTTGTTCTGCTGAGGAAAGCAGAACAGACGGGCCCAACTTCGGCCTACCAGTGGGAATAAGCATCGCCGGAACATGGGGAATTGGTCAGCAGTAGCGCTGCGGGCGAGAGGCTTTTGCTGAGCAAGCGTCAACGCAGATGGGAAAGGGTGCAACGCCAGCAGGAGGCCATGGCGGCGGCGCTGTGCAGGGTAAGATGCCAGTGTTCGTCTGCTTTGGCAGCCATGCATGTGACGGGATGGGATTGTCCCCTCTCTTTTCATGCATGTCGCCCCCCTCGACTTCGCCCGGCTGCAGCCGGCACTTCACCTTCCCACGCGCGCGTCCGCCAGCTTTGCCATCGCCAAAAGGACATTACTTTTTTAAGTGTAGTGCAACGCAGGCCCGCTGGCTGGCGTCGACCACTTTGTTACACGAAGCAACTTGACGTGGATACGCTGGATCCATCCGCCCCGCGCGTGAACGAGGCGAGCGCGCGAGCATGGCGTCCGCGTCGACGCGCTACATCCCATGCGCCCCATAGCCCACCCATCCCCCGCATGGGTGCCCTTGCCTTACGCGCAGCTTACCCTTGAGAAGAGCGAAAACGGGGGGGTCATAGGGAGCGCCAAGCTGATCAATCCATGAGAACGCAAGGCAACGCGCGAAACCGAGTCGAACAGAACAGACATCGTCAAAGAGAACACACCAGAGGCATGCACGGCAGCAGTGCACACGTAGGCCGCCGGGATATAGGAGCCCGTGCGTGCCACATGCAATCACACAACCACAAAATCGCCCCAGCCGAGCAGAAGACAATGCGCAGTCAGTTCCATAGTCTACACAAAGGTCATCCAGGTCAGGACGCTGGATGCTTTTGTGCCGCTGTTTCCTTGCACTGACTTGCTTGATTGCTTGCCGTGCAGCTCTTTGTAGGCTGGAATGAGGACTTGGGCATCACAGCGCCCCTCCCAGCAGGAAAGTAGGTAGGCAGGCAACAGTGGCAGGGTGGCGCGGGAGACTCGACACTACTCGGCCTTCTTGGCCGCTGCGCCACCGGCGATCTCGGCCTCGCGGATGGCTGCCTTGTCGGTCTGCGGGCCGGCGCTGCCCTGCATGCCGAATAGGCCTGGCGCCGCCTTGAACGGCCGCTTCAGCTCGCCCGTCGCTGGCTTTCCCCACACCCACAGCTGCGCCTGCTTGCTCTCCAGTGCGTTCTTCAGCGGCAGGATCGACTGGATCACCAGCCTGTCGGGAGGGCGGCGAAAGGGGGGGATGGTGAGGAGATGGGGAGGCGGAGAGAGGTGCGGCGTCAGCATCGCCAGCAGGGGGCAAAGGTCACAGAAGAGCAAATAAAGACGTACGGCTGGGTGTAGCCCATATACAGATGCATGAAGCCGACAAAGAGCATGCCCATAAAGACGCCGCGCATGGCCTTGTTAATGTCCGCCAAGTCGTAGTCTTTGTGCGTCGTCGTGACTAGCTCGCCAGGCTCTTGGCTCATCGGGCTCTTCGGCTCGACGTACTTGAGCACCGTCAGGTCGTTGGCACGCTTGACACGGATCGAGCAGTAGTAGAACACGCCGAGACACAGCAGCTGCGCGCTCACGTAGCCGAGCCGCGCGTACACCACAATCTCCGGATTGTCGTCGAATGGGATCTTCTTGGCCACCTGCATCGCGCCGAACATCAGCGCCATCTGCATGCATGCACGGGGCCTTTCATCAGCCATCACATACGTCGCCTCCACGAAAGCAGAAGCAAAACGCGCCCTGGGCAGGACTCGCGAGCGAGCGGTCCTGGAGCACAACTCACATTGGTGATGGCGGCACTCATTTTGGCGGCGATTCGTTCTCTGCGCTCTGTTCCCGCTCGGACCGACGATGCGTCTTCTTTCCCCTTTTTGTAATCGCGAGGGCAGCCCCAAGTGTCGTCCGTCAAGGTGACGTGGGCAGGATGGCTGGCTTGAGAGGGACACTCGATGGGGATGGGAAAATGGGTGGATACGTGTGCAGGTATCGGAAGACGTGGAAGGTTCAAGAAAGCTCGACGCTGCGCGCTCTCCCCTCATGCTCTCCCTCTCGTACACCGCTTTTTTCGCTTATCCTCTCTCTCGCTTCCGCCCCCCCACGCGCTGACACACAGCACGAGAGAGTGTGTCACTGACTAGCCCACGTAGCCAGTCGCGCAGATTCATTCTGCAACCTGCGCCTCACAATCATTCAGCCGACCAGAGACTGCCTACCTGTCCATTGTGGAGGGCGTATGACGAGAGCGGCAGAAAGAAGCTGCGTCTTCTTGAGCGCCTGGGATTCTTGTGGCTTGGTGGCTGCCCTTTTGGACAAAACATGGGCTGAACAGCACATTTTCTCGAGCTCCGTTGTGTCGTTTTCAAGTTCACATGCGATTCATGAAGGCATATTCCCAAGCGAAACCCAGACCGCAGACGTCTCGATGGATGGGCCTTCTTCATATCACCGGCAGGAAATAGTGGAAGGGCTCTTATGTATGCATACATGAAAGGTATGCGCCGCACAGCGGGGAAGCGCACAAGGCTACCCATGCGGATCATCTCTGCGCGCGTTCCTTTCGCACGAGTCGCGGGCGTGGCCCCAGCCCGCAAGGTGGGTCTACTAGCTCGTCTTTCACAAAGTCGCTGTGCGATTCGTGCCCGTTGCTGGGCTCAGCCATGTCTGGTGCTGGGCAAGCGAGACGGCAGGATACAAGGCGGCGGATGTTGACATGCAGGGCTGGTCAGGAGCCTATGAACTGTAGAACCACTGGGAAGCATTTATGTCCGACGGTTCATTGCTCCCTCCTGGGTCCGGTTGGATACACATGAGGCCGAGGCCGTGCGGCTTTGTGGATATCAAGAAGACGGCTCAGCTGATGCGATCACGCGGGCTGTACAGTGTGTGGATCAAACGGTCCGGAGCTTTCTTTGTGCAGTGCAATTCGTAGAGGCCCTTCTTGTTTGTGCAGCGTCTCCATCGCACGCTGCGGCAATCCACTCCACACGTCGCGCATGGCAATGCCCACACGTAACCGCTGTAAATGACAGATGGGTAAAGTAATGTATAGCACATACGTACACGATACAGAGCAGGTCACGGGCAGGCTGGGGGTTGGGTTGCCCTCAAGGGAAGCAACTCTGCAACGTACATATTCAGATGCCTGGCTGGTCTCCAGTCTCCACGCACGGGGGGATATCGTTCTTCTCGCGCTGATTACACATTGTCTCGACTGTGTGGCTCCACAGTGACTGGCCTGTGCCTCGCGGCGGCAGAGTGATTAGGGTTGGACTCTGTGCGGGCAGTGTGGGCTGTGTGGGGGCAATGGGCCCAGCCCACTGGCACACTGCCATCCTGGGAACACTGCGCGCATGGGCGCTAGCCAGTCCGCTCCCTAACCCAAACCGCACACGCGGCCAGCCCCTTTGGCCCTCTCCCCTTTGTATGTGAGGTAAGGTGTGGCAAACGAGAGAGACCGACCGACCAACCAACCAACCAACCTCCGCGCTCACACAAAGCCGATAGACAGACCAACATCCTTGTCAAAGCTTGCATGTGCAATCCACATATCTTCTTCTTGTCATTGTTGTTGGATGTATCAGCTTGATGCTCATCTCTGCAGATTCCTCGTACAAAAGAGAAAAAAAGGTCGGGCCAGCTCCAACTCCAGCACCAGCACCAGCAGCGAGCGACAGCCAGTGTCACGGCCAGGCCAGCCTTTGCGCTATTTGTATCCACCTCGGCATCCCTAGCCCGTAGCCTAGTGTACCCACTCTTACCAGCAGCTATATAAATCAGGGGCAAGTAGGCGAGGAAAGACGAGGGGAAGCGAAGCAAGGCAAAGCCAAGAGCACGTTGCCGTCCCCTTCACACATCTTTCTGCACCAAAGAAAGCGCACGCGGTAGCCTACAGTTTGACACGCAGCCATGTCCTGGAAGCTCGGCAAGAGTGAGTCGACCTCAACCCCGGCCTGCCTTACCCTCTCCTATAGTCATCGTCGTCGTCGTCTCCACCTCCCCCCATTGCCTGGAAACTGACAAAAAACAACCATGCGGACCTGATTTCTTCTCCCCCTCCCTTTGTTGGCAGAGCTCAAAGAAGGCGCGCTCGCAGGCCGCTCGCCGTCCATCGGAGGCGGCAGCAGCAGCGCCGTCCACCTCGACCGCTCTGCGACACCGACGCCCGGCAACCCGAACCCCAGCCAGCAGCAGTATGGCCTCGACGCCTCATCGCCAGCGGGCGCTAGCGCCAGGAGCAGCGGCAGCGGCGCGTCCAGCTCGAGCGGCGCCAGCAACCCGCTTGCATCTTCTACCGGCGCGCCGATCAACCGCAGCGGCTTGCTCACCATTGGCGTCGTCGAGGCGCGCGGCCTCAGCCTCAGCGCAGGTCAAACCGTTCCGCCGGCGATCCAGCGCGCGATCCAGCAGAATGGTGGGATGGGTGCGTGTCGGCTAACCAGCGCAGGAAAACGAGAGCGAGCTCTATCTACCAGACCTTGGCACCTGAGCTGATCCCATTCGTTCTTCCTTCCTGCAAATAGGACCGGCGTCGCTGACAGGCATGTTTGCCGCCTCGTCGCTCGAGTCCAAGTCTCCCTCACCCGCCAGTGCAAACGGCGCCTCATCAGCAGCAGCAGCAAAAACAAACAACCGACAGTCGATGCAGCGGCGCCAGCACTGGTGGCTACCGTACATTGTGCTCGAATTTGACAAGAATGAGGTGCTCATCGACGCCGTCAGCGGCGACCTTGCCAGCCCAGCGTGGATGTACAAGGCCAACTTCGATGTATCGCGCAACTCGGAGATCAGCCTGCAGATTTACTTGCGCTCCGGCGTCAGGGGCTCGGGCGGCGCCAGCGTTAGCGGGGGAGGAGGGGCAGCAGGCGCAGATCGGGCTGCGGTAGACGGCTCGGCGGCAGGCACGGGTGGGAAAGAGGGCAGCGCAGCGAATGGAGACGGCGGCGGCGCCAGCAGCAACAACAACAGCGGTGCAGCAGGCGCAGATGGGAGGGACACGCAGGGTGACGACGTCATGTCCGTTTCAGATCTCTACCTGGGCGGCGTCAAATTCGTACCGGACTTTGAGTCCGCAAGCGCCTCGCGCAGCGCCGGCGGTGCCGTCGTTGCCGATGAGTGGTTCGCCGTCAGCAGTGGTGGGACGGGGCAAGTGCGCATCCAGGTGTCGTACAAGAAGCTCGACGCGCAGGGCTCGAGCCTGAACATGGATGCGTTCGAGTTGCTCAAGGTCATCGGCAAGGGCAGCTTTGGGAAGGTGATGCAGGTACGCAAGAAGGATACGAGCCGCATCTACGCCCTCAAGACGATCCGCAAGGCACACATCGTCAGCCGGTCCGAGGTGACACACACGCTCGCCGAGCGCACCGTTCTTGCGCGCATCAACAATCCATTCATCGTCCCTCTCAAGTTCAGCTTCCAGTCGCCCGAGAAGCTGTACCTGGTCCTCGCGTTCGTTAACGGCGGTGAGCTCTTCCACCACCTCCAACGCGAAGGCCGCTTCAACGAGGAGCGTAGCAGGTTCTACGCTGCCGAGCTCCTATGTGCGCTCGAGCACCTCCACAGCTTCAACGTCATTTATCGCGACCTCAAGCCTGAGAACATTCTCCTCGACTACACTGGCCACATCGCCCTCTGCGACTTTGGCCTCTGCAAGCTCAACATGGGCGCTGACGAAACGACGAACAGTGAGTGTGCCTGCATGCATGCGGGCACGCGTGTTCGGCCTGGGCTGACCCTCTCCCCTCTCTTCGTTCCCTCTCTGCGACGCGACGCCAGCCTTCTGCGGCACGCCCGAGTACCTCGCACCGGAGCTGCTGCTGGGCCAGGGCTATACGAAGGCGGTCGACTGGTGGACGCTCGGTGTCCTGCTGTACGAGATGCTGACGGGCCTCCCGCCGTTCTACTCGGAGGACGTCAATGAGATGTACCGTAAGATCCTGCAGGACCCGCTGCGCTTCGGCGACGAGGTCCGCCCGGACGCACGCAGCCTGCTTACCCTCCTGCTCAACCGCGACCCCGCGCAGCGCCTCGGCAGTGGACAGAGTGGCGCAGAGGTCATCAAGGCGCACCCCTTCTTCAGCAAGCACATTGACTGGAAGATGCTCCTCGCTAAAAAGGTCCGCCCGCCATTCAAGCCGAGCGTGGTGAGTGTCGCGGCTGGCTTCCTCAGCGATGCTTGTATGCGCTACACTAAAAGGAAAGGCAATGTGGTGCATCCCTGCCATGCGTTGTAACGCAGTGCGAGCCGAAGCGAGTCCATGCGTGCGCTGAACTTGCGACTTTCGCCCCCCCCCTTCTCCTTTAACCAGGCATCGGCAATCGACACGTCCAACTTCGACCCGGAATTCACCAGCGAAGTACCCACGGATTCGGTTGTCGACGACAGCCACATGCTCAGTGCAACCGTGCAGGAGCAGTTCGTCGGCTTCTCCTACAACGGCCCCAACGAGCTGCACCAGGCCGAGAGTCTGCGAGATTGATGATTGACAATCGATCTTCGATCATATGCGTCGGCGTCGCCCCAGTCATCCTTCGTCCTCGGCTTCCGCTTGCCATTATAATGCCCCAATGGACCGCGCGCATGCTCAGACGCCCGGGCGCGGCCTGGCTTCATCCCTCACACCCCACTGTAATTGCAACCTCTTTATGGCTTTCGTATTCACGCCTGCACGGCCCTCTGTGCGGTGCGTGCTGGCAACCCAGCCGGGCGAGTGGATCCCAGAGATCCCGTCGAAATGCAAAATGCATTCCCATACAAGGTATGGACGCGGAGCGTATGATACAAAAATAGCGAGATGGAGCATGTACCATGCTGGTAGTATGTGACATGCATGGTATTAGCGTGTCTGCGCGTCAGCACGTTGTATGTGTGTAGCCTGGGCTTGTAGAGCAGCAAGGCAATATATAGGGACTTGCGATGCGTGGGGGTTAGGTGGAGAGACTATGCGCCTTTGCAATCACGGAATCCAACCGTCTGAGGAGGCGGCGGCAACATGCCGGCGAGGCCTCATGCGGAGCGCGATCGACCGCGCTTGCTCGCCTCGGAAAAGGTGGCGGAGAACAGCGCGTGTGATTGCGACCAAAGATGGCCCCACTCGTCAATCGTAAACGTGATGCTGCTCAACGTGAGAGGCAGCCCCGGACTGGGTTCAAGTCCACGGCCAGCGCTCGTCGGCTTCGACGACTCGCTCAGAGAGCGCGAAGTCCACGGTTGCCCATCCCATGAGAAGCCCCCGGTATCGGCGCCGTTGCAGATATCGATGCAGAGGCAGACGTAGGCGCATCCGGCGCCATGTAGGATGTGCGCGCTCCAGCACATGCGCTGAAGTGCTGGATGTTATCCGTGCGCGACGGTTAATGGTCATGACCTCGAGCCCGATCTGCTTTTTCCACTCTTTGGCCGACCGCAGAAGTCAGTCTCGCCCACCGTGCTGCCCTGCGCAGGAGTAGAAACGGAGAGCGTACGTGACCGCTGTTGTGCCTCCTTGTTCGCATCTACACGATCGCGCTGAACACAATGGTATGTCATAGACGAGTCAAGCCAGAGACGCTTGCGAGTACGCACTGGCGGTGTGTGCTTGCACCCATCGGATCTTTGGAACGCTCGCCGGGTTCTACTATGCTTTCGTGCGGTTTTCCGCCATTGTCAAAATGACGGGGCCCAGGCAGAGCCACAGCGTGGATAGTTGGCGAGCGGGTTCTTGAGAAAGACAAAGACGAGTGTGATTCGTCCGCGCCCTTGCCTGAGGATGGAGAACGCGCTCTTGATGGCTGGGTGACAGATGGCGACTTGGAGTCTGCTGTGGCAGACTCTGGGAGTGCACGTTTCGAGTTCAACGGCGGACCGTCGGATTGTTTGAGGGGCGGTACTTGAAGCCCGATGAAAATGACTTCCTCCCCTGGCTCCGATTTCTCGTTCCTGTCACTGTGCACCGTAAGCCACCGCAACCACTTGCCTTATAGAGTCTCAGAGCACCTGACAGTCATGGTGTTCATGCCGACGAGCGGCGCAGATTTCAAAGCTCCTGCTTATTTCCTATCGGTTGCGAGCAGCCCTCCAACGAACGCAACGATGAAGCTCGCGGAGGCGCTCACCATGTGCGCGAGAGATGCAAGGTCTGATGGAAGCGAGAAGAGTGACACAGAAGATGTAAGCCGGCAGGACAAAGACATGACCGGAATATGCTGCAAATTTCCAGTGGCCCTGGCCAGTGGCAAACGTCCACTCGCAATACATTTACTCGACATCGAGAGGAATGGAGTATACCACCGCGTGTACCGTTGAGAGGGAGACGGTGGAGAAAATGGCTGCCAGGATCCACAAAAGGAGTGAAAGGCATGCAAGTAGTACGACGTTTGCAGGACGGCACCGACGGCCGAGTCGGTTCGTCATGCTGGTGTATGAGGTGCAGACAGCGAAAAGGGCTGCCAAAAAGAATAGTATATCAGTTCGCCAGTTTCTTTAAGATCAAGATATGCACGCTCAGCCAAAGCGCTGGCGACGACCCAGAAAGTCAGCGAGACGTTGACGCGTGCTTAATGGCTGTTTGAAAGGGAGAGAGCCAGGTCCCAAAGGGGTAGCCGAGCCCCAGTGCCGCAGAGGGTACATTGGCGATATATTTGCGCGCGACGCAAGCCAGACATTGCTTTGTGGCTAAGCGACGTTTCACTGGTCTCTTCGCTTTCTGGCTGGAAGTGGTAGAGCTTCTCGCCCGACGCGGGAGCATTCGGGACGTTGGCTGCCTATTCCACTGCAGTCGACTCCTCGTCGCCTTCGAGACCCAGGAGCCCTCACTGCCACCTGTCCGGTCGCATTCTCTGTGTATACTTGTCTTCAGTTCCATTTTCGCACACGCTGCAGCGCGTGAAGCGGCGCCGAGCCAAGGCTGCCCCCAGGGCGGCCATATCGGCCTTGAACCTGGTCTCGGGGCAGTGGATAGTAGATGGGCGAGGACAATGGCAACCTGGAGGCTGAGATTGTTTGTCGTTAGTTGCGAGCTACTTCAAATTCAAGACTTGAGACAAATACATGGCTACCGTGGGATGCCTGGTCGGCCAGGATTGCCACACTCGCCCGGTGAAGTTTCCATGCATGCAAGACACGCAAACTCTTTCGTCGCTACTGCACCACGTTTGCGAGGTACAACTTTTTATAAGGCACAGCAAGCCATACCACTTTGAACGTGGTCTGAGAGTCGACCAAAGCGAATCCCAGTGGGCGAATGTCCAGCGCTTGGGGAGACTTGATTCCTGTGAACGCATGGCGTAAGGCAGAGTGATCGAAACACTGAGACAGCACCTTGTCACGGTCCTACAGGACCATCAGAGCACGGCTCGCGTGCTCGTCCACATCTGGCACTCGCACATCCGCGTACAGAAAATTGAAAGTTGAAATGCACGCAACGAGCACAGCTTGAGATGAATGGTCGAGGTCAAAGAGCTAGACAAGAGTGGTCTTTCATCCGCAGGATGCAATAATCTTAACAGGATCCGCACAGTGTCACAAGAGTGTCTGTCACCCTCAATTATAGCGTCCCCGATCGTCTACGAGTCTGGGCTCACGGCGCAATCAAACACTTGAGCTGTAGTCTGCGGTGCCTGCCCAGCTAAAGTACACTGAAGGGGCAACCATTCATTTTGATTCATACGCCCGTTGGCCCTGGCTGGGAGAATGTTTGGATTGATTTGATGGATTGCACCGCCACATCTCTTTCCAACGCAGCCCATAAACTATCTCATTCCAGGCCGCCTAGTCAAGTATAGATGCCCAGATCTCGAAGCCTCGAGACCGGCTTTGACCGTGTTTCATCTGCATGTGTCACTTTGCTCAAACTCAGCACAACACATGGTATCTCCAAATACCCTGGTCGATGGACCAGCTCATACTCTGAACACAACGAGATGACCGCAAACGAAGTCCTAGCTTGATTCCTCTCGGTCGCACACTTCATGGCAAAAGCTGCTCCAAGCCGCTCCCGAAAACGCGAATCGAGTGAAACGAAGAGAAGGGAGAAACTCGAGGAACTCCACATGCTCGCCAATCCATGGAAAACCCCAGCGAATGCAACAGGCAAAATGCCAAGGCACCCGACGCATGGAATTTGGAGGGACTGTCAAACTCTGTGTTAGTTTGTCGTGTGTTAGCCATTATCTCAAAATGCGTAGTGTACAGTGCATACAAGCGTACTCGAGCTCATTGAGCCTGCTGCTGAAGGTGATGCTGGTAAAGAGGCTGCGGCCTTGGGCGAAGCACGCAAGGGAGGATACAGGACGTGGACGATAATGAGGTGTCATCACACTCCATTCGCCTCGACACCATTCGCAGAAGCTGTACTCGCCCTGCGCGCAGCGAGCGCCTGGCTCTCCCTCTCCGCCCTAGCGGACGCATGCGCCCTCTTAGCGTCTTCACGACGCGCTTTGCGTTCGGGGGCATAGGAAACGAACTGCGCAAGGACGATAAAGTCGAGCAATATCGTGCCAAGCGAGCCGACGAGCCAGGATAGATTCTCGAGCAGGTAGTCCGGGTCAGTCGACGTGATCATGATGCTCTACGAACGGGCAGTGCTTTTGATCAGCGTCCATAATCTCGCCTAATCAGAGGGGAGCCGAGCTCACCGCAACGTATGTCAAATTGCCCATGACGGCAAAAAGGAACAGAGCCAGACTCAGGCCTTCGCACTTGGTGTGCATGTTCTTTGCGATCTGTGGCAGGCGAGAGGACACTGTATGCGTTCCGAGTCAAGGGTGCTTTCGGTAAGACACGGTACCGGGAAACCGAGCTGCATGCGAAAATGGCTCACAATAAAGAAAGGCACTTGCCCAGCCAAAGACCTGTGCATCCCATTTCCACTCCTTAGCCGGCCGCCCATCTTTCCCGCCGTCGTCTCCGGAACTGGGCTTTTTGTCGCCGGCGCTTGTAAAGTACCAGGCAAGCACGCCGGATATGATGACGAGGGCGAGGGCGAGTGCGTAGCGCAAAGCCTCTCCTTGCCACGTCGATGGCGCCGCACCTTCCTCCTGCATTGCCTCCTCATGCGTTGCTGCCGCACATGAGATCGCGCTGCTACCCGGGTGCTGATGCTCTTCGTGGTCACCGTTCGCGGCCGTGGGCAGGAGGAGCGTGCGCTCGTCTAACGACGCGGCATGCTGGGAGTCCTTGATGATGCGCTTTCCGTCTCGGAAGTAGCGCCTGTAGTAGATAAACTGTCCGATGAGGGCAATATCGCAGAGGCAGTAGTAGGCAGCCAGAATGATCTGCGCAAAGGATGGTCGAATGGATCCGATGAGCTTCAATGTAAGAGTAGTAGTACCTTTCGCGCGTTGTTCTTACCATGGTCCAGAGAAGGCCCTGTCGATACGCGCCAATGCCATTCAAGGCATCTCCAGCCAGCCAGATGCAGACGAACTCGATGCTAAGCCCATCGGCCGATTTGAGGACGTAGTTCTCGTGCAACTGGCTGAAGGAGGGAATAAGCTGTGTCAGAGAAGTGTAGACAGGCTTCGCATCAGCAACAAGGAGGGGGATTGAATATGCACGGAGAGTAAACAATAACCCATGATGCTGGCGTAGAAGTTCATGTAATGGAAAACGAGGTGAATTGAAATTGTCAGCACAACTGACTTTCGCAAACGCACCTCTCATCATCATTGCTGGCACTCACCGATCGAGACCCAGCCGAAAATGCTACTCCACTGCTTCCGGGGGTCTATCGAGTGGTCAGATGAATTATTCTTCCTGAACAATGCTTGCATTTCCGGTCCTTCTACGATCTGCTGCCGTCCTGCCAAGTCTTCATGTATTGATGTGGACGTTGGCGCTGTCGACGCAAGGGTCGCTGCGACCAGCGCGACTGCCGCTGCTGTTGCTGCAGCTCGCAAGATCCTCCGCCGGGCGGTGGGCGCCATTTGACACCGGCGGTAAGGCGATGAGACCATGTTGGAAGCGTGGGGGATTCTATACCTGCTTCTTCTGGGGTTCAGGCGGATCGTTCTGAGCGACGTTGAAGCTGGTGCGAGAGATCTAATAGTCGTGTAACGAAGTGATGAAGTGGTCCTCAAGGAATTGATGGTGTCCGCGAAAGATTTTTTTTCGAGTGAATGCATGCGGTCATCATCGAGGACATGGCGCTAAAATCATCCCTGGCAGCAGATCAGTCTTGTGCAGTCCAAGTTATTTTGAGGGCAAGTCCTTTTTGCTTGCTTCAGGCGGCTGGGCGTGGCCCTAGTAAAGAAAAAGAACGGAAAAAGTTGCGTGTCCGTCGAAAGTGGGGCCGGTGGTAAAATCCCCTCAATCGCTGATATTTAGAGGAAGCCAACAGCCAAAATGAGAGAAATAGGAAGCACGATCACCAATTCACTTGTGACTTTTGCCGGGGATCTGCGGTAAAAGCGCATTCTCCTCAACAGTTAACCACACTTCCTGTGGCTCGACTCTTCATTGTCAGTCTGGGGTCAGAGCGAAAGTTGTTGACCTCACCCAGCGTCATGATGCAATTGGCATACACGAAACACAGTAACGAACACATGCAGAGCATATCAATTTCCTCCATCCGATTACAAAGAGGGACACAGTGCGACGATTAAAGCGTCTCTTGAGAACCTGGGCTCGTCTTGTCTTACGTCGTATTACCAGTGCATCGCAATCCTCCTTACCCCACTAGGAGCCATTGCGTGCTGTCTCCTCGAGCAGTTGAGCGAGCTGTAGCGCACAAGTGCAAGTCAAGTCGATTCAAATGTCAGTAAAGTTGCATTGGACGGACAGAGTGCCACAAGCCCAAAGCTGCAGGCTCCGCACTCACTTTCAGCGCGCCGCTCCGGAAGCTCTCGATGCCGTTCTGGACATCCGGGTTGCTCATGAAACGCTGGTAGTACTCCTTCGCTGTCGCTTCCAGCTCAGTAAAGTCGCCATTAACGAGCCCTCCGCCATTGCGACTTCCGCCGTAGCCGCGCCCGCTCCAGCCGTCATCGTCACCCAGGCCGTCCTCCTCCTCTTCGCGCCCAAAGTACTGATTCGACGAGATCGATGTCGCGTTACTGAAGCCGGCCAGGCGCTGCTGTGCCTCGGAAGAAACATTGGGGTCGTAGCCGCCGCGCTCAAAGTACATATCGGAGGAGATGGCTAGCGTAAGAGAAGGGAAAGGTATGCAGCGTGTTTTCGTCAGCCATGGCAGCGTGGGCATCGAGGAAGGAAACATTTCAATCACTCACCTTTCTGACCGCCGAACTTGCTGCGTGCATAGTTGGGGGTGTCTGCCTCAGCCTGCTGCCTCGTGGAATGCTTGTCCGATTCGTTCTGCAGCCGGAGGCGCTCGGCCTTCAAGCCGAGCTTGCCAAAGCCCATCCCGAGTCGCTCGATCTCCTCCGCCGACACCTTCTTCCCACTCGACGCGGGAGACGTAGGCGTCGCCGGCATAGCAGCTGCAGATGTTAACGACGATAACGAAGCAGCGAAAGAAGGGTTGACGGGCGAGCCGGTGCTGGCGATGGCCGCCTGCACAGCCTTGCGCGCCATCTCCTCCACTGTGGCTTCTGCCACCGCCTCACTCCCATTCCCAGCTCTAGCATTCGCCGACGCGGTAGCCGCGGCACTCGCAGCGATCGCCTCGGCCTCCTCCTGGCGCTTGCGCGCTTCCGCCTCCTCGGCGCGTTTCTGCGCTTCTTCAAAGTTGAAGCTGGCACCGACAGCCTTCTTCACACCCCCGAGCTTGCCCTTGCTGCTCCCTGCGCCAAGACCGCCAGCGGAGGATCCTGCGCCGGTCGCACCAGTTCGGATGGCTCCGAGCCCAGTTCGACGCGTGCCGGCGCCACCTGTGGCGGTAGTACTATTGGAGGAGGAGGAGGATGACACTGCTGCAGGCCGTACTGCTGGGACTGGCTTGGGCTTAGGAGCTGCTGCCGTTGTCGTTACTGGTGTTGCCAGTGGGCGAGAGGCAGCGCCGATCCCAGGTAGACCAGCCGGCCGAGCGGCTGCTGCTGCTGTCACTGCAGCTTTCTTCTTGGGGGCATCATCCCAGTCATCGAAGAAGTCATCTTCGCCATCCCCTGCATTGGCCTTTCCAGCTGATGCTGCGCCATTCGCGCCAGATGCGGCCGATGTCATACCTGGGAAGATGACCGGGCTGCCGAGCGGCTGCCCCTTAGCATCCGCCAACGCGAGCTTGTTCAGCTCCTCCTTATACATCCTCGCAGTGTTGCTGGTATACTTGACCTTGCCCTCCGTGCCCGGCATCAGCAGCCCCTGCCCGCCATGTTTGCTGAAAAACTCGGCCGCAGCGCCGTTCCCACCGACCTTCATGAAGCGCAGCTGAGCCCAGGTCCAGCTGTCCAGGTTGGTGGAGCGAACAAAAGTGATATGCACGCCGAGGTTGCGGTGCACGGAAGAGCAGTCAAGGCATATGTAGATGGCATATGTGGCGGAGGCCCATGTCGGGTTCTTCGCCCCGCAGTCAAAGCAGACCTGGTCACAGCGTAGACAGAAGGGAGCCCGACATGAGTGGACAAAGGTGAGCAAACATCGGTTGAGCGTTGACCAAGGGTAAGCGCCATTAGCCTAAACAGACATTATGGGCAGCGTGATCGACCAGGCAGCAATATTGTCATGGTGCCCCCAACCCGTCCTCATCCACCCTGTGACTTCCTACCCGCTGCCTTCCTTTCCGTCCACCCCTCAGGAGATAGGGGGTTCACAGCCTAAGCACGTCTGCGGCGCGATCCGGCGGCGGGGAGATGAATCAAGCAAAGGCTCACCTTGTTCTGCTTTGCCTGATTTTTGAGATGCTTGAAGATTTCGGCCGTCTCTTCCCGCGAGGAGGGACCGGACGGCATTTTGTTGGCGCTGGGACAGCGGATCTCCCGGCTGATATCTTTTTGACGGGGGAGGGCTTTTGCCTTTCTTGATCGATTGGGGCCTCGAAGTTTGCTTCAAAAGCACTCAGGATGGTGTGTTTGGCTGTGTTTGAGATCCGCGACTGAAGGTGAGGCAAGGAAGCCTGAACAATAGTCCTATGAAATGCTAGGAGCAGCTCCATGGACTATTCGTTACCGAGAGTGGCAAGAGCGGCATGTCGGCGTGGCGCCGCAAAATGCTTCCCTGGAAGCAGCCGCATGCGTTGCACCACGCCAGTCATATTCCGTGTAAATCCGGTCAGTCGCCGCTAGCATCACTCACTCCAGTTCACCACTCCAGCAACCAGACGTCAAGTAAAAGGCTTCTCGACACGCGATGCACCAAGGAGAACTCACTTCATCTTGGTCCTTAATGGGAGCTGCAGGTATTGCTGTACATCCATAGGAGGCAACGAACTGCAAGCTAGACGTCAGACACACGAGGCGAATCGCGTGTCAACAGTCCTTCTCTCACCGACAGCATAGGCGTCGAGGGAGGATTCGCTCGTGGAGACTCGACACTGATTACTTCTCACATCTCGGTGTGTTTCCATCACATCTGACGCTACAGATTGGCCAATCGACTCTTGTGTTCTGACGCGTTTATCCATCTGTCTGCTGTGACGGTGCTCGACATAGACAGCCTTCTGTCTGTCGTGTCTTAAGTGGGCGCGCCTGGCTCCCTTCTCAGGCGACTCGTACAGGAGGCTCGGCCGCGCCTCTCTTGTGCCCTGCACGATAGCACTTGCATAAGGGCAGGGTGATGAATCGAGGCGACTTTCCACGACTGGGACCGCTCTTATCGAACTCATCCACGAGCGCGACTACGACACAGCAGCAACCTTCGCTCGCAGCCATTCTCAACGCACACGCCCCAGCGCAACCGCAGTCATACTCTCAACAGCAACACGACTCATTTTACCAGCAAGCAGCAGGAATGTTTGGCTCACTAGGCCGAACCGCCGCCTCTGTCCTTGGTGGAGGGGGCGGGGGCGGATCGAGCAGCACCAGCGGAGGTGGTCAGGCTAGCTTTGGTGCTGATGACTTCCCCGCGCTCGGTGCGCTCGGCAGCGTCACCAATGCCAGCAGCAGTGCAGGAGTCAATGCCACCACCGGCCTCAACTCTTCGAACAATGCAGTAGGTGGGGGGGCAGGCCCCGGGTTGCCGCCAGGAGCAGGCATTGGCATGCTGGGCAGCAGTGGTGGCAGTGCATCCGGCGGAGGCGTATCGAGCGGATCGAGCGGTGCAGGAGCAGGTGCAGTTGCGAATGGGGCAGCAGAGCAGGCGAGCGCGCTAGCTGCGCTGCAACATCAGCACGCAGCGCGAGAACAACATCGCCAGAACTTGCTAGGCTCCATGAACAGCGCCTCCACGGCATCCAACAACGGTAGCAGTGGGAACGGGAGCGGGAATGCACCGGGGACAACGAACGGCACAGCGGGTAGGGGTATGCAGCCATCTGTAGGTGATCAGCAGCAACAGCCACTGAATGCTGCAAAGGGAGGCTTCGGGGAACCTGAGCGGAACTACGCGACCAAACTTGGCGCTGGGGCAGGCAATGCTGCATGGCTAGCCGCCGGTGGGGTACTGCCACCAGGTATAAACGTTGCTGGAGCGGGAAACAGCCTCCTCTCAGGGACAGGTTTGAATGGCGTCGGCGCGGCTAGCTCGCCGATGCCGTCAAATGCTTCTGCAGGCGCTGCCGGGACAGGACCGGATTCTGTGCAGCAGCAGCGGGCGGTGGCTGTCGGGGCTGCGCAGGCGGGCGTTCAGCACGGGCCACACGAAGCAGCTATGCTCGCTGCCGCGCAGGCGCAAGCGCAAGCTCAGGCCGCGCAAGTACAACACCTCTCCTCGCAACAGCAGCAGCAGCAGCAACAACATATACCGACCAACTCGAATCCGACGGGCGAAGTTGCACAGACGCCCGCACAGCAGGTGCTCCTGTCCCCCGCTGACCGCTTTGGGCTCGTGGGCCTGTTAAGCATCATCAAGATGCCAGATCCGGACCTGTCAATGCTGGCGCTCGGCGCCGACCTAAGCAAGCTGGGCCTGAATATGAACAGCAGCGAGCCGCTCAGTGCGTCCTTCCTGACACCCTGGTCGGAGCTTGCGACTGCCGCAGGCGCAGGAGATGGAGCCGCAGGGGGTGCAGCGACAATGGCGGCGGGAGGTGTAGGAGCTCCGTTGGTAGAACCCGACTTCCACCTGCCGAGCTGCTACAATGTCCAGCCGCCACCACCAGCACAGACCAAGATCGGCAACTTCTCTGACGAGACGCTCTTCTTTGTCTTCTACTCTGCTCCTCGAGATGTTCTGCAGGAGCTTGCGGCCCAAGAATTGTGAGTCGATGGATGATGTCCACCTTTCGGTAAGGACCGACGCAAGTGCCGGACGTGCTGACGCGCTCAACATCCATACTTAAAACCAGGTATAATCGCAATTGGAGGTATCATAAGGACTTGCACCTGTGGTTGACTAAGGAGCAGAACACGGAGCCGACGCAAAAGACTCCGCAATATGAGCGAGGGAATTACGTCTTCTTCGACCCTGGTCCATGGGAGAAGATTACGAAGAGTGAGTACAGCAGGCCACGGCGAACTTGGCGTTATGATGTTGGCAAATACGCGGGTGCTCACGCCGATGGCTCCACTCTATTGCTGCGGCGTTCGGCCACTCAGACTTTACGCTCTACTACGAGTCGCTTGAAGAGAAGCCGGCGGCACAGGCGCATATTGCACAGCAGGCTGCAGCCGCAGCCGCGCACCACGCTCAGCAACAAGTGCAAGCGCGACGGGCAGCTCATCAGCAACAGCAGCAGCAGCGGCAGCAGCAACAACAGCAACGGCCGTAGTACTAGTCGCAGTAGCAGTCGCGACAGCTGTAATGTAGGCGATATTTCATTCACGTCGATTGACATTTGTACATGGAATTATTCGTGACCGTAGTGAGCAGGGGCTTCATTCGGGAACTACCCGCTTGGAATAGTCAATCACCAGACCCGCAAGGGCTGCATGTTCCTGCAGAATAGATGGGCCTGGCGACCAGACTATTCCTGTGAGCATCTTCCGCGTCGGCTGATAATCGTGCTGTCTGCTTCCGCTTCGCTCTTGCAACCTGCGTGTGCCACAAGTCAGTTATCGGATTGTCCTGTGTACGAGCGTATGTGTACATTTACTTGTATGTACCAAACGAGGATTGTGGGAATGTGGCTGTAAAGAGTCGTCGTTGCTTTGTCCATGGTGCGTTCCTGTGCCATTCTCTGCTCCCTCCACGATCAGACAAAAGGGGACTTCGATCGTGGGTGTACGATGCTGGTGCTGACACCATGATATCCTTGGTGTGAGATGGATACGATCCCATTGCTTCCAGCCATCTGCGATCTGCCGTTGGAAGTTGACCAGACCCGGGCAGCATGCTAGTTCCCTGGTAGCATTTGATGCCCGGGCGATTTCTCCTTTAGCCGCTAGCGCACTCGACGCCTTCGACGGACCCCACATATTTCACCGACCTCCCGTAGAGTGCAGTCGTCTCATGTCTGCTCAATGAGGGTGAAAAAAGCACCATCCAGTCCTGCTCAGTAGCCACCAGTCAGAATTGGCACGACTTTCGAGCTCGCACCGCGCGAAGGGACCGTTCCATCACTATGGTTGGCAGCGACTCTCCCACGCAGCCCGAGCAGGCTCTGCGGCAAGTGCCGTCGAGCACGTCCTTCAGCAACCTCTCCATCTATTCGGGACCACAAGATCATGCGCGGCCGCACACTCCCGACCCATATCTCAAGCCGCTGAAACCGGCGCTGAAACATGCTTATTCGCATGACTCGGCAAGAACGACGTTTACTTTCGGAAGCACCACCGCTGCTCCCTCGTACCCCTTTTCGGTGCTTTCCTCTGCCTCGCTCGCTGACAATGGCAAACGACATCCTGCTAGTCCCGAAACTTCCCGGCCTTCAAGTCCGGCGCCGCTTTTTTCACAGCAGCTGGCCGCGGCCGTAACTGCAGCAATAGGATCGGCGGAGGTGGACTCTCGAGTGGAGACGCAAGCCTTATTTCTGCAGCAGCAAAAGCTACATCAGCCGCAGCCGAGACAAGCGCAGCCGTTTGTAGAGGCCATCATCCCACCTACTCCGATTCAGGAGCGAGCACCTGCCGAAGTGAGCTTTGCTAGTGATACCACCGCCGATACACACTCTGCCCAACCAGCGAGCCTCGCTATACCCTCGCCATCTTCTACTTCAATTTCGGGCTCGGCATCGGCGTCCGCTTCTCAGCCGCAAAGGAGGGCAAGCCTCGATGAGCAGCCTTTTTCTGCTCCGATAGCCAAGATGGCAAGCAGCAGCAGTGACAGCGGCGTTGAACGCAAGCCAAAGCACCAGCATTTGCACCATTATCACTTTTGGCACCTCGGGTATCATCACCATCACGATAGAGACAAGGAGGCGAACCACCCTGCGTCACTGCTGTCGTCAGGTAGCAACACGGGCAGTGCCAACACACCCGTCTCTGCACCGCCTGGAACCCCTGCCCATACTCTGGATGGCGTAAACGAAGTAACTTCGATGGCCTCTGCGTCAGCGTCAGGCTCGGGCTCAGGCTCCCGGACAGGCACAGGAGGAGGAGCAGGACTATCAGCGAATCTCGGGCCCATTGTAGCAAGTCGCGTGCCGCCCAAGGGGTGGGAGCGCAAAGTCGGCTTTGACACGATGCCCGATGCGATGGAGACGGAAAGCCAGAGCTTCAGCTTCACGCTACAGGCCAGAAGCAAAGGCTATGTGCGGACGAAGAACACGCGGACGTTCATGTGCGCCGTGGATAATAATACTTATTCGTGAGTGGGAGCGGCATACGCAAGAAAACATGTTTTCGGTGCTGAGATGCTAAATCCGACCCATGCTGTCTTTGATATGTGATAGGGAACGCGCACTGGAATGGCTCATGGAGTCACTAGTCGAAGACGGCGACGAAGTGGTCGCACTGCGAGTGCTGGAAGGCGAGGCTGATACGATCGACCAGGATGAGGCGCGTGAAGATGCGAATGAGCTCATGGCGCAGGTCGTCGATCTGAACGAGGAGATTCTCGGGCGGAGGGTGAGCGAACGGGTGATCGTTTATTCATATAGTGAGGCGTTCCTGACTCTCTGTTGGACCCCCGATCTCGGCAGATCTCCATCGTGATCGAGTTCATCGCAGGGCGGCCGACATCGACGATCATGCGACTAATCCACATGTATCGCCCCGATTCACTGACAATCGGCACGCGCGGAAAGTCAGCCAATGCGTTGCAAAAGATGCTCAGTGGTGGCTCCCTTTCGATAGGACACGTCTCGCGGGACCTACTCTCGCGCTCGCCCGTACCAGTCGTCGTGGTGCGCCCGGAAGCAAAGGTGCAGAAGCATCTCAAGAAGCGTCTGAATGACCCTGCACGCCGGGGCTACCATGACCTGATCAAAGGTAGCGGGTTTGACCTGCAGGCCCTGCCGATGAGCGTCAGCAAGTCCAAACGTGAGAGTCTGCATTTGCACCATCATGGCAGCTCGAGGCGCAGTGTCAATACCAGCAGCAGTACTTTTGGCAGCAGCGCAGAGAAGAGTAAAGGGCGGCATCATAGGAAGACTACCTCGAGTTCGTCTTTATCGAATGTCGCGGGTACAGCGAAAGGCATCACAGGCGATGTCGGGCTCTCCAGCGCGCGATCGAGCATCGACGCGGACCACCTATCATCCCAGTTCGCAAAGCCCGACGCGTCAACTTCTGATGCAATAAACGCGGACGCAAGCGCAAACGCTGGCGGAAGTGCAGATGCCCTCGCACCCGTCCCGTCACGCTCGTCACAGCATTCGAGCGATAGCCATTGGCTCCGCGTGGATGAAGAGGGCAATTGTTACACATCAGATGGCTCGGCTGGTACAAGTGCGGCCGGCAAGGAGGTGGAAACCGCGCTGCGTGTCGCTGGCGCCGGTACGCGCGCTCGGGCTGGTGATAGCGCTGGCGTGCATTGATTGTTGTCTACGCTAGGCTTGTGTTAAGGACGCAAGCTGGGGATCGCCAATTTCCTTGCTAGGCGTACCCCATGCTTTGTCTAACTATGGAGCGTCAATGATATAATAGCATACATGCGGATAAATGCGTGATTAGTCGGCGCAGAGCGGGACTTCGAGGCGCGTAACAGATCATCGTATCACAGGTAGCGCTGCATAGCAAGGAGATTGTCTCTCATCGTCGTATTGTATCACGTTACGCCAGGTCTGATGCTACATAGTAAAAAAGGTAGAAGAGGGAGCAGAGGCGAAAGAGAATGTTTGCGAGCGCGTCGTACATAGGAGGGCGGGAGAGGCACCCGGAGTGAGAGGGAACAAAGGGCTAGTTGACGAGCGTTGGTAAGAGGTGTGACGGGCGCGTCGTGGGTGCGCTGGGTGCGCGTCAAAAATTTGCCAACGATTCGCGTCGTTGAAAACGGACAAACAGCATCGAGAATAGCGTGTCGCATCTGCGGAAAAGTCGATTTGCTTATTGTACGAGGTTGTGTTGTGTTGACGCGTTGATGCACTATGCGCGTCGTGGCGAGTGGGGGGCATATGATGGATGGCATGGGTGTCAACAGACGCGTTCTATGGCTCGACGCGTCGAAATCCACACGCGTACCTTGTGGGAACGCGCTCGTAACGGTTAGGCTTGCCTCTTGGGGTTCGAAGGGTGGTGCTTCCACTGTTTGGCGGCTTCCTTGAACGCCTCCTTGTGGTCCAATTGGGGGTTCTTCTTCTTGATATCGGCGAGGGCGTCCTTCATGTACTTGTTGTACGCGCTCTGTTTCTTGCCCGTGCTGCTGGCGCTGGCGCTGCCCTTTTTCTTGGCATCTGCTGCAGTCTTCTTGGGCGGCATGGTGATGGAGTGTTTGAACGAGTTAGTTTTGTTTGGTAGGTACGGTTTGGGTGAAGGCGAGGATGATGGATGGGGGATGTAAAGAGGGAAAAGGATAGTAGGGGAGGGCATGTACCCTATGGATGGCTCTTAAGTATAGTACTGAGCACCCGCTCTCGTTCTATATTTGATACTGACCTTGCGGTACTATCTCTCTCTCTCTTTAGAAACATGTATTCGATACTGATCTATAGTCCTATAGTCCTACAAGAGACAATTAAAGGGAATGAGGAGGACCGCCGCGCGGACCATTGGTGGATCAGCAGTCGCCCCCGCAATGAATGATACCTGTCTTCCTCTTCATAGCCTTGATGTGGTCTCAAACAATGCGATACTATCAGCAATGATACAACATCACAATGAGGCAGGTCCTATGAAGGTTCAATCGATATTCTACGCGCGTGCCTCTCTTTTCATGCACTATCGCACCCATGGCACTACGCTTCTCTCACGATATGAGATCTCCCATTGATCCAGAGTTGCTTATACATACAATCAGTCCAGGCGCTCGAACCAGAGACTGCGGGATAAGTGCAACACGCCCTGACTTGTGAGGCTGTGATGCCCAAGTTGTACTTTATTGTACATACGGATACAGATTATACAGGTCCTGGCATACTTGGGCAGTGCGACTTACTCGCGTCGTTGGTGCATATATAAGCTTGAACGCGTGAACACTCAGCAGATGACCACCGTACCAATGTAATTTCGCCATGGCACCAGCAACGATGCATCGAGGATCACGCGATCAAGGATCACTGACGCTTCACGCGTCACGCGTTACGCGTTACGCATTATGTGTCATGGGGATTTACGTCTGTGATGTGCTTGCGCCTTACCGTCAGCCATGCTACCAACTCAGCGCAGCGGCCTAGGTGCAAGCCACGGCGGTCTGTAACCTTACGACCCGGCCGGAGCGGTTGTCCTATTTGAGGCTTTATGCCGTGCAACATGGCATTTAAGTTATCAAGTGCTTAGCTCGTTGCAAAAGTATCCTTGACCGGTATGCTTGATTATAATGTGCACGGTATCTCGCAACGCTGGACCTGACCTCAAGGCCTTTGCAACCAGGACTCAAGCCGGAAGATGGTCTTCACGATTACATTCAACCCCAGCGGGTGTAGACCATCTTCAAGTCTAACATTGTCAAAATAATCAACAAAATCTTCACATCCCTCTCTTCCCGCTCACCCCGGCTTGCGGTCACATTTGCACTCACAGCCGTATCTCTCGCATCCACCCTATCCTATCCTATCCTATCCTAACAGACCAGGCTCAGTGCCTAATAAACAATGAATAAAAGTGATTTAGAACATTTCGCAAAATAATAAATAAATAAAACCCCATTACTATCAAGGGAGGATCAGAAAATCAAAGCTGCGGGTCATAAGTACTAAATAAGAGTTATTTAACCAAGTCGCAAGAATCCGCGATGAACGTTATCATGTGCCAAGGGGAGGGACATGCTGAGGTCCAGATTGCCAAAGCCCGACCACGAATCCTGGGCGTGCTGGTATATAGACTCAGGCTCAGCGTCAGAGTGTTCCAAAGCTCCACCGCTGCCGTGTCGAAATCAAAGCGTAAGCGACGCGTCTGCTAGTTCTAGTTAGCGAATGGGGTACCGTGCGTGAATGCATGCAATTGCTTGCTTGCGGAGGCTTGCGTGTATATGATAGAGTACGAAAAACGATGCGGGTTGCATGGGGATGTGGGAATCGTGATGTATGCAGATCAACCCTCTTAACCGAGCAGCGCATTCAGCACTTGATCATCTGAGATGTTACGGACGCTGCGAATGTGATAGAGGTTAGAGAAACGAGGTCAGTATCACTGTGACTTTCTTGTGATGTCAAACCAAAGTATGCAAGCCAACACTCACTTGGCACCTCGATAATTCAGTCGCCTTAACACCTCAATCACTTTGCTCGAATCAAACCCCATCCCGACAAATTGCTCCACATGCTCCTTCTTCAACCCTGCTTCGAGAATTGCATCCTCCTCATGCTGCGATGGAGTGCCCGATCCTCCTGCGCCAGTGGCGCTCCCATTTGCCGCCGACACGTTCTCCTTACCGCCTCCAGTGCGTCCTGACGTGTCAATTGCAATAGCAGCAGGCGGCGGTCGCGCATTTTGACTCCCGTCTGCGTACGTCTGCGTCCAGTACCGCGCGGTCCGCTCGAAGTCTTCGCGATCGCGCTTATAGTGCTTTGCCACCTCTGCGTCCTGCGGGTCGTTCGGTTCCGGCGAACAAAGCAGCGAGCGCAGAGACAGTAGCGTGGATTTGAGCGTCAGCACCGGTGACCATTGGTCTTTCAAGATGTCAAGGCAGATGGCACCGCTTTGAGAGGAGATATTAGGGTGGTAGACCTTCCGAGGAGAAAAAAATGAATGAGCGTATATCCCGCCGAACGGGAGAGCGTGGGTATTAGGGAGGTACACACACCTTTGTAATGAATTTCATTTTGACTGGCTGAAATGGGTACTGTTCGGGAACAACAATGTCCTGACGGAAAGATCCATAAAAGGATGGGAGATGATCGTGTGAACATGCGATTCGGCTGCAGGCCGACCTTTTCAAAACTGACAACGTCAAACATGCCACGCTCGTAAGGTGAGTTCTCGGGCCCCGGAAACGTTCCGACTAGGTGGAAAGGGGAGTCTGCATTGTTGAGACAGGGGCAAATTTCAATAATGCAGATATGTTCATTGTCAGGCGCTTTTCACTAGATTTCATGAGCGACGAGGCATAGAACGTACCATCAACCATCGCGACTTCGATTCCACTCGTCTTGTCATTCGCACAGTCTGCGATCTCCTTGTTGATTCTCCGTAATCGTGAGCTCGACATGTTGGTCAGAGATGCGTTCGAAGTCGACCCTTGTGAGCTAGCTTCTTGATCCGACCCTTTCGAGTGATCTTGGCGTGCGTGACTTTGATGTGATCAAATTAGAACAGATTGATTGCCTTGCTCGATCCCCGGCGCACACTGATTTCGTGGTCACAGCTGGTAAGCCTGAATGATGGCTATTTGGAGCACCAAGGACAATATTGTTTCGACTCTCGCCGTTTCTTGGGTTACGCCTCGTTGTTCGTATCCCTGGAGATGACAATTGGAGACCAGACCTAGACCTAGACCCATACGCAGGAGCGCGCATGTGTACAGCTCTCTTACATGGTACATACACGAATTGCGATCTATTCACAGCGAGTTCTCAGTTGCGGAACCTTCTCGCACAGTCATTCTCTTACCTGATGAGGAACTCGGAACCCTCGGCCGAAAAGACTGCACCATGTGAAACTTACCAAAAGCCCACGCAGTGGAGCAGCAAAAGCCCCGGATTCCCCCCAGTTCTGATTACGCTTAGACCGTCCTTGGGCACCTGATCGTCACTGAGACTCGAAAAAGACTCCACAGCGCCCGCCCAGCGGTGGCCCCGAGCCACCTGTGAAATCCTTTGCAATCCTCGTGCTGGAGCCCGGACTTCAACTACGACTCCAACTTTGATGACGGTCCAAAAGTTGTTTACACTTCTGTGGACACCTTGGATACAGTAGTTGCCCAACTGGATATCATCCCTTTGACGGCCGCATCGACGTATCGACAGAAAGTTCACAGGTACCCTCGGTCTTTGGTCTGCATTCGCACTCAGCGCCAAGTTGGTGTCGTCCGACATCGCGGTATAGAGATTCACCTCACCCCCAAGTACGCTTCTCAAGCTGGAGCTCAACACTGCCCTTCGATCTTGCTCGCGCGCTTCGCTGCTATCAGCACCAAGAAGCGGAGCATTCGTTCGTGCCAGTCTTCAGAGAACCGCTTCGCCACTGCCCGTCACTCGCACCTCGCGTCAGCCTTTCTCCGTCTCATCTGTCACTGTGAGCTCACGGCTGGACCTAGTTTTGATGCAGTGGCTTCAATTCTGCTCTGACGACCTTTTTTGGCTTCGCTCCGTGGCAGATGTCTCACACGGACGAAAACTGCCTGTTCTGCAAGATCATTGCGGGAAAAATCCCTTCGATGAAGCTTTCTGAAACTGACAAGAGCTATGCATTCCTCGAGTGCGTCGTTTCTTGCCTTTAAAAGTATACGTCTGCAAGTATGCTGATAATCCCGAATGCCTCTGACGTGCCATGTATAGCATCGGCCCGCTCTCCAAAGGCCACGCCTTGGTGATCCCAAAGTACCATGCAGCCAAACTGCATGAGCTGCCGGATGAGTACCTGCATGAGCTTCTTCCGATCGCCAAGAAGCTCGCAATCGCCTCGGGCGCGACCGAATACAACATTCTGCAGAACAATGGGCGTGGAGCGCACCAGCTCGTCGACCACGTTCACGTGCACATGATCCCCAAGCCGAACCAGGAGCAGGGGCTTGGCGTTGGATGGCCGGCCATGACGCCTGAGAAGGAGGAGCTGCAGAAGGTGAGTGCAGAGGTTTTTGTCTTGCAAAATATTTTCGGTGTCCTCAAAGTGATGCTCGGCTTGGATTGTGTCTCCGAAGGTCTTCGAGGAGATGAAGGGCAAGATGTAAAGCATCGGATTCGGCTTGGATCGGGACGAAGCCGTGGAATGGATCAACTACTCTCAGTCGTGCGCTTGATGTCCTGCAGCTCTGCCTGGCCCAAAGTCTCTCATCGTTATGCAACTCGACTTTTTTACATTCAACATTTTCCATATCCGTGACGCAGTGAGGAGCTCGCAGCTCAGTGGACGTAGAGAACTAGGAGCGTTTCGATGGTACTTGATACCTTGGTGCAGCTCATCTGAGGTCGAGCCACACGAATATATGCGTTCTCCCGGAAGATCCGGGGGAAAGGTCCAACATCCCAGGGGATATTGGATTTATTTACCGTGGTTACCGCCTGTCGGGATCTAGATTCTGGTATCTCTTTGGCGCGTTTGGCACGGCGTTGCGAGAGATACCCGCTGAATCATTACATCACAGCACCGCAAATCAGTCCACCTTGAAAGCCTTTACACCGTGGAGGTGATCTGTAGCAGCCTGCCACATGGAATGTGTGAAAGATATGCAAAGACATACACCACACCTTGTCTGGACACTATCTAGGACATCTGTGGACGGGAAGGGGAGCCTCTGCCTGCGGCCGTAGCACTTTCGCATTAATACGCGCGCGGTGCAAGGCTTTCGTTTGGTACACAGCTGCTCCGCTGAACTTCAACCTCTGGAGTCTGGACACATTCATCGAGCTGTCACCGTGTCACCTTAGACGCGTGTTGCAGGCGTAAATTTATAGGCGTCAAGTTGCTCACGCAAGATGATCATCTCAAAAAGGTCAAGAAGCAGGAAAGCCGCCCGAGGAACATTGTTTCGGCCGTCTTCTCCATCTGCCGCACCTGCGCAGCAAGGAACTGGTCTCAAGCCAAGACTCAAACGTCCTTCGGTCATCCTAGCGATAGTTATGCTCTTTACGCTCTTCTTGGGGGTTGCACCTGCCCTCGTAGTCGCTGGGCGAACATCCGGTGGGACGAGCAGCAAAAGCCAAGAAAGAATGCACATATCCAACTTGAGAGCGTTGACGTTCTACAGCAACGCGGTGACGACCTCGCGGCGTACACGGCCCATTCAGCAGATGAAATGCCGTGGCAAACCCTGCGGCAGCTATCAGCCGGACGTTATCTCTTGTCAGGCAATTGGCAGCAGTGGTGGCGTTGGGCCCGAATGGACATGCCAAGCAGACATGCCTTCGTCAATTCGCCTTGGACGCGTGCAAGTCAGCTGCGAGGGCTGGGATAACCCGCAGGATGCGTACATCCTTAAGGGTAAGTGGCTCGTGTTTTGTGTGTACGCTTCTTACATGAAAGATCCGTTACGCTAAGCCTGATCATGTCTTTGCTACAACAGGGAGCTGCGGGCTGGAGTACACGCTACTACCCGCATGGGACGCAGACATGGACGGCAATCGTCGGCACTATGAGCGATGTGAGTCACGTCTTTCAAGTTCGGTTCTGGCGTACCCCTATTCTCCCCACTGCCTTTGCGAGGCAGGCTGCATGTTCAGCAACAATGTTCTGACGTCCCGTCGTCTCCCTCTCCGTGGGTTGTTATGTTGGTAGCTCGCCTCGATACATTGGTCACCATGCTCTTTTGGCTCGCCTTCATCGGCGCGCTCTTCATGATCATTCGCTCGTTCCTCACAACTGCTGGGCTCCTCAGTCCATCCGCCGCCAGTGGGGGTGGAAGACCTGGGGGCAACGGTGGTGGCAGAGGAAGTGGAGGATGGTTCCCTGGAGGCGGAGGTAGCGGCGGACCGTCACATCATTCCTCGAATCCGCCACCTCCTTACACCAAATACGAGCAGCAGAACAATCCACCAAGCCATCCGGGGCAAGAAGGCACAGGGCCTGGGGCCGAGGGTGGCTGGTGGCGCCCCGGCTTCTTGACTGGTCTTGGTCTCGGCGGGATTGGTGCGAGTCTGTATGCGTCCGCCGCGCGGGAAAGGGAGCGCAGGCGGCAGGCGAGCTGGGATTGGGATCGCGGCGGAAGGTCGTATGGTGGTCCAGGCTGGGGAGCCGCGACGGGTTTCGGCGGAGGGGACAGCTATTGGCCAGGCTCTAATCGAGGCGCGGGAATATTCGATACAGACGGCTTTGGGCGCGGTCCTGGTAGATTCACGGGAGGGGGAGATGAGCCTGGACCAAGTAGACGTAGCTCGTCCAGAGAGGATATGAGGACTAGCACTGGCTTTGGCGGCACGAGCTTCAGGTAGATCGAGCGTCCGAATGTATACACTGTATTTCTAGCATATTTAGCACGCCAAGGCAGACAGCTGCGCATCAGTCTTCTTCCGCAACCGCAGAGTGCGCTCACGCAAGCTCTGACGGCCAACACCACCAGCATACCCACATGCGAAGTTCCTCAAGCAGCCCGTCGCGGCCACAACCCAGGCGCCTAGGGAGAGCGGGTTTAGTCTTCGGCCTTTTTCTTCTTGTGGTTCTTGCCCGAGGGAGCTTCATCGTGCTTTCGCTTGAGTTTTCCAGAGCTGCCTGACGCACCCGACTTGTGGGGCTTTTCTCCTGCTGGCGATGCCCGAGCCTCGGCAACCTTGCTGCCTGACTCGGGAGGCGGAGGCGTTGCGGTGTCGATGCGAGTTCCGCCACTGCCGGCGCCGATGCTGAGCTCCAAGCTACGCTCGTACGTCGCGCTGCTTGCACTAAACATCCTGTCTTCGGGCAGCACCTCTTTTCCGCCTGCAATAGCGGCCATGCTTGCAGAGTTTGGGTTGGTCGTCTTGAGGTACGAGTCGAAGCCTTTGACGATGTTGCCGCCCGATGCGGCAGTGCTGGAGAGATATGAGCCTTCGAATACATAGATCTGCGTCTCCAAGTCAATCAAAGCCTTGTCCATCTGCCGCTTGCGTGCCAAACTGGTCTTGAGCTGCGCCTTTATGGAGCCATAGCGCTGATTTGCCTCCTCAAGAGACTGTGGCGGAGGCTGTGAAGGCTGCGGCTGCTGCTGCTGGGACGCGCCGCTTGCACTGCCGCTGGCGCTGGCGCTTGCACCTCCCTCTGCGTTGCTCATCTTGCGAATATCCTCGCAGTCTGATCGCGATCTAGGATGCAGGGTACTGTCGCCGTGTGCGGTTGGAAGCGTGAGCGATACGATGGATCATTGGATATCAATTCATGCATCGACGTGAAGGATGGTCACAATCCGTGTGCAGTAGGCTAGATACCGTGGCTATTCCAGGTCTCAGTTTTGGCGGAGAGGAATCAAAAACACAACGCTCTTCTCTCCGCTGCGGCAAAAAGGGGAGATTCTCTCTGCCTACACCCCAACTCCGCTTTGACATAGCAGCTCGACTCGCTCTTTCTGCCTGCAACACCTAAGAGGAGGGTGAAGAAAGCTGGACCAGGCAAGCTTTGGCCTTGCGGCGAGCTGAAAGACAATGTGCTAATCGTGCCCCCGTTCAAAGTGCACAAGCAACGGAAGAAAGGAAGACGAGAGCCGCTTCAGCCAGGGCGTCACAAACAAGCAAGGATGGCAGCATCAACATCACCGCGCCCGCTCTCCCAGCAAGACCCAGACCAGGACCCGTCAGAGCTTACAGACTGGGTCAACACGATTGCCGCTCGTGCTACCGCAGCCGCGGGCTACAGCACGCAGTCGGCTAGCGCGCTCCAGGATGAAGTTCGCCGGGCGCGTGAAGAGAGGCAGAACAGGAGGAACAGACTCAGCGCCAACGGGGTCAGGTCGCTCACGCGAGGGGACAGCATCAGCAGCGGCACAGGTCCTTTGCCAAGCCCAAATGCCGGGATTACAGAGCACACGACCGGCGGAAGTTTTCGAGCAAGCGGGATCCTAAGTCCCACGCTGACAGGAGGGGCATACGACAATCGGCCCTTTTCGCGTGAGTAGACTGCATCTCTTGACCTCTTGCTTGCAAGCTACCAGTGACTAAATATCTAGATGCTGATATTCCCCTCATCGACTCGCTTGTAGCATCACACGAACTCATTGCTTCTGAACCTCCGGCTTTCCCGTCCCACTCAATACCCAAGTCACCCAACATGACTCGCACGCTCTCCTACCGCTCGAACGTCCGTCCCCGCTCTTCCTCCTCGGTTACCGCGCCAGTACTCACCTCCCCCACTGCAGCGACCGCAGGCGGGCTCAAGGGACATGCTGGCGTCTCGCCATCCCCAACATGTGCCAGCGCCGGGCCCGTGTCGCTTGCCAATTTCATCGGCGGCAAAGCCTCTGGCCCTCGTCTGGGTAAGCTTGTCGGTGACGGCTGCAACCAACCGCCGGAAGCTGCGCTCGCCGTGGGAGCTGGTGAGAGGGATTCACGAGGCAAACCGATTGCGTTGCCGGGTATGGCAGGACAAGCCGCCGGTGCTGGGCTCGCCAGCTTCATGAAGGACCACCTCCCGCCCGGCACTGCTTCACCCTGGACCACAGTCGCAAACAGCAGCGCCGCTTTTGGCTCGCGTGGAATCGGCACATCTTCAAGTGCTGGCGTGTCCAGCATCAGGACGAGGAGCAGGAGTCCTGAAAAGCCACGCGCTGCTGTCCCGCCTGTCGCCTCCACCATCTCTCCCACATTCGCCTCTACAGCGACTACAACGTACATACGCAACTCAGGCTCCCTTTCTTTCTCGAATTCTCCTTCGCACGCCGCACCCGCCCTTGGCACCAGCCCGAGTCGCTCGGGCTCGGTCCCATACCCTTCCAGTAGCCCGGCCAAGGTGCAGGGCATGAGCTGGAGCGAGCGCGGCATCCCGTCTTCCTCTGTTGTTGGTGGCGGTTCTTCTCCCTGCTTGGGTGCTGCAGCCAGGTCGCCAGGGAAGTCTGACTTGGCACTGCTTGCGACTAGCCCTGGCAAGAACAGCAGCTACTTTCCTTTCTCGGTTGCCACTGCGACCATCCCTGGCAAATACGGTACTTCCTCGTCTCCTGCCCATGGCAACTCTGTCATTTCTCCTTCTACTGTATCTGCAGCTAGCCCAGCAAAGGAAGGCAATTCTTTCCCGACATCGGGAGTAACTGCATCTGGCAGACTTGCCACTTCTCCAGGCAACTTTGAATCAAGCGCAAGGAGCTCGAGCGAGACCGCTCGCTCGCCTGTCAAAGAAAGCTTCTGCCTTGTACCCCCAGATCGGTCCCCAGTCACCGAGACCATGCTGCTCAAGAGCTTTTCACCGGTCCGCGCTTCTACTTCTCCAGCTGCAGCACCTCTATCGTCGCTAGAAGTCGACTCGACGCCCAGAGGTGCGACCGATGTCCCGGCATGGAAGGCAGCGCTCCTCGCCAACCGGTCCAACAGCGGCGCCGAAGCAGGCAACAGCTCTAGTGCTGCCTTTACAACTTCTGTCAAGCCATCTTCGTCGCCTTCCATTTCGAGCAATGCCAATGGCCCTCCTGCTTTTGCGACTTCCCATGTGGAACGCGCCCCAACTGCGAGTCTGACCCGCCTCAGCGCTAAAAAAATGGTCGGGCAGCGGTTACGGGAGGCGAAAGCGAGGGAAAGCCAGGGTGGGTCCGCTTCTGGCGGTGCTGCCGCTCCTTCCTCTTCTACTGCCAGTGTATCAGGCGCGCCCAGTCCGGCGCTTCCGGTCAACGCACCTGGCTTGAAAGACCGCTGGCCAGCTGCTAGGTTCCATGGCGGCGGCGGTGCTGTTCAGAAGGATATGCCGCTTGCATCACCCACAGTGTTGCCGCAAGCGGCACCTGCTGCCACTGAGCAATATCTGCTCAAAAAAGCGTGGACACCTGGAAAAATTGCAACTGCACTTCCAGCCTTAGCTGGTATACCCCTTGGCGGTGCAAGTGGAGAGGCTCGTCCGTTCCAACAACGGCGCTCGCGCTCACCGGACAAGCGAGGAGACGTCTCCAACGAGAGATCTGATCTCCCCCCCGTCCGCCTCCCTGGCCTTGGCGGCGCTGTGTCTCCGTTCGCGGCTGCACGAGCGACTTCCTCGTCCAAAGGCGTAAGCATGACAGAGGCCGCGCCTATCGATGCGCCTATGTCGACAGAGGCAGACGATACTGCCGACTCGAGCACGCCGAAGGCTTCGGCATCGACTGCTGTACCAGCTGCTGAACCCCTGGCCTCGCTCACGAAAGGTCGTGCCAAGGGGCCGAAGCGAACTGCCGCTAGGAGCGTACCTGACGCGTCTGTCGTGCAAGCGGAAGCAGCGCCTGTTTCCACGCCCGCGGCTTTGCGTGAACCACCTGTTATAGAACATTGCACCGCTGCCGCAGACGTGCGAGCATCTGCCGTGACGCCCCTGCAGGGATCGCAGACAGCGGCGACCACCAATGCATCAGCCTTCAGGGCCAAGCAACAGTCGTCCACACTGGATTCCACCCACACGTTCGAGTCACGGTACGATGACCAAGTGGAGACGCGCTCACCTCGGGCTGAGACCGTCAAAGACACGGGTGCGAGGCCATGTGGGGGTCGTTCTTCTAGTCCTGTCCGCCGCTCAGTATCGCCTGTCAAGAGCAGTGCGAGTCCAGCAAAGAGCACAGCTTCAATCACCGACGGATTGCCGCCATTGAGCGCAACCGCCGCACCTACGTCCTTCCATAAAGCGATCCCGGAGGACTCAAACCCTACGGTCTCCAAGCTGCCAGACACAGAAAAAGACACATTCCGTCACGTCAAGCCATCAGACAGGATGTTGGAGAAGCAAGGTTTGCGGCTGACTGTTCATGAGGGGGAGATGGCTCGGAAGGGGGATGCGGCGAGTGTCGTAGCGCAGCCTTCCCGACTCGAACCTGCAAAACCTGCGGCCCCTCGCCGCTCGACCTCCGGCAAAAAGGTCGTTGTGCTTGTTTCTGGCAGCGGTGAGTGTACCTTGTCTTGCACGTCCCTGTAGTAGCTCGCTCACTGACTCACTACAAATGGAAACAGGGAGCAATTTGCAAGCGCTCATAGATGCAACGGTGGGAGATTCGCCAGCATTGCCGAATGCGTACATCACCTTCGTCATTTCAAATCGCAAGGCCGCTTTTGGTCTTACTCGCGCTGCAACCTCCAACCCACCGATCCCGACGCACGTGCTGGCCTTGAAGACGTGGCAAAACAAGAACCCAGGAGGCACGCGCGAACAATACGACGAGGTATTGGCACGGACCATCCTCGATCATGAAGCTGGGAACCCACCCGACCTGATTGTGCTGGCGGGGTTCATGCATATTGTTTCAGAGCATTTCTTGCGGGTCCTTGGACACAAGACCAGCTTGCCATCGCTGGAGGCGGCGCCTGTATTCGCGCCAGTGCCAATCATCAACCTCCATCCAGCAAAGCCTGGTGCTTTTGATGGCGCACACGCTATTGAGCGCGCCTTCAGCGCTTTCCAGGAAGGGAAGATTCAGACGACAGGAGTGATGGTGCACGAGGTCATCGCCGAGGTCGACAGAGGCAAACCGGTGCTGGTGCGGGAGGTTCCCATCTATAGCAGTGATACGCTAGAGACTCTGGAAGAGCGTATGCATCGTGTGGAGCACGAGATCACTGTGGAAGGCGCACGTGCAGTATTAGAGCGACCTCCACTTCCGATGAGCGCACCGAACCCTTGGGATGATGTGGTCACATCGACGGATGATGCCGCCGCAACAGAGGAGGCTTTGGTGCAAAATAATGTGCCGCACTCAGCGTCGGAACTGGAGCAGGAACGCCTCACCTCGCGCTACCCTAGCGACAGTCTTCATCCTCGAGAGCACAGCGAACAAAGAGTCAACGAGAAGCCTCAATTCCGCAGTGTAAAGGATGCCCTTGCCAATTGGGGTGCAAGTACAACCCTGCCCACCACTGCCTCTCCTTCAGCTCAGCCACGCCCACGCCGCCGAACTGCGAGCCGACCTTCCAGTATGTACGCCAGCAAAGAAAGCACGCTGGCAGCCGTTCAAGAGCGTCCATTCGACACGATCATTTCTCGGGACGCTGCAAGCCCAATCAAAGCTAGCCCGGACGAGCTCGGAAATGTTCAACCCACCACCACTGGGCCTTCTTCCGACATCATTCTGCTCCCCATACAGGCGGCCCAGGACTCTCCTCCTTTCGACGATTCCCTTTTCGACACATGGCCATCTGATTTGGTCGCAACCGAAAGAACGATTTCTGTCGACACGCTATTGATAAGTCCTGACGGGAGTACCACCTCGCTGAAGCCCTCGGAAGCGTCGATCCTATACGATTCTGAGGTACATTGCATTATCCATCGTTTCAAGGACTCAGATGGCTTAGCGAGCACACAGCTCTTCGTTCGGCGGGGTCGTAAGGCCCAGGCAAAAGACACTGACAGCGCGGAAGAGCGGAAGTTGTATGAGCTGGCTAAACGCTACAACTGCAAGGTCACGGAGAGCAGCCCAGGGCTCGAGCCACAAGGTTTAAGTACCCTGCTTGGTGGCCATCTCATCACGCGCCAGGGGCCACGGCAAAGATTTGATCCTTCCAACACGCAGATGTACTCGGTGCGCACCGATGGCTTTGACGCATATGTTGATCAAGTCGACCTTGTGAGTATCTACTACTCAGGCGCATTGACGATAGCACCGTGATGCTGACACTGACACTATTAACTCCCAGCACACCTCAAATTTAGCTTCAGCATGCAGCGTTGTGGCCTGTCTTCTCGGTGAAGTTTGCGTATGGCATGGAAAGGGAAGCTTAGAGGTCGAGCGCATTCTCGCGGCAAAATTTGCCGCTACTCTGACAGCAGCAGCGCCGACCGTACAAGAAGAGGGCAAAGAGGATGAGATGTTCTGGACATTCTTCGACAGGGAGCACCCCTATGCTTCCAGCTGCCTCCAGGCGCATCGCAGCAAGCTCCCGCATCGGCTTTTGATGCCAAGAGCGTGGGAAGTGGGCACATCGGCGCGATCTGCGATGCAACCCTTAGTGCGTTGCACAGCGGCAAATCTTCAAAGGGAAGGCGTCTACGTCATCGAACTCCCACTAGAGATATTTGTCCTTGTGGGCCCAGAGGCTCGTTCTAAAAGACAAGGCATCCGCTTCGCCATCGACGCAGCTCAACGCTTATCGTCCTGGCGCAAGCAGCAGGTATCAGCAGTCACCCCGCTCGCTCCGGTCCATTGTGTGGTGTACCCATCGCGCACGCCGAGAGACCTTGCCCTTGCTATCAGATTTTGGAATGACGCTCATCTGGACGGCGGCGAGCCAATCGCGCAAATGAACGTCTCGACAGCAAAAGCGGCCCTTGCAGAGCTTGCGCATACTTCATTCCATAAGACGCTTCTCGAAGATCACACATGCTTGCCGGTGGGAATCTCTCCCGAGCACCTGTAGCTCTCTAGGGGCACATGCGACCCAATTCAGTATTTGCCCGCACTATGTAATCCTTTGCATACAACATTATACAAGCGGATCACTATACAACTTGGGTCAGGCACCGTCGCTCAACCCAGCCGACTGTCCCTTCCAGATTCCTTGCCAAGACATGCTCAGCCGCATTTTGGGATGGCGCTACATACGATCCCTGAGACTGCTCCGCGACCTGGATATGAGTTTGAGAAGTCGTTGCCAAAGGCGCAGCAGGTGAGGGTACTGACGCGAAAACCTGAAGCAGCTCGCCAGCTTTGTAAGGAAGCAGAGAGACTGGCGAGATCTTGAAATCAAGTTGCTCTGGCCCGTCAACGTTTGTTGCCATCGTCACGATAGAGTCGGAGAGCTTGTCTTCGCCACCCAAGAGGGGTATTGATGACAGTGACAGCTTGGCTGGGCGTCTGCGATGGGAATCAAGCTCGTCGGAGGGGGGTGCAGCCGCCGCAGAGGCTGAATCTGGTGGCGTGTTGCGGAGTGGGACTAGCACGGGAAGCTCCGGTAACAAAGGTGGACTGGACGGCACTGTATCTTTGGCAGGCACTTCGGGCATCTGGTCGACATGCGGAGCAGCCTCAAGCCTCTTTCTTGAGACCGAAATGGTACGGACTAAACGCCTAAAACCAGATGGTGCACTTTTGCTGCCCGCGGCCTTAACGCTAGCTTCTGTCACTGCACTCGATGGTCTAAGAGCGGCCCCATCGGCCGATTGACCTGCGGCGCTGCCGTGTGCACTGGAAGATTGTTCAGCGCTATGCAAACTCAACTTGTCAACGTATGGCGAGTCTGCAGCGAGACGATCGGCAACGGTTGGGCTGACACCTTCTGTACCTTGCATCGTGACATGGCTTCCATAATTCAGCTGTGTGAAACCTGGAGGGACGTGGTCCGACGTATTCACTCCAGCTGTCTCTCGACCCGGCGAGTGGAAGATAAACTTAGCACCCAAATGTTGTGAAGGTGGGGAACAGGGTGTTGCCAGGTTCGACGTACCCGGAAGCGGCTGCAGAGCCAGGTCGAGTTCCAAGGCCTCATCTATTTCGAACCCATCGGCGCGAACAACTTCCTGCGTTCCTGCATGTTTCAAGGCGATGTGGAATCGCTGTACTTCTGAATGTACTTTCTGGTAATAATCCAACTGCATATTGGCGAGCATGAGAACAGCCCAATCGACCAAAGCCTTGACGCCATTGAGGAACTGCGGCAGTTCTTCGAGCAGCTGAACGTGGAGAGCAATGTATTCACTCGCGTTTTGCACCAAACGTTTGTCCGGCGTCTTCTTCTCATTCTTGCTGAGCACCTGCTGATACCGCGTGTAATCCGTTTCATGTTGCTGATGACGCTCTACGACCTTCTTTGGCCCCGCGAACATAGACATAATCGTGTCAGTGAAAGGCAAGAGGATGCCATGAACGTTGTCGTCCAAGCGTCCCCAGTGCGTGGATAGCTCGCCCTGCAGGAGAGCCAAGAAAATTTCCACATGGTCGGAAGAATTGCTCTCCTCTTCACCGAGTTTTGCCAGCAGATCAGACCACGTTTCCATCAGTTGAGACTGAATGTCGATCGCTTTCCGGCACGCCTTGACCCAGTCCGATACTGCTCGTGAAAACGCCAGAACCGACTCCTCCGTGTTTTGTAATCTTCCCACCAAGGACAAAATGTCATCGTTGTTGACTCTCGGCCCGACTATCGCTTTAAGCTGTTCATGTTGTCGTCGTAGTTTCTTAGACGATTTGCTGGAAGCACCAGGCGCCTTAGAAGGGGCTTGGAATTTGCTATTGACAACGCCTTCGATGAACTCCTGCCTGCGTTTCTGCTCGTTGATGCGTTCTGCAAGCGCTTCCAGGTCGGCGAGAGCGCGCTCGAGAGCGCTGTAGTCGTCCGCCTGCGGGTCTGTGCTCTTCAGGATCTGTCGCAAAAGCAGCGGGTACTTAAGCACCCTCTGCACAGGTTTGATGAGGAGAGAGGCAAGATCCCACGCGTTGGTGTATTGCCTCGCTACTTGGGTGGTTTCCTTGATGAATGCTGCGCCTTTGGAAGATGTGGTTGTCAACTCTTGCAAACGAGAGATCGAAGCCGTATGGCTCGCGCAGTAAGCGCTATAAGTAGAAGTAATTCTTGGCGCCTGTCTCACGCAAGGTCTTGTCAGTACCCTGGTAGCGTGCGGAACATTCCTCCCAAACTTACGGCATCGATGAAGAATGAAGCAAGCCGAGCGCCGATAGAGCTGCTCTCTTGGTCACCGTTGTGCACAACATTCTGCAGCCGCTGCGACATTTCGTCAGCGAGAGAGGCACATGCTTCAAGACCTGCAAAGATGATGCGGATGTCGGATAAGCTGAAGGGAGCATCCTTCAGCCCCGAAAATTGCGAAGTAAGGGATCCAGATCTCGGGGCCTCGGCGTGATGGTGACCATTGATCGGACCAGACTGAGAAGCACCCATGGTGCCCTGGCTGATCGATTTGCGCATTGAGGCGCTCCCGAGCTCGGGTGAGAGGGTATCAGAAACTAGCGATGGTAGGCGTGATCCAGGAATGGTGAACCCAGTCTCAGATGTGGTCGAACTAATCGCCGAAGGTACTGTGTACAACGATGACCGATTGCTCAGTTCGCTGGAGTCGATCGAAGGAGGAGAGCCAGGTCTTTGCTGAAATGGTGAGGCAAGCAAGCTGCTTCCCTCCTGCGGCGCCGCCTTGGCCGGCAGGCGATTGCTGGAAGAGCTTGCGAATCTCTGGCGCGCCGGAGTGCCGCTTCCAGTGAGAGGGGAGCCAAAGTAGGAGCTGGATATCGAAGGCGTTCCGAATGACACCGCACTGGCGCTTGGCGAGCTCGTCAAAGTCGGAGATACGGCAAAAAGACGGCTTTTTGCTCTTGCCAGGTAAATGTCACGCACAATACCTAAGTCGACTGCATAGCTCTTCTCGGTATCGATGAGCTCGCGAATGACCTTTGTCCGATCATCAGCCATTTTCGCGAGTCTCGCTTCTTTCTGTTCCTTGCTTTCTTCCAGGCAAGTATCCTCTGGCTGCGGTGTTGATGCTGTCGACATTTGCGAGACGCTCCGGCTGTGTCCGCTTTGCAATGCTTCGCTGGTGAAGAAATGCTTGATATCCTTAGCCCTGCTCGCCTTTTTGGTCCTAAATCTCATGCTGCGAGCGAAGCCATGCCCGGAATCTTCGCCTTCTGAAAAGACGTCCTTGAGAGGATTCCATCTTCTCCCCTTGTCCTTGTCCTTGTCCTTGGCGCTGACTGACGTGCTAGCCAGGCTTGTCTGCGACCGATTTCCTTCCCTGAGCGTGTCTCTCAGCAACTCCATCTCGCCCTTGACATCGGATGAAGACACGCGGCGATCTGCAGCCGTGTGTCTCTGGGGAGACGGAACATAATTGCTGACAGAACGCGTGCCGACGGTAGACGCCGGCGATGGCAAAACGACTCCAAGGCCCATTTGGCGGCTACCCTGGGCCGACGCCAATGCTGGCCCTGCATAGCGCCGCAACGGGTTTCGTTTGGGCAAGGCAGGCTTTTCAGACTGCTCGGATGGAGTCGGAGGTGAGACTGGCGAATCGTACGAGGGGCTCTCGAGCATTTCCTGCTCGCCGTCTACCACATTGAGATGCTCGAGTTGGCGCTCTTCTCCTGTCTCGATGGATCCTGGAGTGGCAGGCGAGCTCCCTGATGAGGTGAAGGTCTGTTGCCAGGCACTGACTAGCCTCGGGGACGTAGGCGAATCAGTGGAGCAGCGAGGAAGAAGCACCCTTCGTATGGAGTCTGACCTTCGAGGCAATGTTGGTCCAGAAACAGAACCGTCGATCGGCACCTGAACAAGACTGCTGGACCGAGGAGTGATTGGTGCAGATTCGGAAGACATCATGCTGCTCATTGAGTCGCCCCTTGTGCGCCGTCTGATTGTCCTTCCATCTGCTGTGGACATCTCGTTGCCAGCACTGCCTGGGCGAGGCGGTGGAAAAGATCCGGCTGGAAGTGGTTCTGGCCGCCGTCGCACAGTGCCAACATCAGAGAATTTGTCTTTCAAGCCCTCATCTCTGCCCATCAGTGCAGCCACAGTATAGAATCCGCCCTGCGGAGCCACAGTTCTGGCTGAGTCGGGCGGCTCATCCAGCGCACCAGGGGAAGAAAGAGACGGTGCAAGTGGTTGCGAATTGCGGGAAAATGCCGACGGCGCCGGCGGAGGACCGAGCGGCCTGGGCCCTGATTTGCGTGTCATCGCGCCATTGCTTGTCAATATGCGCAGCGTACTTGCTGCAGATGAGGCCTCTGAGGAGGAGATGGGCAAGCCACCTCGTGGCCCACCGGGTCGAGGGCCTCGTAAGAACGACAGGAAGGACTGGCTGGCATTCACAGACGGTGCTGGCGTCAAAGAAGAGAAGCCGTTCGCTTCTGAATTGTGAGAGCTGGATGGTGTCAGGAACTGTGAGCTGGAAGACCTATCGTGTTTGGACGAATAGCGCCCTTGAGTGTGTATTGTAATGGAGGGGGGACGTCTTTGCCGGCCTGGAAAAAAAACAGGGAAAGAAGTCGTTACAGGTCCTGTCCGATCATGCAGGTCCCCAGCGGAAAAAATAATGAAGCAACTCACGATGCCTTGCGCCTTTCTTAGCCTTACTTTTGGCAGCCTCCTTGGATTCAAAAGGCCAGCTCGCTCGTCTGACAATCACCCTTCTGCTCTTTCCAGCAGGAACCAAAGCCCTCGGCGCGACCGGCTGTGTCGCCTCCAAGTCCGCGAGGATCCTCGTACCAGGATTCAGTTTACTTAATTGCGACGCACTGAGCATCCTGCTGTGCCATTTGTGTCCGCCGCCAGTCCTTGTACCTGGCGCCGATTCCGGCTGCGAAGCAGGCGAAGGTGCCGCTGAACCTGACAGACCCGCACCGAACGAGCCAGCGCTGCCGATTGGCGTATTCCCACATCCGGCACTACTGCTGTGAGTCAGCTCCGCAGCAGGGGGCAAGAATGACGTGCGACGCGTGGCGCCGAGTCTCCGGAGCATGGGCACTTCCGGCGGAGAGGCGCTAAAGGCGCTCTCGTGCCCCGAATCGGAATACGATCCAACTTTCGTCAACTCAGGTAAGGAGATCTCCGAATCACGCGTCTTCAAGCTTGGGCGCTGGAACGTAGTGGAAGAAGCCGTAGGCCACTTTGATGGCGTCGCAAAGCGCAGCCCTTCTGAAGAGGAGGGCGAGGCGACCGAGCCGGACGAAGACTCCTGCATGGGGGTTTTTGACCCTGGCGCCAATGCATGCAGTGAAAACTGCCCTTCTCGCATGTCTCCTGCAATGGATGGACCGCTGAAGCTCTCTGTCCGGCTGTGCGGCCCCGTCGAGGCTGTGACCATGGTTCCATCACTCATGCCGCTGACGCTCTGGTGCCTCGAAATGATGGCTTCAGAGGCACCACTCGGAAGTGATGAAGCAACATTGCCGCCTTCATCACCGTCGCCTATCTCGTCCTGGTGCCATCCAGGCCCCGCTGCGTCCTTCTTTCTTGCGGCTATGGCTGTGGCTGTGGCTGCAGCGCAAGCCGCCGCTGCGGCTGCCTTTTCGCCCACAGGAGCGCTTGCTGCTGCATTTTTGGGCTGAATCCCAAAAAAGGACAACGACTTCGGCGCGGACATGAGCATATACCGTGCTTCATCTGCTCTTCCAGCAGCAGCAGAATAAGTTCCGGGAGCGGTGGGCGCTGAGTCGTTCGACGCTGAATCAGGTAGCACGCTGCCAGAATTGGGGAAAGAGCGATTCGCTGGGTACGTCGCAACTTTGACAAAAGCAGAATGGGATGCTGGGCCTGGTGCTGATGCTGCTGACGCGGGTGCTGATGATGTTTTGGAAATAATATCGTGGGCATTGCTGCTTACACCACCTACTGAGGCTGATCGCAAATGCGGAGGAGGCCTGAACTGGTCCTGAGATTGCGACTGGTGAAGCCGCGGCCCCAAGCGGGGTGAGGAGACTGACGGAGGCGTGATGATGTTGTCGGCTGAGGCCAGCAACCCCAATCTGACATTGACAGCATGTGGCGGAGGCGCGTACGCTGTAGAATATGACCTTCCCATCTCGTGCGGTCCTGAATCCTCCCTGCTGCGCGGCAAGCGCTCATCGGGTCCAAAGACAGCCAGCGGCGCTCCTAGGACGGAAGCTGAGAGCGGACTATCCGGCTCCCTACTCTTTCCCTTGCTGCCAACGTTGGAGCCGAGCTGTCCTTCCTTTTTGCTCGCAGATCCGCCCCGACGCAAGCCGTCGAACATACCTCGCGCAAATCCCGAGCCGAGAAACGAACTCCCTGCGCCTGCAGCGGAAGTCGAAACAGGCGGCGAAGCAGTATCCCGTGATCTGGGTGTCGGAGCCTCCATAGACGAGCTGGAACCGGTAGCGCTGATTATTCCTTCCTTCATCTGGACAGACGTATCAATAGGCTGCGGCCTGACGCGCGCACCCTGTCGCTGAGCAATAGGAGGCGCCATGGAGGACCCAAGGTCGCTCTCGAGTTGCCCGATATCTCGTCGAAGCCGATCTGTTGTCCCAGGTTCCGCTCCAGCTGCAGTAGCCCCCTTGATGCTTTCTCCTGCCTCCCCAACTTCTTCTAAGCTTTCTACACCTCCAACTTTGCCAGCTGTGGCCGATCCGGGCGGCAGAGTCATAGAGGACACGAGATCGTTCTCGAACTGCTCTGTGCCCTGTCGGCCTTTTCCACTTGCTCCTCCCTCAGTCCCCATGCTCGTCGCCGGGCCAGCAGGTGGAGGCGAAAGTGGAAGCGACGGCACGCTATCTCCCGTTGGCGCCAGCGAGGGCGGAGTAGCAGAAAAGGACGCTTTAGAGCGCGAAAAAAGCCGCGCTCGGAAACCCGATTTGGTGCTCGTGGTCAAGGGCGGCGAAGCTGCTTCCTCGGGCAACTTTGCAGGCTTTGGTAATGTTGGCGGTGAAGGAAAAGTTCCGCGAGAAACTGAGGGAGAGGGCATGCTGACGCTGTCGCCTCGAAGTGGAAACAGTACTGGTGTGGGCAATGATGCGCCGGGGGGCATGACGGCGGCAACAGGATTTGAAGTAGACGCGAATAGGGAGCTGATGCCCAAACCCATCATGGAGGAGGAACCACGAGCCTTGTATTCGCTTGTCAGGGTTGGGGCCGGCGTGTATCCTGCTTCCGCTCCTCGCTGCAGCTGTAGCGGTCTGCCCAACTCATCGAAGCTCAGCTGCGGAGAGGCAGGAGAGCCCTGTATGTTAAAGCTGCTATCGCTGGCATTGTTTGGAAGGGAATGGCCATGTGTTGCATCCTTCGCCGCTGCCGAAGATTCCAGGGGTAGCTGCACTGCTGGTGTCGCTGCTCCGCCTGAGGGGGCCTGATCCTGGCCTGCTGTCCCTGCTCCCACATCTTGCGCAAGGGCGGGGCTGTCGGTTGCTAGCGCAGGTACTGAGCCAATTGACAGCGTCTGCGACGGATCGGTCATGCTGCCTTCTCCTGCGTATCTATTTGTTTGCTTGTAGTCCCTAAGCTGACTGTCTGTATGCGGTTGTTTGCGTTCCGCAAGCTGACGAGGAAGAGCAATCCAAGCAGTCAGGCCACAGCGAATATTCAAGCAGGGCCGCCAAACTTGCATCTCATCCATCAAGCCATGCTCAAGTACTCACCAGCTAGTTCACCTAGCTCTTGCGGGTCCATATGGAATTGTCGGCGATGAGGCAATCACAAGCTGTCCTACGTTCCGATCTACCCGCAATCATTGACGTACTTGCGCTCCTCAGGCCGCCGTAGCGGGCGCTACCAAGATTTCCATCAAGGATTCAGAGCGGAATGTAATGCTGAACGCCTCCTTGCCCTTGGCGGTTCTGTTTCGTGAAGGTGTGCAAGGTGCGGTTTATGATCATCTTCTAACCATCGCCAGGTCGTAGCACTCTCGGTCGCCAGCCGACGCAAGAGAAGCAGCAGGGCGGCCACCGCACTCCTCCGTATGCACCTGGCAAAGCCCAAGACCGCCCAGAGTTCAGCGAGCAGATCCTCTATGCCCTTTGTTTCGGAGTCTACGGAAACACTCCGAAGATGTCTACCTGTCGTCCAGTTCAATTGCTGGAGCCGAGTCAAAAGTTGAGTCGAGTCCTGTGGAGCACAATCAACTGCCGAGGCTGGCCAGCTCTCAATGGAGGCCGATGGCCCTGTGGGACACATCGAAAGTGGCGCAGTGCCGCAAATTGTGTCGGGTTCTCATCATCATTGCGCCCTCAGTCTGTACACCAGGGCCTTTACATCAACCTGGATCGCCAACGGCCAGCTTTTGTGCTTCCTATGCCCCTTCGCGTCATCGCGTTCGCATCTACGATTCCGCATGCCTGGGCCGTCGGCTCCGCCTGGAAAAGAGGAGAGAGGTGGAAGAAAGCGCCGCGCCACCTTGCAGTAGTGCGCTGATTACCAAAGATGGTCTCGGCCATGGCTGGAAAAGCAGAAGGCGGGCGGATGACCCGCACCACCACGCTGCTGTTCGATATCCACGATAGCTGGTCCAAGTTGCGACGAAGGAGGCTACGGAGGCGAGGTAAAGCTCTCCGCAAAGCTAGCGGAGCTTGGCGACTCCCTTCATTTTAGACCATCTTGCCTGGGACAAGATGCGCCTTCTGGGATCAGCTAGCTAGTTGCAGTTGCACTCAATCATTCCAGCGTTGCCCCTACTCCGGAGCGCAAGCACTGCAGGCCGGCAATGCTTGCCCGATCAGAGGTCTGCGCAGCGAACTAAGCGAGCAGCATGGCCATTCTGCGACCTTCCTCGTGACCCAGCTAGAGCTAGCGTTGACAACTCCATCACGGTATTGGAGGTTAGACAAGACGAAGCCATCCGTAGCGAAAGTATAACCGACGTTGCCAATTTGAACTTCCAACAGTAACGAGATGATCCGAGCGAGATGTATATCCTAAGAAAGCCTAGACCTAGATATGCTGCTCATATCCCAGCACGTCTTGAGACAGTGATTAGATTTCACACTTGAGGGCAACCTCGAGTCAGTTGACGCCGTCGCCTACCTTTGAGGCTGTCATCGCAATTTTGATGCACTGAGCCAGTTTAATTTCGCATAAAATGCATCGAGGGAAAGTGTTATATGTGTACTATGCATTCCTTTCTCTTCTCTGCCTGTCTCTGCTTCGCTAGGCCTCATTGCAGGAGCATGTCTGTTCTTCCTGTCGCCCTTCTGGCGTAAATGAGAGCGTGGAGGGGACCTGGTCCCGACTCGATGTCATGGCGATCGCCGACGCAACCGCTTCGGCTGCACCTTCCGGCAAAAAACCCGGTGAAAACCCAATCTGCGCGTCCGATCCCCTGAATCTTGCTTCCGGTAGATGCGCTCAGGCCACCAACTCAAATTCACGTCAGGCGAGGCTGGCGAGAGCCACTTGGGCGGAGAGTGCAGAGAAGAGGCGAGCACAGAAAACGCAGCTGGAAGAACGGAAACGCATACCATATCGCTCGAACGACAAGGTGCGAGCAACGAAGAGAGAACCTCCTCGATCACACAGCAGAACTACAACCAATCGCTGGCGCTTGCCTGATTTGACATTGACATGATATCGAACAGGTCGCCATCTGCATAGCTGCTCTGATACGGCTGCCGACATCTGTTCGATGTGTCGACCAGTCGTCGTTGTCTACGTCGATCGCACCGCCGACAACAACGGCGAATTCAACCCCTGTGCCTCGAACGCATACCACCGAAGTACGTGGTATCTTTCAGCTCGCGGACCGGCAGCAGCAACCTCGCACACCCCCTCGCCGAGTCGAACCTAGTAAGGACAAGTAGATGGACAGGTAGTATCCTCGAACTTTCCAAGACCGCAGCGAGTGCAGACCAGATCCGTCGAACCAGCATTGTGCACAAGGGAACATCATGCTTTCAGTGACAGCGCCGATGCCGGCACTGTCAATGATGGCAATGGAGGAGGAAGACAGCAACTCTGCCGATGAGGCATTTGCGAGCTTCATCGATATCGTCGACGATGACGAGATCCATGGGCCCGACCAAGGCCTCGACGCTTCGTCGTCATCGTCTTCTGGTGCGACACTATCCAGCTCGACGCAGTCAGCGCCTACGTCAACATCGACTTCGACTTCAGAGTCATCCTCCTCGCCCTGCTCACTCCCAGAAACAACTACCGTGTCACCGCATTCCGTGCTAGCCAAGTCGTCCTCGGGCTCGGTTTCGGCTGAAATTTCTGCTGCTATTACCACGACCGACACGCCAGCTTTGCACGCGCACCACCCACCGCATCCACACGAGTTTCTGCGTCGAGCATCCAGTGGCTCTACAACCTTCCTCCCGCATGCCCATCCCCTGGCGCTCTCCGCTACCGCCAGTCCTATGCTGCGTCATCCTTCCTCGTCGCAGTCGCAGCTGCAGCTGCACGTCGATGACGGCTTCGCCATGGATGCTGCGATGGGCATGGACATGGGTATGGGTATGGGCATGGGTCTAGGGCCGAACATGAGTATGCCGATGGGCGTGAGCATGGGCATTGGAGCCATGGGCATGGGCAGCGCAGGCTACATGGGCATGGGGCTGACTGGCACCAGCATAAGCGGTGGCAGTCACCAGCTCTCGGCGCTCGATCTAGCCGGCACATCGGCTGCTGCTGCACTGTCATCAGCCGGCGGTCCACCGTTGGCGGTAAGCACCAGCAACAGCAACAATAGCAATAGCAGCAGCACTCGTCTGGCAACGTCTAACACAGACCCTGTGTCAGCGTCGACAACGAGCGCAGACGACGCCAGCAAAGATGTTGACGAATCCGAAAGCTCAACTATCTTCCCCTCTCTTTGCATACCGATCCAAGCTCCCTTTGGTTCTGGTGCAGGTGCCGGTGTCTTTGGCCAGTCTATTTCCAACGTACAGCTGCAGCAGCTTCAGCAAATGCACCAGCAGCATCTGCACCCTGGGTTGGGAGCAACAGCGCCAGGGTCGGGGTCAGGCTCCGGGCAACAAGGGTCTGCGCCAGGCGCTCCGATAGCGCATGGGCATGGTCAAGTAGTTACGCATACGCATGCAGGTATGATGATGACTTTGCCGCCCCACCTGGCCAGCTTGAACTTGCCCATCGCCCCGCTTAGCGCTACAGGTGGCTTCCCGCCGCATTTGATTCCTGGTCAGTGTTCAACAATATCCTTTGATTTGAGTTCGTTCTGACAGATAGCACTATCTTATGCGACGCACACCTTTAGGCACGTCACTGCCAACTTTTCAATTCGACTTCAAACCCACTGCTGGTGGTTCCATTGCCACGCCATCGTCCGCCAGTGCCGCCGCGCAAGGCGCGTCCGCGGTCGCGAACGTGCCTGCGCCTTCTGCTTCAGTAAAGAGCAGGAAAGCATCTGCGAGCAAAGCAAAGAAGGATGGAGCAGCTGGAGCGGCAATTGCCGGGAGCGCTGGAGCAGGCAGCAGCGTTGTTGTGTCCACAAGCGCCAAAGTCGCTGATCTCCCTGCTGTTGGAACGCCAAAGGGAAAGCAGAAGGGGAAGGAGAAGGAGAGTGAACAACTCGAAGGGCGAGCAGGCGGGAGCAAGAAACGAAAGTTGGACAGGAAGCCTGCTACTCTTGCCTCTCCAGCTGTTGCTGTTGAAGCCATGGACGCTTTTGCAGAGAGGGCTGTTCCATTTCCTTCGAGCGACCGAAAGTCCTCTGGTGGTACCAGGAAAAGGGAAATCAAGAAACAGAAGAACGGCACTGCGGCGGTACAAGAACACGCTGCAAGTTCGGGCACTGCAGGTCGTGCAACTAGCCTGCAGGACGGGATTTTGGGGTCTTCCTCCGCAAACGTTGCCTCGGATGAGCTTGAGCAGCATTCATCAACAGAGGCGTCAGCCTCGGTAAACGTCAAGCGGGAGATGATGGACACGTCGGACGATGCAGTATGGACATCGGCTTCAGACGTCACTGGCGATGACTCAACCGCCGCCAGCCATGTGCCGTCTTCGAAGCGTCCGCCGCCCTCTGCACCGCAGGTGACCGAAGCAGGCAATCCGTTCCCCGTGATCGACACATCTGCGCCGCACTCGTCCCTCTTCATCCATCCAGACACGTCCGGCTTGACCAAGCGTGAAGCGCGGCTTGTCAAGAATCGCGCGGCGGCGTTCCTCAGCAGGCAGCGTAAGCGCGAGCAATTCGAGGAGTTGGACGCAAAATGCAAGAGTCTTTGCAGGCTCGCTTGGAAGATGTGGGAGGCGATGGCGACGCCAACGTCGGGGAAAACAGATACACGCTCCTTGCTTGCATCACGCTTGTCGGGCGAGGCACCCGACGTTGTCCTTTCTCTACAGCAGATTATAGACAAGGAGGGAGCACCCATGGCGCCGACGGAAGAGGGGCCTTCGTCATTCTACGCTTTGCTTTATGCCAATGCTGAGCGTAAGCCTGGCAACGAGGAGATGCTGAGGCGCATCTTTGGCTCTGTGCGCTCTGCGCCTCTGACCAGTGCCGCGCCAGCGACTCCCACCGGAAGCAAAGAGGCACAGGCCTACAAGCGCAAGGTGGAAAGCGAACTGGCCCTTCTGCGATCTCAGCTTCAAGCTGCACAGATCCAAGCGCAAGAAGCGACCAAGCGCGAAGAAGAGACACGAAAACTGCTGGCGGCAAGCGAGATGAGGTTCGCTTCTGCCGGCAGCGTACCTTTGCCTCCTTCTCCGCGGGTTCCAATGGACTGGCAACAAGGCTCATCAGCTACAGAAGGGCATAGTTTGAATTCGCACACCGTGTCGCTCCCGGCTTCTCCTGATACGGCCAACGCGTCGAAGGTGTCGCAAGCGCAGAGTCCCGCCATAGGCGCATCGACTGATGGGGCGAACATTGCGAAGCCAGAGGACTTTGTTGACGCAAAGTGTTCGAAGCAGCTGAGCGTGCCGCACAACGCGGCGCTCAACCCCGCAGCAAGTACTGGAGGGGGAGATCCAGCCAAGGACTCTGAGGGAGACTCCACTGCATCCTTGTCGTCAACGGCTTCGACGTCAACCTCTGCAAGTGTTCAGCCAAACCCGCGCAAAGGAGCTGGAAGCGTTGCGCTGCTTGCAATACTGATTGGTTTTGCGATATTCGGGTTTCCTGGTGGTGCATCATCGGGCCATGCTGGTGTCAGCAGTCATTCGATTGAATCTAGGTGAGTTCTTGGCTGCATTCACATTTTTTGCTTCTATCTTCGGCTGACATCTGTTGGCGGCTTGAAGCTACGTATCCATGGACGACTTGCATTCACATGCACAGGAGATCGGTTCGTCTCGTCGCCAAGGCGGCGGTGATCGAGCGGAAGCCAAAAGCAAGGACTCATCTGCCCATCTGCCCGAGCATGACCTCACCATCCTAGACAGTGAGCAAGACCTGGAGTCTTCCGGGGACGACACTCTCGTGGACGGAGAGGTAATATCACCGGAAGCGAAAGGGAAGAGCAAGGAAATCGACGTGGCGAGGTATGATCCGCTCCGTGAGTGGCTCGCGAGGTCCCTAGAGTTGGATCTTGCCAGCCTGGGGCTCTGCGACCGCGACGACAATAGCAACGCGGCTCAGGCGGACATTCAAGCCGAGGACACCAATGCTGACGCCGGCGACATGGCCGCTCAGCGAACGCGAAAGGGTCGCAGGCTGCACATCAGCGAGCTGGCTCCTTACCTAGGCCATAGCGATTTCAATGTCGACAATGGGTTCATCATCGTGGATGGCCCGGCTTCTCGAGAGGTCTCAGACAATCCACGTGATGCGCCAGTAGCAGATGGCAGCGGGTATACACGGAAGGACAGCGTGGCCAGCGCGACCTTGTCCATAAGCCCGTCGCGCCTCAGTGTCTTCCTGCCAGCTTTGGACACGCCTGAGAAATTGGAAAAAGACAGTCCGGAGACAGTAGTCAAGGAGCATGCTCCAGGGCAGCCCCTCACAGCTCAGATCTCAACGCCGCGCCGAAGGCTTCGTGCAAGGAGTCTTCTTGCCGAGCCAGATTCGAAGGCAGCAGCAGTCGCCGCACAAGCAAGCATGTGTGCTGGAGATGCGGCCCAGCCAGCAGCTGATACACAGGCTGAGGTACGGCCTCCCTTCTTCACGACGACCAAAGCGGCAGAGGCGGAGGATGCTGGCGCCAAGCCGAGACGCAAAGCCAAGGGCCGGGCATATTTTGAACTCGAGTTCACCTTTAGCGGCGCGCGTCTCGCACATATTCTATGATTGGGCAACGGTATTGCGCTCTTAAACAGATTGAAGAGCGTCGGACGAATTTGGAACTGCACGTTTCGTATTGAACGAAGAGATGTATTTGTCCAATTCCTTATCATTGTGCAAACATCGCACAGTCTCGTGTCGATCCGGACTGGTGAACCAAAGCATCGAGATTGGAGACCAGACTCTCTGGCAGCACCGGCTCTGCACTCAATATTCAATAAAACGAGGGGCTTGTTGGGAACGCAATTCGCGCATCTCACTGCGAGTCTATTCCGCTCGCCAGACGCTCTTCACGGTGGGAAGAAGTACGGCTGGAGATTAGACTAACTAGACATTGGCCGAGTAAAACACAGACCACACTCAACAGTCCGTTCATTCCGACATCAGTGTCAGTTGGTCGCAAGAATCTACGAGAGTTCAGAGTTTCCAACCTAGGCACTAGACTGTTTGCTGGGCAGTGATCAGCACTCTTTCCCTCGTAGTGATGACGCTTGTAACCGTGTCCTAATCGAGCGATTTAGAATACATCTCAGGGAAGGTCTGAACGTGATGCCCTGGCCGAGGTCCTACTCGGCGGCCTCGCGCTGCAATTCTTGCAGGTTGACGAGCTCGCTGTAAATTCCATTCAAAGCCATGAGCGAGGCGTGATCGCCCTTTTCTGCCACGATGCCATCCTTAAGCACAAATATTTGATCTGCTTTGGATATGGAGCTGAGTCGGTGTGCGATGGCAATTGTTGTGCGTCCTTTCGCAGCCTTGTCGAGCGCATCCTGGACGACTTTTTCACTTTCGGAGTCGAGCGCTGAAGTCGCCTCGTCTAGTAAAAGAATTTTTGGGTCTCTCACGAGTGCTCTCGCAATCGCCAGACGTTGTCGTTGTCCACCGGACAGCTGCGCACCCTTTGCCCCAACATTGGTCTGGAAGCCACCAGGCAGTGAGTCGATGAATTGAAGAATATTTGCCTCGGCGGCGGCCTTGCGAAGCTGAGCCTCCGTCACCTTGTCCGCGTCCTCAAATGCGCCCAAGCTCAGGTTAAAAGCGATGGTTCCATCGTACAAGGTAGGTTCTTGTGAAACGAGAGCGATGTGCCGACGCATGGCTTTGAGGTTGAGGTCAGAGATGTCGTGGCCGTCAATGCAAATGCGGCCTGCGAGTGGGTCGTAGAAGCGTTCCACTAGTTGGATCGTGGTCGACTTGCCGCAGCCAGAACCGCCGACAAGCGCGTAGAATCCGCCTGCCCGCATGTCCAAATCCAGACCACGGAGGACGGCTACTGCGCTTCTTGTTGGATATCGGAAGTGCACGTTCTCAAACCGCACATTGCCAGAAATGTCGTCGAGAACCTTGCCCTCTGTCGATTCAGAGTCAATCTCGGGGCGCATGTCTATGAGAGTGACAGAGTCATTCGCCGCTGTCTTGGCATTTGAGATATCCGGGACGAATGAGAAGACATTGCCACTGCAAGAGTAAGGTGAATGTCAGCGCTATGCAATCTCTGCATGGTATTATGTCACTGCTCACGCTTGAATTGAGCCGAAAACGACTCTGAAAGCATCGCAGGGTTTCACAGATGAGTGCTTCAGTCATTGTGGTCATTTTAACCCTTTCACCATAACTCACGAGGTCAGAACTGTGAAGAAAGCACCCGAAGAGAGCTCGCCGTCGATGAGCAGATGCGAGCCGTACCAGAAGCCCAGGGCGATGACCCAAAACGCGAGACCCTGCGAAACAGCGAAGAGGATGTTGCCCAGGAACGCAGTCTTGCGCACGACGCGCGCGGGCCACTTGAGCTCCTCGCTGTAGACGCGCAGACTATCATCCTCGCGTGTCAGACTTGCGACAGTGCGGATATTTGCGGCTGATTCGCATGCTTTTTGCGCGGCTTTTTCGTGCGCCTTCTTAATCTTTGCGTCTTTCAACACGACCAAGCGCAAACGCATGATGCCGGCGGACTGAGACGCAGAAGACCAGGGGAGAGAGCCGCGTCAGCCGAATCCAGAGCTTGGATGAGACGAAACAGCAAGGAACCGTGGGACTCACGAGCGTTGCGGGAACGCAAGCAATGCAGACGAGGGCGAGCTTCCACCCATAGGCCAAAGCAATGATGAAGCCGCAAATGAGTGTGGCGATGGACTGGATAATGGTGCCGAGCGTGACGCCGACGAGGCCATTAACCTTTTGGGAGTTATCGGCAAGGCTCGAGGTGAGCGAGCCGCTCGCGTGGTCATCTTCGTCGAAAAAGGCGACATCTGCGCGCAGGAAGGCGCTGAGTGAGAGGCGGCGTAGACGCTCCATTAGGATGGACGAGGCGAGCATGAGGTTATGCGTCTGGATCGCAACTGCGATTGTTGAGAGGATGGCGACGACGAAAAAGTAGAGAGCGTTGAGATTTGCCTCGTGCCGCATGTGGCTCCGAAACGGCTCCGGGCACGGAATCCCGTCGTCGCGGACAGGGCAAACAGAGAAGTTCTGCAGCGAGCGCCCGAAGAGGATGGAAAAGGCCGGGTAGGCGCAGCCGGCGGCGATTGAAGCGATGAAGCCAGGAACGTAGAGCGACCAGATGTACTCCTTGTTGACGAGGGCGAGGCGGTAGAGGAGGTAGTAGATGGAGCGCATCGGCGGCTGCGGCTTGTTCTGCGCTTCGAGGTCGTTGCTGCCGCGCTGCTGGCGCAGGATCAGGCTGGAGATGCTCTTGTTGGACTTGGTGCGGTCCAGGCCGGCGGGCTTCTCCACCTTGTTTTCTGCCATGCTTTTCTGGCGCTTGAGCAGCAGCTGCTCCTCTTCCTGCTGTGCGCGGTCTTTCGAGGAGGCCTTGGCACGGATGCGCTGCGCGTTGACCAGGTTAAAGTACGGCCCGTTCTCATTGTTAAGCAGCTTGTCATGTGTGCCGGCCTCGAGGATGACGCCCTTGCCCATGACGACGATATTATCGGCATTCTTGATTGTTGAGAGCCTGTGCGCAATGACGATGGTGGTGCGCCCCTCGGCGGCGCGGTCGAGCGCAGCCTGGACGATGCCCTCACTCTCGGAGTCGAGCGCGGACGTGGCCTCGTCCAGGAGGAGGATCTTGGGGTTCTTGACGACGGCGCGGGCGATGCAGCAGCGCTGCTTCTGGCCACCGGACAGGAGGAAGCCACGCTCGCCAACATTGGTCTCGTAGCCCTCGGGGAGCTGCGTGATGAAGTTGTGCGCGTTGGCGATCTTGGCGGCTTCGACGACCATCTCGAACTTCTTCTCCTTGTCGAGCTTCTCAAATGCGGTGTTGGTCAGGCCGTACTCGATGTTCTCGCGGATGGTCGATGCGAACAGCACAGGCTCCTGGGATACGTAGCCCATCTGCGCGCGCAGCCAGGTCAGGTTGAGGTCGCGCAGGTCATGCCCGTCGAGACGGACGCAGCCCACGTCCGGGTCGTAGAAGCGCTCGACGAGCGAGACGATCGTACTCTTGCCGCTGCCGCTGGCGCCGACGAGCGCGGTGGTCTTGCCACGTGGGATGCGCAGGCTGTAGTCCTGTAGGATCGGGATGTCCTGGCGCGCGGGGTAGCGGAAGCTGACGTGCTCGAGGTCAATGTCGCCGTCGCATGTGCTAGGGCGCAGGCCGTCCTTGGACGAAGAATCGATCGGCGGGATGCGGTCGATCGTCTCGAACACCTTCCCGCCGGCGCCAAGAGCGTACGAGAGCGCCTGCAGGTTGGGCGCTAGCATCGCCATGCCGAATGCACCGATGAGGATGGAGAAGATGCATGTCATCACCACGCCGGACTGCAGCTCGCCCTTTGCGATGAGCTCGCTGCCATAGAAGAAGGCGAGCGCGTAGGCCGAATAGATGACAAAGAAGAACATACCAAGCCCGATCCCCTGGCCGATGGCCTTCTTGACGCCAAGCCTGGTCGCTCCAGCGTTGGAGCGATCGTACAGATCAACGAGGCGCTGCTCGACGCCGAACGCCTTGGCAGTGCGTACGGTGGACAGCACCTCCTCGGCGAGCGTCGCGGCGCGCGAGATGTGCTCGAGCTCCGCCTGCTGCCAGCGTGTGATGAACACGTTCATCACCGCGCCGGTCACAATGATCAGCGGCACGATAACGGTGATAACTCCTGCGAGGCGTGCATTGCGTACGTAGGCGACGACGAAGCCTGGTGTACATTGTGTGCGTGTCAGTCGCTGCGCGAAATACAACGCGTCGCATGGGCGAGACCTAGCAGGGCGGACTCACCTGCGACAAAGGTGCTGATGTACATGACGCTCATGGGTATTTTGTCGGAGATGCCTTCTTGGATCAGCTGGATGTCACTCTGGATGCGCGTGGTGACCTCGCCAGGGCCGAGCTCATCAAAGTAGGCGATGTTCTGCCGCAGCACGGAGCGCAAGTACGCGATGCGGATGCGCCGCGTCACCTCTTCGCCCGTGTAGACCCATGATGCTCTGCGTTGAGAGTGTAGAGCAGGGCAGGACAGGGCAGGGCAGGCAGGGAAAGACGAAGTAGCGCGTCAGCTCAACCCCCCCAAGAAAGGTGTCGTCCCAACCAAAGAGCGAAGCAGAGGCAGACGCACTGGTAGATCCACGTCATGACCATCATACCCGCGCCGATACTGAGCAAGAGCAGCGCGTCATGGTTGACGGCGTGGCGTATCTCGCGTTTGGCCGCGTCGTACGCAGCAGGTCCGGCGCCGGACTCGTTTGCAAAGGCCAGGAAGGAGGTCGTCAGGTTTCCAAACACCTGCGCCGGTCACGCCCGCGCCACCACAAATATGGCGGATAAGAGCGAGTGCAAGGGGGCGGGGTCGGGAAGAAAAGAAAAGAAAAAGAAAAGAAAAGAAAAGGAGAGGTGGTAATCGTGAGCGGCACAAACCCCATGCGTAGCGCTCGCTGCACGCCTTTCGCCGCTCGTGCAAGGGCGCGAGGAGACACAAAGCGAGCACACGGCACTCACCACCGTCATCAGGGGCTGCGCGACGCCAGCGGCGGTGGCGGCAATGAGGCCGACAAAGTTGACAAGCAGCTCCCACTTGGTCGCGAAGCGAAACAAGTCACGCAGGCTCGCCTTATTTGGCTGCGTCTCGTCGCCGTCGTCGCGCTTGTCCTGCATGCCAGAACCCGAGCCCAAGCCGGAGTTTGCGCCTCGCTTTTCGTCAGCCGAGTCCGCATCGGAGATTGGCAGCGCCGAGTGCGAGGCGGTGTGCGTGGGATTGTGCTCTGAGTGTTCTGCTTCTGGCGCTGCCTCGTCCGACAACGACGACGTAGAGGCAGAGGAGGTGGGCAATGGCGGTGGCGCTGCGTCGTTCTCTGGCAGCTCGACCGCGCTATTATTGGTGGCGATGATAGCAGTGTTGGCGGCGTAATGGGTGGCCGATAGTCCGAGCGGCTGCTGCTGCTGATTTGCAACCTTGTTAACGGCATGCTGATTCTGCGCTGTTCCCACGGCGGCCCGTTCAACTTCGAGCGCCGATACGGGCGTGGCGTTGGGCGCGACATCCCTCAGGCCGGCTGGCGCAGGGGCCATCGGCGCTGCCATACTTGGGTGCTTGCAGGGTTGCTGTTTCAGGTGATGGACGCCTTTCCCGACGAGGTAGGCCCCGGGCTGTACGTGCACGCACAGCTGTACACTTTGTGCCGAGCCGGAGCTATGTGGAGCTTGCTTGAGCTGGAGGAAGCGCACACACGCGAGTACGAAGGCGCAGCAGGACGGCCGCTGGGGGTCGCGGGGGCGAACAATACAAAGGGGGGAGGGGACACTATGGGTGAGGGAGAGTAGAGGGGCAGCGCAAACAGAATGGCGAGTGTGTTATATACAGAGAGTAGAGTAGGTTCGAGTTGGAGTATGCGGTAGTCGAGCGAGAAAGCGAGGCGCCTGATTGTGATGAAGTCGTCAGCTGGCGGCGGCCAGCCAGACGGTATACTCTACGTAGTCCTAGTCCTTTGCAAGTCAGCCAGACCAGTCGCGAGGAAGCGCGCCCTCGCTCTCACCCTCCTTTTTTGACTACTCGGCTCAATTCCACGCAAACCCACGAAAACCGATATCCATGGCGTATGCAGCCTGCCCGATCAGACGACCGCCGGATCTCGCAGCGCTCTCCCGCTGGATTGAGGGATTGAGCAAAACAACCAAGACTGTTTCCTCACGGCGGCGCTGGGGGAGAGAGAAAGGGAGACGCGCAGCACACTTTTCCATGTGTATGTCTGTTGTTTCAGACACCTAAGGGACTCCGCGGAGACGCACTTTCTGAGAGGGGAGGCTCAGGTCCCCGTTGCCCAATGGCACACGGCAGAATTGCGCTGTGGGAGTATTACCATGGCAATTTGAATGTCAGACAAAACGTCAGGGGCCCGCCACTCGGAACCCGGCAAGGTGGCAACGCAAACTTGTGTGGCTTTGCGCTCGTTTGATCATGTGACGTGAGAGGCACGAGGGGCTGCAACCCTACAATCTGCTCGCGCCTTTTATTTTTACGCTCTCCGGTCTTGTACTGGCTGGAAGGTTTGCCGCGCCTGCAAACAAGCAGCAGCGCGTCGACATGTAATTGTCGGCCGCAGCGGCGACCGACAGACAACATGCACGTCGTAGCCGTCGTCACAGGCAAGCATCCGAAGTTCACCCTGAATTGCAATTTGGGCCTTCTTACGCATTGCATCCATACCCCAGCTAGTGCAGCATTCACCCCAGCTTCAAATGCATGCTTCTGCTCGTACGCACACACACAGAGCGTACTTGTCACTTCACCCCTGCGCACCGCTTCGCAACGGAACGCACAGCCCGGAAGGACAAGAAGAAGAAAGGAAAAGACCTTCATCGTACTCGCCATGCACAACATCTTCCGCTTCTTTGGCGATATGAGCCATCTCGCCTCGATATTAATCCTGATCCACAAGATAACTACCAGCAAATCATGTAGAGGTGCGTCGCTGCCCGCACCTCTCCCCCCTCCCCCTTGCGCGCGATCGGCGCGTCGGAACGATCGATCCATTGTCCTCTATGTCCACATACACACAGAGAGGGGGTAGCAGGAGGATCGCGGGCTTTGAAGGCAGGCGAAGGGGCTCGCTCTCGAGATGAGCAAGCGCTCGACGGAAGGAGTAGCCAGGACCGGGCTGGGAGTGTGGATGGACATGGTGCACGGCTCCCACGGCCTGCCTCTTCCGGGACAGCGTCTTCCACGCCAGCGGCTCCGGCGCACCGACACGAGAGGTGGGGAAAGGGGGAAGGCACATCTGTCGCACATGTATACAGGGACCGCATGGAGCACCCCCATGGGCCTTCAAGGGATTGCAGGAGTCGATTGCAGAAGCGCCTTGTCTGGAACTGCGGTGCGCCGCGCGTTTTTCGACGTGTCGCGCCCAGCGTCCTTCACGCCTGCTCGGTCATTTTTAGTTTGCACCCACGAAGCGGCGGCTGTACTGACCACCATCCTGATGCTCTGCGCTTCCGAATTGTCAGGCATTTCATTCAAGACGCAGCTCCTATACTCAGTCGTGTTCCTGACACGATACCTGGACATCTTCGGGGACCGTTCGCCATATCGCGTCGTCATGAAGCTCTTCTTGATCGGGACGAGTCTCTATATTCTCTACCTCATGAAGATGAGGTTCCGGTGAGCAGGATTGCTTGCATTCTTCGAGTAATGGCCCGCAAGACTGACATTGAGTTGCGCGCGCAGACCGACGCACGACCCGGCGATCGACACGATCCAGCTCTCGTATCTGATAGGTCCCAGTGCGGTACTGGCGCTGTTTTTCCACTTTGAATTCACCCTGATCGAGATACTGTGGGCGTTCAGCATCTACCTCGAGGCCGTCGCCATCCTGCCGCAGCTGTTCATGCTGCAGCGCACCGGCGGGGCCGAGACCATCACGACGCACTACCTCTTCGCCCTCGGCGCGTATCGCGCCCTGTACATCCCCAACTGGATCTTTCGCTACTTCACAGAGAACAAGGTCGACCCCATCAGCATCATTGCCGGCCTCGTGCAAACGGGGCTCTACCTCGACTTTTTCCACAGTCAGTTACTCCGGCCTCAGCCCGCAGGCGTACCTCTGATCAGAGCTGACTGCGTGTTACGTCCCCGCAGTCTACTTTACCAAGGTCATGCAAGGCCAAAAGTTCGAGCTGCCTGCATGAGCACACAGTGCTCGCGGATGGACCAGGGGGAAGAGGAGCGAAAGCACAATCGTAGCGCGGGGATCGGCTTCCGCTGTGCGCAACTTGATGGCGCGCCTTTGGGGAGGTGATTGGAAGAGTGGTGGCGCGCATGCCTCGAAGGGTAAGGCTGCGGCGCGGCGTTGGCGGCGTGCTTCATGGACGATTGCGTGCTGCAGAGTAAAGCAAATGCGAACGCGACGCAGCTCTTGTCGGAGACGCTGCGTGCTGCATGAGGTAAACATACATGAATGTCTTGCTGGGTACATCAACGAGTTTGGCGGCGCTTGCTTGCGCACGCTGCATAGGATCTGGCCACGGAAGGGATAAGCACAGCCCGCTGCTCATAGTCGCGATTGCCTTGATCTATTGGGCCCATGTCCAGCAGGGAGCGCAGCTGTCGAACATGTGTGGAAATGCGACAGCAGCCGGCGCGCCGAGGGCGGGGGACCGCAGCTGGCGTGCTACCACGCGCGCAGTGAATAGCATCTGAAGGAGGACAGCACGCTGACCGAACATAAGCACGCAAGATGATACAATGAAATCAAAGCATGATAGACACATGAAACCATCGAAGGGCTCATTCATATCACACGGTGTAGTGGAGCGAGCGCTAGCTTTTGCAGTACCACTTTGATCGAAGAAGTACCATTCGCCCTCTAAGCTTATGGACATGTATACTTTTGCATGTCCTCGTGCGGAATGCCTCCCTTTGATGGAGCGTGAGCTCGAAGATTTGCGAGTTGGAATAACCGCAGACCGTTTCTCACTCCCTACACCTGCCATTTTTCCCGTCCCATTCATAACAAGACCGGCATCCGGGTCATCGGCGGTCGTCTCACCACTGCCAGCCGCTGGCGCCAGGAGGACATGTTCCTGTGATTGTCAACCTGCCGGTGGCCTCTCCAAATCTTGCAGCATCAGGCATCAGACACCCGTCTCCCAGTCTCCCCCTTCTGCCTCAGTCAGGAGCGTGCCTCACATCCCGAGTATATACTACTTACTACCTTTGAGTACCAAGTCGAGTGCATCCGGCGCGGCGCGCACACGAGCAGAGATGTTTGTCCAGCACAATACGCAGAGCGCCAAGACGTAGTATCATTCAACCTCAGCACCAAACTCCCCGGATTATTCCTATTTTCACGGGAATTGAGTTGGTAGATTGCTGATCTGATAAGCGATGCGCACAGATTTTGACTCACTTTTGGCGGCTTCCAGGGCGTTCGAGCTCAAAAGTTTATCGCAACGAACCGCTCCGCCAGCCCGACAAATCTCTGCTCTCTCTCGACTCTTCTGCGACACTTGTCAACGCCATTGTATTTTGCTGTACGCCCCCCTTCAGAAGCAGAGAGATCGCCTATCGCTGGCATCATCCCCTCTCTGCTTTCGCCGTCCTCCCTTCTCCTGTGGGCCAGTTTTTCTTTCCCTTGCGGCGACTCGGTCGAGGAGCGCGACGACCGAAAATACCCAAGGCGACCTCTTTCAGAAGAAATCAAAAACGCCCAGAAGCCCAGATCAGAACTTGCACTTCTCCCCACCGATCCTATCGAGATTGGCTTGCATCCCATCAGTTTTCGCATCACCCCTACCGACTCTCATAGAATCACCCTCTCTTGGCCACTTTCAAACTGCACAAGATCCCTCTTTCAAAAGAGAAAGAGATCTTTCGACTCGCTCCTCTCTCGTCAGATGATAGCATCTTGGTCGCACAAAAAATTTCCTCGCTGCATCTGTGAGCGCTACTCGGTATAAAGGTCACGATCGCCTTCATCTTTTTCTTCTCACCTGCCAACGACTCTTCCAGCAATCCGACTCGCTGTCGTTTTGTGATACTATCCCCAAGATGTGCTCCTCAGACGCTGCGAACCTCCCCAAAAGGGGCGAGGAGGACGGACGCTCCTTCTCCGAGGACCCCTCCTCTAGCGCCGACTCGGACGCCACGCAGCTCGGGGTTGTCAAGGCTGAAGCCGCGCGGCGCGTCGTCGGCTGGCAGCTGTACGTCGCCTGGCTCGGCATCGCGCTCGTCAGCTACGTCTACGGCCTGGATAACAACACAACATACGCCTACCTCACCGCCGCCGCAACGTTTTTTTCGGATTACAATCTGTACCCCGCCATGTCGGTCGTTCAGCAGGTGCTCATCGGCGTCATGAAGCTCCCCGTCGCCAAGCTCTCCGACGTATTCGGCCGTGCGGAGGCGTACACGCTCAGCATCGCTTTCTACGTTCTCGGCTTCATCGTTATCGCATCGTCACAGAGCACGGCGGCTGTCTTTGGCGGTGTCGTCCTGCAAGCGATTGGCAACACTGGTACGCAGATCATGCAGCAGATCGTCATCGCCGACTGGGTCCCCGCCGACTGGCGCGGTTTCGCCATTGGCATCGTCAGCTGGCCGTACATTGTCAACTTTGCCATCGCGCCGCTAATAACCGGCCAGCTGGCCAGCTTCAGCGAGCCTACCTCGCAAAAGTGGCGATGGGGCGCAGGCATGTTTTGCATCCTCCTCCCCATCGTCAGCTCGCCAATCATCCTCACCCTCGCCCTGTCGCAGCGGACAGCCAAGCGGTCCGGCCTGCTGAGCCGCACGCGTGCGTCGCCGGGAGCAGTGACCCTGTTCAAGGAGGTCGATGTTATTGGCCTCTTCCTTATCGTCACCGGCTGGCTACTCATCCTGCTCCCGCTGCAGCTTTACTCGAGAGCACCCCAAGGCTGGAGCACGAGCTACATCATCGCCATGCTCGTCATCGGTGGCTGCTGCCTCATCGCCACCGCTGTCTGGGAGGCCTTCTTCAGCCCACGACCCATCATCCGTCGAACGTACATCTTCAACAAGAATGGTAAGCGAGCGCAGTGCTCTTCTACGAAAAGACAGCGGGCTGAATTGAACTTCTTGACTGCCTTCAGTGCTTCTACCGACGTTGATCGGTTTCTTCGACTTCCTCTCCTTCTATGCATCTTGGCTCAACGCATACAGCTGGGCACAAATTACATTCGACTTTACTGTTAAAGAAGCCACTTACTTTTCCAATGCCCAGTCGCTTTGCTTGACGGTCTTTGGCATTGTCACCGGCATTGTCGCCATCGTCACCAAGCGGTACAAGTGGCAGATGGTCACCGGCGCCTGCATCCGCGTGCTCGGCATCGGCCTCATGATCTGCTACCGCACACAAGGCAGCTCTACCGCGCAGGTCGTCGTCCCACAAATCCTCCAGGGCCTTGGCGGCGGCATCCTCGGCGTACAGCTGCAGGTTGCAGCGCAGGTCAACGTCCCGCACCAGGATGTTGCCATGGTCACAGCCTTCGTCCTGCTGCTCACCGAGATTGGCGGCGCAGTCGGCAGTGCCGTCGTCGGTGCCGTGCAGAACCACGTCCTACCGACCAAAATCGCGCTCTACCTCCCGCAGCTCTCTATCGCGGACAAAACGAGCATCGTTGCTGCGCCGCTCGCCGCCATCCTCAATTATCCGCTTGGCTCTCCCGTGCGCGACGGCATCATCCACGCTTGGAGCGACTTTATGCACGTCTGCCTCATCATCGCCATCGTCACCGGCGCGGTGCCGATCATCCTCACCGTGATGCTCAGCGATAACAAGCTAACCAGGGACCAGAACGTCATCGGCGATAAAGCCCGTTTCGGACACGACAGCGAGGGTACGCACGTCGATGAATCCAACGCCGACAGTAAGGTGTAGCACATCCTGGGCTTGTGGAGAGTGTATGTACATGGAAGTTTTGAAATTTAGCAAGCTTTTGAATGCGCTGGTGTTCATCGCACATGCTCAAGGAATTCGTTGCGATGACTCCCAGATACACGTATCACCCCTCGCCCCTGCTCGTGTGCCTATAGGTCAGCGTGGATCCGCAGCTACCGCTTTTTGATGGCATTGACCTGCGGCGACCAGTGGATTTCAATCTCCTTGGTGAGCTGTGCCTTGCTACCATAGTTTGTCTGCTCAGACGCGAGCATGCCTCCCTTGATGCGCTGCAAGAATATAGCAGCCAGGTTCGCCGTCCCGCCACCGTATCGTTCGGCAGCGCCCGGATGAGCGGTGGTGTAGCTGTGTATCGAGCGCCACGTGGAGCGGTACCCAGCAAATGCGTCTCAGTCCACTTTCTAGTTCATGGCCAGATTTGTTGCCGCTCCCCGCTCGTCAAGACCGAGCTGGTCGTGTGACGCCCACCAATTTTCGATGCGCGCCCCTGGCTGGCCAGGAGTGGAGAATACTCTCCGTTGCGTTGTCCTCGCGTCCCACCGCGGCGGGTTAGATATGTGGCTACACCGCTCCTAGGGAAAGGGGATGGCTCTCAAACCCTGATACACAATCGATCGTCTCGGCTGCTCCAGTACCCTCCGACGCCGTCGCCAGAGTGTGGCGACGGTTGGCCGCCACTGAAGTTGCTGATGAGTGGACGGGCAATGAAGGATAGGCGGGCAGGAAGAGCCCCGAGTAGCCGACAAAGAATATCAAGCCTTTCGGACGAGGTACCATATAGATAAGGGGGAAGAGCTGGGAGTACGGTATGAGCCAATGCGCAGCTTGGCATGCAAAGATGAGATCCACCCGAGCCGCTTCAGGAACATCGGCGGAAGGTGCGCCGTGTGCAGCCGGACAATTCTTGAGAGTCAAGGCGTTGTCTTCCAGGTACTCTAATTTTCCTGGGGTTCCTGTTTGGCTGTCTCGCTGTAATCGCAAAACTTCCAGCGCTACTTCTTGCAGTGGTGGCGGACGGAGAGCAGGGTCCAAGGACTGGTAGTTTGGCTCACGTATGGCCTTGGCGAGTATCGATGACGATAGTTCGATCCCGGTGACTTTTCCAAAGTATGGCAGAAGCACCAACTTCGCGATGCCTGTGCAGAACGCGCACGTCGAACGCTGAACTTGTGACCAGCAGAGTTCACGCCTGTGGGTCATCCGGCTGGTCCACATACCAGGTTCCGAGCACAATCCCATCGTATATCGTTTATCATTTTGGCCTTGATTTCCACCACTTCATTGTCCACTAGTGGGGCGGCATTCGGAGTTCCCGTAACATAATACTGGGAAACAAGTCTCCAACCATAGGCCGGATACGAGGCTCGGAGTGCCATGTAGGGCGCTGCGTTGAATGTTGAGCCCGAAAATGTTGCCAATCCGTCGCATACCCTAGCGTCCTTGGAACGCGCTGCGGCCTGTCAGCCATGGTGTCCAATGCTTTGTATAGCGCGCAAAATGACATGCATGGGAAGACACTTGCGACGATGACTATGACGAACTCCAGGTCAACAGGAATGAGACCATAAAGGTGTACTTGAAACGTGTTTGGGCTCCCCGAGCGATTCGATGCCAGTCTGAGGGTGCCGGATATACCGGACCAAAGGAAAATGCAGGAATTGTGGCGCAATCCTGAGGATCCAATAACAATTGTGCAACAGGCCAATCAAGAAAGACTCAGGCGGATCGCTCTGGCAATGAGGCAGGTTGTAGCAATTTGTCTAGTACAGCGCTTCAATGGTATGTATCTTAAAATGTGGGGCTCAGCGACCATGTATCGCCAGGCAGGGGATGACAGGTACCGCGCCGGCTGGCCGAAGGCGAAGAAGCTTAAAATGGAATGGAGAAATTGGAGCAATGCCCTGTTTGACTGTGGAGGACTCGCAAGCTAGGCCGTTACCTGCCCGACTTCCTCGTGCTGAGTGGCCTGTCCGCTAGTGCTGTCATGTGCATAGACTGGAGCGCTGTGGCCGACATGGCCTTGACCAAGATTTTGACCGTGGCCTTGGTTGTGACCGTGGTCTTGGTTGTGACCGTGGCCTTGGTTGTGGCCGTGGCCTTGGTTGTGACCGTGGCCGTGACCTTGGCCCAAGGTGCCGTGCGCAGCATGACCGTGGTGATCCTCCGTGCCAGCAGCCGAAACTGCAGGGGCAGCAGCTGCGGCACTAGTGCCCTCGGCCTGTTTCTCTAGAGCACGGGCTTCTTGAGCTTCGACGCCGGCAAAGGTCGTTTTGCCAGATGCCAGGTGGAAAATGTCGTAGTCAATTCGATTGAGTCTCCACATGTGGAAGGTCAGCCATATGGGCTTGGTGAAAAGGTCAAGGATGCCCTATAGGCATACAGGACGGGTTAATCAACCGACCGACGCAGTGATGCAACAGGCACAAGGCTAGGTACTCACGTAGAAGACGACCTCGGCTGTGGGTGTGATACGGTTGCCGCCCTCAGAGCTGCGTGCAGTGATGAGATACCACGGTGTCAGATGAGCACTTCAGGTGTGTCAAATTGCCACTCACAGTCCCCAGGCGATCGGGTAGAGGAAAAAGAAGAAGAACAGGTAGATCGTGCTGCCGAGGAAGAGACTGCGGGTCTCACGACCAAGTATCCGGGCGCCTCGGACTCCAACCGTCCAAAGGTGCATAAACAACCAGAAGTATGTGATGACGGCAAAAATGAAAAGTGCCCACTTGTAGTTGGAACGGATCAATGCGCCGACAAGCCAGCAGATGATCATGAACAAGGAGAGGAACATGATCCAGATGATCTCCGAGACAGGCAGCGCCTGTACATATAGGAACAAATGGCGTCAGTGAGTCTTCACAGAAGTGGAAGAAAAATGAGATACGCACAGTGGCCAAAGTCAGGAGGAGCATCATAGCCGGTACTGTGAGTGCCCAATCGACGTAGCGCACGTACCACACCTGCCGTGTGAAGCTCGTCGGGTCGTTAAATCTGACGTGTATGGGTGTTGACCCTAGGTCGCTCGCCATCAGAAAGTAGCTCAGCGTGGATACCATCATGATGAACACCTGTCGCGGACGTGAATATTGGTAAGCTCGGCATATGCATCCTACCACCCGTTAAAAAGGGTATCGCGACTCACTGCAAGCCAGTGAAAGACCCGACGGCCCGCGCGACGTGTCGTGTATGACCATACAGTGAACACGAGCAGGAATACCATGAAGATGCAGAACCAGGCCCAAAGGAAAGAACTACCATTTTCGCCTGGATGGAAAACGTCATTACCTCTGTACATCTGGAGTTGACGGTGACGAACCAAAAAAGTCCACAGTGACGAACTCAAACTCACTGATGGCAATGTTTGCATTGGGGGGGTTCGAAGCTACCGCAGTATTCCTCTTCGCGAGGAGTTTGAGAAGCTGCGCCATGGTGACACGTTTGTCGGTCGTCTGGATGATGCTAAGCAGCCAGTAGAAGCAAGGAGCACAGCCAACACAACGTAGTAAGGTAAACTGGGAGAGGGATATGAGGATAGATGCAGAAACCTTTTGTACTTTAACGAGCATCTAAAGTGAGAAAGGTGCCCAGGCAGCAATTGAGAGAATCGCTTCTGTTGATGACAGAGACAATTCAACTTGGACGGTGATAAGAGCATCTGAAATGGTCCCGGCAACTGCGAAGAGCCCAACGTTCTACGGAGTAGAGTCATTGATTCACAACGCTGACAAACGGTTGCAAGCCCGTCATTTCGATACGTCTCCAGAAATAGCGATCCTGTCGAGTGGTGGGCAGGATGAGCGATGAGTCTTAGGCTCTTACCTCTTGATGACAAATGACCTGCGGTCCCGGCGGACCAGCCTAACTTTGCGCACCGGCCCATGTCAAGACAGACATTAAAAAGACCTATCATCTGAGAACATTTGAATCTCATGAGGCCCCTAACATCATATTATTATGGCCCTTGCGTCATACTCTGGGGGTCTCCGGGATTACTTGTCATGGGAACTTGGAAGGTGAGGCAAACCGAACAGTGCGGAACAACTGAGATGCTTAAGTCGGGTATAGCATAAAAAGCTGTCATGGAGCAGGACTCAGAATTGCTAGCTCGAGGCCGCAAATGGGCTCTCTGGTTGATGCATCAATGTGAGCAGCATGTGTACTCCCAGGGAGCATGCAGTCAACCCTTTTAAGTTGTTGAGGTTTCAGATGAGAAACAAGAGTGCAAAACCAGGAAGACAAAAAGCGATTGCACCAGCCACTCGAGCATGCGTGCCTTGAGCCTGAAGATTAATGGGCTGGAGCGTTTTCAAAGTTGAGATTTAATGGCCTGCCCCCTCATTGGAACCTTTGGAAGGGCGTAAATGTCTTCACCATTGTCAGGTCTCCTCGCCAATCTGGTCCAATATTTATGTTTGTGTCGAGTCAAACCACGCAGAAAACGACTAATGCGAGGGGTGCAGCTTAGGCTATAGTACCTTGGACGGCTCAGGCGTACTGTCCCTCACTGAATTCCGTGCCAAAGTATCGGACTTAGCTGTTGCACTTTGCTGCTCCAAGACCCCGTGCGCCCAGGGTTGTGCAGATTAATTTCTCTGCGGGAATGCCAACTCGATAAACTTCTTCTTTCTCTGTAGTTGACACACTGCAACCCAATATTGGCCGCATATCGTTTCATCGAGTGTAAATGCCGACACACCGTGGAGTCTCCCTAGAAGCAACAGCAGTGATGGGCAGCGCAGATCCGGACATAACGCAAGAGCCTCACCGACCACACATCTCCTCCAGTATTTTTGCTGCTTCAGCCTCAGCACGCCTCCTTGACAGTCGCGGGCCGAGAAGCTCCGTGAAGAGGTTGCGCAAATTGCAAGGGCATGGATATCCCCCATGTGGCTCCAAACTTGTACATCAGGATTCCTACCAATCCGGCCCGTGGTCTGGGTCCGGCTCGCTCCAATCAAGCGCGAAATTCTTCTCGCAGTCCTGTTCAAGTACAAGCAGGTGATCAGATCAACGTCTTCGAAGGCAGCTACCGTTCATCGCTCTCCTGTCATGTTGTAACCTAGTAGCCATCGACCAAGCGCCAAATTGCACTGGCTAACGCGAGTTGACTTGTAAGTGTAAACAATTGTGTTTACAACGATCGAACGGTTCTTCCTCAGCCGCTTCCCAGTCGCAGCTTTCATCAGACGCGAGTTTCCCTTACTCTGGTGCGTGGTTGCTCCTAATTGTTGGTCCATAAAAATGAGGTCATGGCCGCTCCACATCGGTGTTGTATTCTTCTTGTATTTCAATTTTCTCCCACAGTTACCATTCTCGGCGGCCATCCGCGTAAACATTACGAACCTGTCGTGAAAAGATTGCCGAGGAAATGTTGTACAGTAGCTGTGCAGCAGATGTTAAAAGCTATTTTCCGATGTGGAGACGAAGATTCACGACGGTCAGCATGCATGAACCTGGTAGCGGAGGATCCTAGTGCGCGCTTCTCATCACCCATGGAGGAATAGTCGTTGGTGAGGCTGTATCGCCCTCGTATCGCTTGGATGGTTGCGGGGCAGTTGGGTGCTCGAATCAGGTCGGAATCGGCACCCGGAAATAGGAGCATGTAGTTTGTCGAACTTGGAGTCGGGGTTGCCGAGGTGAAGCCTCGGAGAGCATTCTCTGTTTCTTGGATCCGAGTTCGCCTGGACATATCAACGCATGGAAGAACATTGCATCCGCAACAGCCAGAAATTGACGGACACGCCCAACTCACGGACATCGGCCAGCGCTTTAAAGCTTCGCGGGTAAAGTCCAGACGCTTCCGCATGGTGCCAACTCCTGGGCCGGTAATTACCAGGAATGCAGCATCGGATAATGAAATAGGACAACCAAAGTCTCTTGCACATATTCGAGGATATCTTGGATCGGCAAGCAGCCGATGAGCACAATCAGGTGCTCAAAGATGCGCTTAAAACCTTGACATGATTATCCTGCCATTTCATGAGCCAGGTCATGTAGCTCTGGTTGAACTGCGCTGGGCGATGCACGAAACCTTTCCAAAAGCCTTGTTTCATAGGTTGCTGCCTCCTTCTCAGTCGCTTGACACCTATCACCAAGACAGTATTGCTCCAGAAGCCAAATTGAAAAGATGGAGACGGGCTCGGCATTGCCGAATTGCTCGGCTCGACGTTAAATTCTGTCGATATAGACAAATTTATATATATGATACTGTCTGTAAGTAACACTCGAACAGGATGGGCAGGTAGCTGTCAATTGTTGTCAGGTGCAATCATAGCTCACCGTGAGGGAATCATTTCATCCGAGCCTTATACTCCTCTCGATTCTTGACTCGGGCACGGCCTGGAAGCACACGCGCTAGTTCAAGGTCATGCGCCACTTCATACGAGTAAATCTCATGCAAGTCGTCGTAAGCCGCTGGCTTCAATCCCATGAACACAAGAAATGGTTTCATTTGACCTCGGTGCGTGCTATGATCGTTTCAGTCAGCAGGACGTCGTCTGGTGGCAGCTCCTCTAGCTGTCGAATTCCTTGTAAGGTTTGCTCTTCACGTAACAGCGCTAGTCATACGCTCTGTGTTGCTCACGTCGCCCTGCACCAAGTGTTCTCACCTCAAGGTGGCGCTGAAAGGTCTTTTGCGGATGTGAGGAATGCCGAAAATGATATCCCTCACACTCCCCTTGTCCAACTGGAATATGCGGCGAGCGAGAAGCACTGCATTGTTTCAGGCTGACTTGGTCAAGCTACGAGTGCACGTTCAAAATCTCTAGCTTGGAGGACTGATACGATGTACAAGCTCAGCGCTCAGCTTTGAGCCAGCCCGGTTGCCCGACCCTCTTCACTATTCACTTCTGTACAGACTGGTTACACTTGACTGGACGCGACTGACTACTTTTGAGTACTGAGTACTCATCTGGCCACTGACTAACTACACAATCTCCAGATTGCTATTTTGTACCGATGCCCGCTAAATAGGAGATGGACTCAAATTCGCTCAACTTCATCGGCCTCGGACTGTCCTGCATTCCGGCACTGGCACAGTTTGCTCTGTCGGTGTGGAACATTTCCCTACCGATCATGCATAACATACAATTATTTGTAGTTAAGATGTGAGATAGCGAGATCTCATGTGAGATGCGAGGGCCAACATTGCGTCGCATGTCAACTTGGTTATTACTCAAATCATCTGACAATAGGTATTCAATAATATAGGCAATCAATAGTTGACTAAAAATAGGTCATACACACTAACATGTTGAACTCATGATTCCATGACTCAGTCAAATTTTTGATAAAAAGGACGAAGAGATACTGTTCACGTTGGGCAAGGCATGCGACAAAGTCCATTAATGATCCAACATTGTCCACGGTCTGTGCTCGAGACCAATATATATATATATATAGTATTTCCACATTTGCACTTGCTTTCATTGGGGTTCACTCTTCACCTTCTTCCCCCCGCGAGCTTGGCTGAGCCTCAGGGCTGCAGATCGTTTACCATCTGTACGTGCACCGCTCTGTGTGGCTTCTGTGAGCAGGCGTTGCATAGACGCGTCGTCCGCGGGTAAGAGGCTAAGCAGCTCACGTACACTGCTGTTGCTATCGCTCTGAAAGCTGGCAAGATTTGCAGCAGGCCGAGGGGCAGTTCCGTCTGGCCTGACGAGGCTGATGAGATCTTCAGGTCGTGCTTGCAACCGCACCGCGTTTGTGAAGGTAGGCGCAGCTTTGACATGGTTGGGCTTTCGGCGCATCATGACCTCTGTTCCTGGAGGCAGGCCATGCAGCAACATTGCGGTGTCGACCGATCGCTGCGTGACCACATGTGGAGCTGTTGACGCCCGTGACGGCATGCTGCTCTGGGTTGAGCAGTGTTGGCGCGCGATCTGCGGCACTGGCTGTGATGCCCCGAAAATCGGTACAGATGAGCCATACCGGGCTGCATGCTGTTCGGCTCTCCTTCGCTTCTCTTCTTCGACATGCTGCTTGTGTTCGGCGGTGGCCAGGATCACGATTTCTTTGCTGGGTGCTTGCCTCTCGATGACATGTGCTATTTCCTTGACTTGATCAGGCTCAATTCGAGGAGGGAGCCTCTTGAACAGGCCTTCAAGGTTCGCCATTCTGAGACGGCTCGGATCTTCTTCATACTCGGGCTGGGCAGGTTTATTTGTATTCTTCGAGGGAACTGGCGGTGGCGCGGCGGATTTACCCGCGATGAAGGGCGTAAGCTCAAGAGAGAGAGGTTTACCGGAGGTTCCTTCTTGTCGCACCGTGCAGTACGTAAGATAGAGGATTGTTTGCGCACGAGTCATCGCCACGTAAAGTAGACGAAGCTCCTCTAAAATCGCGCTAGTAGTGGTGCAGGCGACTAGCGGAAATCTGCCGTTCTCACAGCCCCCGATAAAGACAACAGGCCCTGCGGAGCGAGATGCATTAGGCAGAAGGCTGGTTAAACTGTAAGACTCTGCTAGCACTCACATTCGAGCCCTTTAGCAGAATGACAAGTAGAGATCGTGACCTTGGGGGTGTTCTCCTCGTTCGCCCCGGTGTCAGTGATGCTTGTGGTATTCAAAAAAGTTCGCAGCTTTTCCAGCTCTCGCTCCGCAACCGAATCACCGTAAGAGACCAAAGCACAATCGTTCGCCTTGCCTTGGAGCACTTCCTCCTCTTCATCAGCATCAGGACCATCATTACCGAAGTCCATGGAGCCAGCCCATTCATTGAGCATATCTTCCAGCGACTTTTTGTCCTGAGAGAACGCCTGGCCATCTTCGCTACTGTCCTCTTGGAATAGCTGGCTATCCTCGAAATTACGAGGTGGACCAGTTCGTCTGGAGGAAAGAGAAGATGCTGCGCCTTGTGAAGCCTGGAGCACCTGGCTACCCGCGAAGCTCCTTTCCTTGCTTGCGCTGGCTGAAAGAGGCTGAATACCGTCCATGTCGGCAGCAAAGTTGACAAGCTCGAGGATTATCTTCCTACTATTATCCCCGTTGTCTTCGTTGGCGATGTGGCGGTCGTAACCGCATGCAAGCACCAACCACTTGATGATCAAAGAGACCGGTTTTTGCTGGCGTGCCATTTTCCTTACACGTTGCACGAGCGATACAAATTCGCGCAATCTGTTGATCACATTAGACCTGAAGCGAACATCCTCAACATGTCCGGCTGCGAGCTGCTCTGCAAGCACCATCGCAGTCATACCCTTGCTCCTTGCGACTACAATAATCAGCTGCAGATTCTTGTCGCCAATGCCACGCTTCGGCACGTTGACTGCCCGTGTGAACGCAGCATCGTGTTGAGGATTATCCGCAAGGTGGAGATACGCCAGGAGATCCTTCACCTCCTTGCGCTCAAAGAAGCGGATACTGCCGACCATTCTGTAAGGAATATGTGCTGCATTGAGCGCAGACTCGATATGGCGTGACATCGAGTTTGTGCGTAGTAGTATCGCAAAGTCGTCATGATTGAACATGTTGCCGGATTGGGCGATGAGGCGCTTGATCTCGCTGACTATCCGGCTGGCCTCATCGGCAGCGAAGTCACAACGTAAGAGCGTAACACCGTGCCCCATGGGATGCACAGGTTTCAAGACACGGATGGGACGCGTATGATCTTGCTCGATGATTCGCTGCGCCATATTCAGAATCGATGCTGTTGAGCGGAAGCTCTCTTGGAGGTTGATGACGCTGCAGCCGCCTGAACCTGATGGATCAGATTCCAGCTCGACGCTCATATCTTCCGCCTTGGCATCGTCGCTTGCCTTGCTTTTGCCCTCTCCATTTCCAGATGGATCCGCCATAGCAGTTTCTGCATCCTTGTTCTTCAGGCCAAAGTCTTTTCTCATCAGCTCAATGTTCCGCCGATCTGCGTCTCGCCAGGAGTAGATCGCCTGGTCTGTGTCACCCACTGTGGTGATTGCACGACACGATGCAGCGAAAAGCTTGACGAGTTCGTACTGACATTTGGACGTGTCTTGAAACTCGTCCACGCAGACTTTTAAGCGATTGACAATGGAAGAAGATCAGAAGAGCGGAAGCAGTCCTCAGCGGCCACGCAGAAGACATACCATGCTTCACGTTGGACAGAATGCTCGGGTCGGCTTGGAGCAACTCGATAGTTTTTGAGATCAAGTCATCAAAGTCTAATAAATTGAGCCGCCTTTTCTCAGCCTCATACTCCGCGTATACTCTGGCCTTGATCCGCTTGAGATCTTTCTGCTCTATGGCGCATTCAGCAGCGGCCATCGCCTCGGCAGGCGAAATGAACTTTGCCTTCCAGCTCGATATGTCTTGCTTGACCAACTTTGGTGGGGGCCGGTACGTGTAAGTTTCTGGCACGAAATCCTTCCGGATCTTAGTTTGAATCGCATCTTTGATCATCCTCATGGCGTCATCCTCGTCTATAATAGAGAATCGACTTGAGCCGAGTCCGGGTATCCGTTTTCCATTGGCACGTAGCAGTCTGACGCCGACGCTGTGGAACGTGCCGATGAACAGCGCATCGGTGCTTTCATCTCCAATCATCCGGCGCAGCCGCACGATCATCTCCTTCGCAGACTTGTTTGTGAAGGTGACGACGATGATGTCCTTAGGTCGGATACCCTGGACATTGACGAGCCATGCCACTCGGCACGTCAGGGTACGCGTCTTTCCTGAGCCGGGCCCAGCGAGGATTTGAAGTGAATCTGTGGCGGGATGTGTGACTGCCTCCCGCTGTGAGCGTGTCAGGCGCAAGATCCATTCAAGATTAGAGGCGCCCACAGCATCGCTTCCAGCATCCATGTCGGACGCAGCCATGATGGCAATGACGCGTACTCAATGTACTTGCTGGCGTGGTCCGCGTCGAGAAAAGATCCACAAGCGGCGCTCCGCATGCCTTGCCGTTGAATTAGAGGCTACGCGGGATGCAAGCTGATGCGCGTGGGCTCTGGACTCATAGATAACCCATGTTGTGAAGATTCGAAAGAGAGAGAATGGAACTATGAGCGAACAAGAGCAACGTGGAGAGGCGGAGAGCCTCACCAGTGCATGGCGCCACGCGATGGACAGATGGCTAGGATTTCAGCTTCGCCACTTTCCGACACGGAGCGCACGCAGACCCGCAAAATATGTCTTCGGCAGCTCCAAGAAGCAACTTCGAAGGTGCGATGGGCAAGAGTGAACAGTGAATAGTGCAGACGGAAGTGACCTCGGGAAGTGGTGACGCGATAGGACCAGTGTGAGTGCTTACGCTAAATTCACGACCCGTATGGCCATAATGGTGATTGGTGTCGCACATGTTAATTACGTACGCACAAAGGCTGAGAGAATAACACAACCAACACGGCACGCAGTCTCGTCTCGTTATCCCTTGCACCGGCTTTTGTATCAGCCCTTTTTCGTACCTGTTTCTGGCACAATCTCACTCTGCATTGTGCGTGCGTCCCACTTGACGCCGTCCGAGGGTTATCATCAGTGATCAATATGCACGAAGACGGGCGGGCGCAGTCGCGGCATAATGCCGGACACTCGCTGCCACCTTGCTTTCCCAAGCCCGTTTTGCACACGCCCTACTACTGCGAGGGTGCGCGGTTTCCGCCTTCCAAAACCATCGCCGCTCAGAGTCGATACTGAAGTTGCTCCATTTTTTCCCTTTTTGCATATCGGACCGGTGCAGAGAATGCATACCATCTCGCAAGCTCTCTGCTTTGCGGCTTGGAGGCGAAGCAAACTCCTGGCGCATCACTTTCGTCCCCACAAACATGGCCGTGGCGATCTCCAGCAATCCAGGTCTACGACCTGCAGAGTAGCAGCCTATGGACTCAGGGACAAGCGGAGCCGTTGTCTCACTGGGAAGTGTTCGTGGTAATCGTGACGAACGAAGCCAAGTCAGTGGCAATGTGGTATCAGACGGCGAGCAGGGTGAGCGTCGAGGAGGGATGGTGGGGTGAGTCCGCTGGCAAGATCTCGCCTTTCAATCACGGTAGCCGAGCTTACAAAAATACCTCCTCCCCATGTGTAGTCATATGGGATTAGTGGGTCTTATGAGACGAAGATGCATGTGCGCGATGCTGCTTGGATCATTCTGACTGGCGCTCATTTTCCAGTCACGTTTTTGTCGTAGTACGGCAAGTGCAAGAAGATTCGAAGCAAAGTAAAGCGTGGGTCTTCGACCCCGACTCCTGGCTTTGCCATAGCAGCAAGATAGCTGCTTTATCAACGGGTACAGAGAGCCAATCACAACCGATAGGGCTTGAAGACTACCTCTCGCTGTCATTTCAGCTCCCATCTGTTCCCGAACCAGCTTCCTCGCCTTCCTCCTCGTGCCGAAAAGGAACCTCGGACCACCAGCACCTGCAACCTGTCTTTAAGCTTGTGCCAGCACGTCATTTCCTCGACAACTTTGCGAGCGACCGGAGTCACATGCTGCGATCGCGGCCCCAAGCACCCCCCGTGCGGACGCTGGGCCCTGCAGAGACCCGTGTGAGCAATGTCGGCGACGAGGCAGAGGCTCCAGGCGGTCAGGAGGGGATGGCAGACAGCATAAAGAGCGAAGAGGTGGTTGAAGATATGCTGGCTCGGAGCGCTTCGTCAGAAGGAGATTACCTCGCCCCAGTACCTCCTTGGCCGCCGATCGCTGGACCAGCTGCTCTCGCACGGGCTGAAACGAACAATCTCTTCGACATATGGCTCCGACTTGAGCCGAATACCGAAGGAGAGAAGGTCGCGGAAGGCCGAGATGGCGAAGTTGTGATGAACAGAGGAAATAGGGAGGAAGGGAAGGCGGCACGTGTAATCAGAAGTAAGGTTGAACTCCTGCAAGTCATCTTCAAGGAATCTAAAACGTTAACGTGAACGAATAGCTCCTCGCTCAACAGGCGATACGTAATACTTTCATGCATAGCTCTCAGATTAATTCTTGGACGCTGGACAATGCAGTAGACAACCTGCGTCCTGCATGCACTTCGCGGCTTCTGTGTTCACCGTTCACGCATGGCCCCACAGCCCAAAGCAGGTGTGAGAGCAGAGAACTGAGAGGAGTCATGTCAACCTGTCAGATGAGGGTCAAAATAACCCTCCTGTGAAAGGTTTGGAAAAAAGCACTGTTGGCTCCGTATTTCATATATACTACAGTGTGTAGAGGGTCGGAAAACTGATACAAGTCTGAAAACAGATACTCTCAGACGACGGACAACCCCAGCAGACCAACAAGCAGCGATCTCGGCGTCATGCCTATACACACACACCGCCGAACGGTGTGCGAGTTGCGGGACCCCAGATGGCGGAGTGCCTCTGATTTTGTTCGAAGGAAGAAAGGAAGGGTCGCTTGAGAACGCCGATCGGGGATTCTTGATGAATAAATGTACATAAACAGGTGAAGGATGTTAGGCGGTGGAGCGGGAGGCGTATGTGAGAGCGTGTGAGCGCTGAAAGTGCCGTAGGCATGTGGCAAATATTAGTTCGTTGGCAATGAGCCTTGCATAATACGAACAAGTCGCCCAAGAAAGGTACGACGCACATCTCAGGTTGGAACTGCTTCGGGTGCTGCTGAACGCGGACGAGGGCGAGGCGCTGACGAGACCCGCGATGATCAATGATCGATGATCGGTGATACAGACGTATATAGGGTTACTGTTGGATCTGATGCCTATTTGTTTGCATGCGATGAGTCAGATCGGGATGAGCAGGGGGAGAGTTAAACAGTCTGATCATTTATCTCATTTGACGACTGACTGGACGAGACGCGATGAGGAGGACCCATGCTCCTGCAGCCCAGTGCCCGACCGGATTGCTCTCGGACATATCACCATTTGCCGGCTTTCTCTGACAGAGTGCATGGACGCTCGAAGGCTGGATGCGTCACAAATTAGCGGGTGTTGCCAAAATTTGGTCAACTTTTAACCCTTTGAATCCCTTCTATGACATGTTCGTTCTCCCCAGTCCACACGGCTCGCACAGGCATCCAACACTCTCCCACTGGCTGCGATCCTCCAATTCTCCAGCCTGCCCACGACTGACGGCGACTGAACGACCGCGAGCCGCCTCTGTAAATGCATGAATATATATATGTATGTATGTTATGTATGTATATATGTATGTGGTCGAGATTGCCGAGTGCGGTGAAATAAGGAGTTTACAGCAGCGGCTCGCGGCAGCACGCATGCGGTAGGAGTGTTGAGATTATGAGAGTGGCAAGAACAAGCAAGATTGCCATTAGATACATATTCGGATGCCGTCCTATCCATTGAATCCGCTAAGAAAGGTCGCAGTGCGTTCGGTCTTCGCCTGGTTGTCACATCCAATACATTTCTCCTTCACCCCAGACTATGCACTCGTACATACATACATACCCCGCATGCGGTTCTTACATGTGCTTGCACTTCCGATCGCTTCAGCTCTGGCTCGCCTCCCCGCTCGCAGCAGATCTCCGCTCGACATGCCCTGCTCGATGATGCACATGTTGGCGATGTATTGATGCGCACCCCGGGGTCTGTCGAGTTGATACAATGGTTACATATGCTGGTCGGCATCTCCCTCGTCGCCCCATCATGCACAGGCAGCGTTGCTCTGTGGATATAAATAGGGACAACCCCCCCCTCCCTTCCACCCACTGCTCGAAACGCACCTCATCCCCAACAGCACCTCTTCTGTGCAGCATCTCCACGTCTTCCTCTCCATCTAGTACCCAACTCCGGCTCGCCCCATCGAGATGCGTCTCTTCACCGCCCTCATCTCCTCCGCTGTGGCGGTCCTTTCCGCCTCGGCGGTCAGCCTGCCACAGGCCTCGTCCTCCGGAGTGAGCCTCGAGCAACGCCAAGACGGAGCGGCCGGCTACCTGGCAATCACCTTCTTGGGCAACCAGGAGCAGATCTTCGGCCACGTCGCTAAGGCCGGCTCAGAGTCGACGTTCACCGACTTGAACGGGGGAAAGCCCATCCTTGTTCCGACCCAGGGGACCAAGGGCGTCCGCGACCCGTACTTGGTCAGCGGCCCGAACAAGGACCGCTTCTGGATCATAGGCGTGAGTCTGTTTTGACACGAAAATGCATCATGCTCCTGCTCACCAGCCGGATGCTGTCTTTTGGTTACACAGACTGACCTCAACATCGGGGCCATCAACAACGACTGGAACCGCTCGCAGCGCAACGGCTCGCTTTCGATCCATGTCTGGGAGTCGACCGACCTGGTCAATTGGTCCTCCGACCGTCTGGTGCAAGTCATGCCGAATAGCTTCAACGCCGGCATGGTTTGGGCGCCTTCGGCCATGTGGGACGCAAGCGCAAACTCGTACGCTGTCTTTTGGGCGAGCAAAACGTACGCGTCCAGCGACACGCAGCGCACTGGCGCCAGTTCGAACACCAAGATCTACTACTCGCGAACCTCGGACTTCAGCTCTTTCTCCACGCCGCAGGTCTGGGTCGCGCCGAGCTACCCGGTGATCGACCAGGAGATCCTCCCGCTCGGTGGCAGCAAGTATGTGCGCTTCATCAAGAACGAGGAGGTCAACAAGGTCTATTCGGAACGCAGCGACAACGGCCTCTTTGGCACGTGGACGCGCATCGACCCGAACAACTTTGTCATCGACGCAGTCCGCGAGGGCCCCGCCACGTTCAAGGACATCAACAAGCCTTCGCGTACCTGGCTCTGGCTCGACAACTACAGCGGATCAGGCAGCTACGAGGCGTACTTCAACGACGACATCACAAAGAACTCCTGGACGCTCGCTCAACCCACGCTTAAGCCCACCGGCATGCGCCACGGCGCCGTCATCCAGGTGTCCCAGGCCCAGCTCAGCGCCCTGCACTCCAAGTGGGGGTGAATCTGTCATGCACATTCAACCAGGCCCAAGCGCCGAGCCGAAGGAAGCAGGACAGAACAGAGCCTCTAATATTCCCAATCGCGAGCACAAGCGATGCACAAGTAAATTATGTGTTGTACATCTACGGTTTTCTCGATGGACTCGTAAAATTACAATGCTGCGTGTCAGTACTCATGCAGCTTCATTCCCCATGACTATGCCCTGTTTGGTGCCCATGACTGTTGATTAGCCGAGATGCCGATTAGTCGAGTGGTTCGTGCACTATCTGCTTGGCCATTACTGTTCTCCGTAGTTGCGGAGCCACTCTGGAAGACTCTGAAGCTCAAATGCCCGTATGAATGGTGTGTTAGAGAGCAACGAATCGCATCAGCTCATGCCCACTTCGTCTCCGGATGCTTTAGGAAAGCCTCGTACGCATCGCGGTTGAAAAAGCTGGCTTCGGCTTCATTTTCTGCGAGGAGAGCCAGACGGACGGGTCAGTCTTGAGATGGTTGTGGAAAGCGCGATCAGAATCACGGTGCTCACCAAAGCCATAGGCCTCCAGCGTCTTGCTATTGTCGTCAAGGATCCATTCCGGGTGATCGAGGTTGATGATGAGGTTCGTCGTCTTGGACCCGTGCGCACGAGTGTACACTTTGATAGTGTCTGTTGTATCAAGTAGAGGGAAGGAATCCCATTATGCCGATGTTAGCCAGCCAAAATGTACTTTGCGGAGAGAATTCTACGAGGAAGAGCCGTACCTAGCGAATTGACTGAGGACCTAAAGGCTTTGAACGCTGGCGTGGCCGTGATCTCTGCAATAAAGCCCAGAAGCACGCATTCATTTACCACCGGCCGAAAAGTTTTGCGGAGATAGGGCTGAAAAAGAGGCTCACCCTGTCGGCATCGCTGCTTCAATTCTCCCACCGTCATTGTGGTCAGGTCGACTGCTTTGAGTACTAGCGCTTTCATGGTCCTATACTCGAAGCTCTTGATCACCCTGATGGTGATGACTGCGTCCGTCTTGGGTCTTTGCAAGTTGGTCACCGGCGTCGAGTCATCACCATAAGCGGGATTGAATGCATGGAAGCCACCTGGCAGCAGATGCGCCGGTGTCTCTCCTTCTCCCTGCGCTTGTGACCCTGCCTCTGTCGAGGCCGGATCCTTGTCTTCCACAACAGGAACGGGAGGGCACGCGAATGCAGCTGTTGCCGCACTGACCTCCCTTTCACTTTCGTTCGCTTCCATCGTTTAACGTCTCTTCCGATGACTGGACTACTTGAGCGGATCGACTCTTCTACCTCTGCGTCCACAGGGCCCACTCAAGCCAAGACCTGCTTGAACACTTGTACTGGCGAAGAAACAGGTCATGGAAAAGTGAGTAACAAACCCTGAAGAGGGGTTTTGCTTGAGTCTTTTTTTTGAAGAGCCAATCAGCCGGCGAAAAGTTTGAGACGTCGGTTCAATTTCTCTGTTATATATATTATCCCTATTGAACTCAGCCTGTCACGCGCAATCTTACGTCGTCTTCCTACGTGACCATCTTGTCATTCATCGCGCTCGTGACGGAAGCAAGGAGCACAGCTCCCATTTGTCTCTGAACCGAATCGAAGGGAAGTGCCGTACTGAAAAGCAAATCATCATGGCGTCGGATCCCACCAATATCTTTGACGCTCAATTCAGCGTCTCGAAGATTGACCCAGATGGAAAGAAGTTTGATCGAGGTATGTGGTCTGCCATTTGTACCTCCGAAGGCGCACTTCTCTTAGGTATAGAGATTCTGGACTGATCGTCTCCTTGTTTCTTTGTTCTACATTTATTCGACGCTTTGCTGCGGATAATCCCGTGCACTGACGAAACTTGCATCGACTCTTTCAAGTCTCCCGCATCGAAGCTTACTCGCAAGCGTCCGACATTAAGCTCTCAATCGACATTGCGACCGACATTTACTCCATGGTAAATCGGCCAAATTTCACATTGCAGCTCGCAACGCAATTACAACGCGGCACAGGAAACGAAGACGTGGATCAGCAAGGGGATGGAGGGGCTGGTGCGGCACAAGGACGGCCGGAAGCCTGGCGGATAGATGTGCCTGGAAATGAAGGGATCAGTGCCGACTTTGACTATGTTATGTACGGAAAGGTGCGTCTTCCCCTTTCCTTGTCTTCCTCTCTTTACGTACACGAGAGCGAGGACAAAGCTGACAAACGCAGCTACATCCGCCTGCCTGCAGATCTACAAGTTTGATGAGGGGCATTCTGACACAGTCACTGTGTACGGCTCTTTTGGCGGCCTGCTTATGGCATTGACAGGATCCTACAGGCATCTCAGCGGTATCACGATCGGAACATATGTCTACCTGTTGATCCGATAGTTGGCTTATGTATTTCAAACCGGTCTCATTCAGTCGCTTGTCGTGGAAGGACTCTTGTGCAGAGCATCGTTCTGCCTCACGACCCTCGCCCTTTATCCCGCTGACATGGCATGAACAGTAAGAAAGGACAATGTGCAAATGACGTCTGTCCAGCAGACGACAAGAGTTGATTCTGATCGGACATATTGATAGTACATCGGAAATTTAACTGGTCACTGTTCTGTTCAATTGAAACTCTTGCTAACGGGTTGGCTAAGAACTGCTCATTCAGATCCAAGGAACAAGAATGTCAAAAGTGGGAGCTTTGTAAAAGGGCTCCTTCGTCGGGGCGCAAATGCCATAGGTGGTGCAGGCCATCCTTGGCATTCGCCATGGATGACACGAAGAAAGCGAAAAAATGGTTGGACCTACTCAGCAAATGCTGGCATGATGGACGTGGCGAGAGCGCTGTGGAATGCCAGTTAGCGTGGGCGGAGGCATGGTGGAGACCGGGCGTGGCACATGCGAGGCCGAAGAAGGCGTGGCGTTGGCAGGAGGGTGAGGGTTGACCAGAATGCCATGCACGTGCGGACGCGGGATGCCACTTGACCTAGTGCTCGAATACGACATAGCTGGAAGTTTTGGCGCAGTCTTCATTTCGCGATCGGGTATGTTGGCGTTCGACTCTTCCTCCATCATCGTGGGCGGGACCCGGCGCTGACTGCCCGGTTGTGAGCGGCTGCCGCTTGGCACGCGCCTAGATGGCGTGGCGCTAACTGCGCACGTGCCGTTCTTGGCCGGCGTCTGCGGTGCCGAGGCGCTCTTGCCACGTGCTGCCGCGCCATTGGCATGGTTCTTGATCAGCGCCAGCGCAATGTGAGCCCACATCGGCGCAGCTGGCGTGTGTGACTTGATCGTCCCATCCACAGCCTCCAACCAGCGCCCTTTCTCCTCATCGGTGTCTGCAAAGAAGCTGATCTTCTCGCCGTCGTGGAAAGTGATGCGGAAGGATCGCTCGACGTTATAAAGCGCACCGTATTCTTCCTCATCAGCGGAATGATTGCGCGCGTGAGCCTGCGTGGCACTCGCGCCAGAGCGCTGCGACGAGCCAGGAGTGACAGCCGGCGTGTGCGGATCCTGCATGTCCTCCAGCGAGACGGCCTTGCTCAGGTCAATCTTGACCGTCGGCTTCTTGGTGATTTCATTGTAGCAGATCAGCGCAGTCCCTTGAAGCTTGATAGGCCTTCTTCGCCAAGTCTACAGACCCAAAAGTAAAGTGCATATCGTCAGTCAGTTTTCAGGGCACACAAAAGTTCAATCACAAGCCACTCACTGTGCAGTCACCGCCCATCTGCGTCAGGACGCCTTCCAGCTTGACATCGTCGCTGCGGGTCTGTGCGGCGTGAATTCCTCTGATGCACTCGCTGAGATTCTCTGGGAAAGCATTGCGCGGAACCGACGGCATGGGCGGCAAGTAGAACATCTTGAGGCGTAGCATTCCCCTTGGGCGGACAATGTTGCGCGTAAAGTCCGTGCGCCTCGCAGTATGCGAAGAGTGTGCGCTTGACAGCGAAGGTGCTGGATCGGAGACGCCAATCACGGGGAGATCAAAGACTGCACACTTGCCGAGGCATTGCGAAGCAACCTTTTCGAAGATAATCGAGGCATAGCCAAGAGCGCCCTCGCGGTTCATAAATGCTAGCAGTGGCTCGGGACGGCCAGGCGGTGCCATGTCGTCGTATGCATCCCTGCGAGAGCCCTTTCTGGGGCTGGAGAAGAATCTGCTCATGAACTTGTCCTTCTTTGGGCTCTGCGGACTGCCCTGCACCGATGGATCCTGCAAATGCGCATCGCGCTGAACGACAAGCGTCAAGCTGAATTCCAGATTTTTGTGTTGGATTAGCTCGAACTCTTGCGCGATCCTGCTTGGCTCGCCGTTGGGACGCAAGGTCGCAGAGCCGGTCTTGACCATGTGCAGGCCGTTGTCCAGAATGCAGTAGAATTTGGTGGGCCGAGATGGCACTGGCAAGTTGTCCGGAATGAAGGAGTCGACCATGACAAATACCTTACCCGCTGCCTTCTTCGGGTTCTCATGGTCTCGGAACTCGCGAATCTCCTTGGCGTACTCGTGCTGTAAAAGCATGGGGCACAGGTCAGCATGGCTTAGAACACGATTCGACAAGCGAGGTGCTTCTCACCATGTCACTAGGCCTGCGAAGTTTGCGCCAGGCTCTTCCGCTGTCGACATCACCGGCCTGGCCGTGATGCGAGATCTTGTCGTCAACACCCTGGAAGACGCCACGGTCGTTGACCCGGTACTTTTTCTGCCATAGATGTCGAATGTCAGCCTGAATGCTCTTCGCGTAGAGCGCGGCCGATACGCAGTGCACTCACATCTCCTTCCTTGTAGATCCTGCTGATTTCGCGCTCGATACCGTTTCCGAAACCTACATCAAGCGCCGCTTTGAATGTGTGCTCCACCCTGTGCTGTGCGCTCTCGATGACCTGTCCCATGTGCCTTTCAGCCTCCTCGCCATAATTCTGCGCGCCAGAACCTTCTGCTGGAACGCGACTGGGACTTGGACTCGGGCTGAGACTCGCACTGTCGCGATGGAAAGCATGCGCATCGCCCGTCGAGCGACTGCGCCTGCGCATAGGAGGCTTGCCATTCTTGCTGCGCCTTCTCGCGATGATCTGGTCCGCCTGCTGCGCCGGCGTGACGCGCGGCGGCGGCGGACCAAGAAGCGAGGGCGAGACGCGGCCGGACAAATCACCCGCGCCTACTGCGCTTGTTGCTGCGCGGCTCGTCGTGAGCAGCTCGCCGACGCGCTCAAGTGGACTGACGCGCTGCGTCTCCGTCGGCAGGCTGTCGCGCCTGACAGACTCTGGAGGCGGGACGGGTGACGTATGGACGACAGCGTCCGAGTTACGTCGCAGCGACTGTTGCTGCTTTTGCTGCGAGTGCGAAAATGCAGATGCAGCGTCCGAGTACATGTCCGCAGCGCTGGGTTCGCGATGCATCTGCCCTGTTGCTGCTGCCTCCTCCTCCTCCACGTCACCAGCGGGAGTAAAGATGTCCGCTACACGCGCACGCACCGGCGTGCCTCTCGAAGGCGTGTTCGCGCCGCTGACGACGGCGACGACGGGATCGGACGTCTTGCGCGCTTGCGGACTGGCAACTGCTGGGCGAGGAGACATGGAACCCTCGGTCGCACTGGAACGAATAGCCATCGGCGCCGTACTCATCTCGTCGTTGACACCGGTGTGCATGTGCGCATCGGGGTCAGGTGACTGCTGCTGCTGTTGCTGTTGCTGTTGCTGCTTCTGCGACGCAACGCGCTCGAGCACCGTGTTGCGCGAGATGCGCGGCCGGCCCGTCGGCGTCGGCGTGTTGGACGCTGAGTGCTTGCGCGTCGGCGTCATACCTGGGCCAGTGGCAGCGGCTGGAGGCGGCGTTGGGAGTGGGCGATAGCCGTGCTGCTGCTGCTGCTGGTTCTCCGCGCGTGCGTTCTTGGCCTGCTTCTTGCCGGGCGAGAGGTCAAAGAGCAAGTCTTCATTCAACAGCTCGTCGACCATCGAATCGACGCGGTGCAGGCCATGCAAGTCCATCTCCGCTCTCGTCGCCGCTGCTGAAGAAGGAAGGCGCATCTGCTCGAGAAACTCAAAAGAGCTCTCGAGCGGCACGATAAAGTCGACATTGCCGCGCGCCTCTGCGCCCCCCTTGGGGTTCTTGTTGTGCACGCCAGCAGCCCCGAGGACGAGGACGATGTCGGTGTCGCTGCAGGAGGACGGCATTGTCACCGGCGTGTCGGTGCCGGCATCGTGCTCGTTCTCATCGCCAACGGTCTCGTTATCCGAGGCGTTGGTGCTTGGCGCGCTGAAGTCGCGCGAAGAACTGTCCCCGGATTCCTCCGAGCAGGACGTGTCGTCCGACGAGGATGACTCGAGCTCCGGTGAGCCGTTGACGATGTGTAGCCGTCCGCTGGCGCCGTGGATCTGCTGGACTCGGGCTTGCGGCTGGGCTTGCGCGTGAGATTGGGACTGCACGGAGGATGACGCCGTCGAGACGCCGGAGGCACGACGGTGCGGATATGCCTGGACGTCCGCGTCGCTCTCGACGTCGCTGGCGCTCACGAGGCTGTCCGCACTGGCGCTCTCTCCGTGGCGCGCAACCATCGCCATCTGCTGCTGCTGCACGTCGAGCTCAGAACCTTCGAACGCGCGCTCGTCGAACGACGTCAACGAAGAGGGAGAGGAGGAGGCGCAAGAGCCAACGTCGGACCCGAGCGAGCTTTCCTTCTCGAACTCCTGCACGTCGAGCAGCTCGTCGAAGGTAACCGTCTTTCTGCGCTCGCGGTCGCTGCTGCCGATGCCACCGCCAGGCGACGAGAAGACTGAGCTGCACGCCTCGCGCGGGCCGTGCAGCCGGTTCGAGACGAGCAGGCCGCGGCCGCGGGTGCTGCTGCGGCCCGGCGAACTCGCCGTCGTCGTTGGGGATGAGGGTGAAGTGATGGTGGTGGCGGCACCACTGGAGCGCGTCGGTGTCACAAGCAGTGCGTCTTTCGTCGGCGAGGTGTGCGCCTGCGCGTGGTAGGTCCGGCGGCGCGGTGTACTCGTCGGCGTTGTCTGCTGCTGCTGTTGGGGAGCGCCGTTCTCGGGCGTCGAGGGGCGCGCGTTGGCGGCAGCGGCGATGGCTGCGGCACCGGAGCGTGCCTGGTGCACATGCGGCTGCGGGTGCTTGTCGAGCTTTGTCGGCGACGCCAAGCTGGCCGTCATTGCCCATGCGTTCCTGGGCATCGGCACGGGTGGGGGCTCGTCGGCGTCTGTGTCTGCTGCTGCTGCCGCCGCCGTGCTGACGGACGCCTTGAAGGGCGAGTTGGAGACGTACGACGCGCTTGCGAGCGCCTTGAACCCCTGGCTCTTGCGCGGGGGAAGGTATGCGGCGCCGGTACTGGTGCTCGTACCGGCGCTATCATCGCTGCTGCTGCCGCCGCTGCTACTGCTGCTGCTCCCTGCTGCTGCTGCTGCTGCTGCTGACGTGTCGAGCACGGGGAGCGACTTGTGTCGCTGCTTGTCGGAGAGCTTGCGCGGGGTGAAGCCGCTGTTGGCGCGCGGGATGCGTCCAACGGTGTTGTTGCTGCTGCTGGTGCTGTTGCTGCTGCTGCCGCCGATCCCGAGTCCGAGCCCGACGCGGGTGCGGTTGGGGCTCGTTGTTGCCTGCTGTTGCTGCTGCTGCTTGAAGGGCGAGTTGCTGACAAGACTGTGGCTCTTGAGCCCACGGATGGCGGCGCCGCGCTGCTGCTCGATCTCGTGTGCGCGGAGGAGCGACGGCGGCGGGGGCGGCGCCGTGCTGCCGGCCATGAAGAGCGTTTGCGGCGAGGCGGCCGACGCCGATGTGGGCGACGACGAGGTGGCGGTCGATGCGGGCGACAAGGCGCCCGGGTAGTGGTGGGCAACCCTGTTGGAAACGCGCAGAGGCGACCAGCCGGAGGTGCTTGCGCCGCGGATGGACGAGGTAGTCGGCTCGGGCGAAGGAGGCGGCATCAGTGCCGCCTCTGCCCGGGTCTCGCGATCGCCCGCTTCTCGGTCGGACATGGCTGCCAGGGGACGGAGGGCGGGAAAAGTGGATGAGCGGTGGCCAGCGAAGCTGGTGCGAGCAGATGCAGCGCTGCTGTCCACTTGTGGCTACTACACGCTTTGCAGGCTGTGAGAGGAGGATGAGGTGTAAGCAAGTGCGCTATGGCCGGGGCGGGAGGGAGGGACGGCAAGATGTCGGATGCTCACCAGGGAGGGATTGACTGATCTGTAGAGAGTGCGTGCGCGCGGTGGAAGAAGGAAGCGGAGCCTGTCTGCTTGCCTGCTTGTCTGCCTGTCTGCGTGACTGCCTGATATGGATATATATGTGGGCTATGGAGGGATGGAATATGGAGGTGAAGATGGCGACGTTGGAGGGAGGGAGGAGAGTGTTGGAAAGAAAGAAAGAAAGAAAGAAAGAAAGACGCCACGAGCGCTCGTTGTTATCCCCTTCCTCTCCCTCGCTCTGTAGATCCGTGCTTCAACAACAGACGCACGCGTGCGTGCTCGCGCCCACGCGTCGGATCACGTGACTGTGCAGATCACGTGATGTGTCGCAAGGCCCGTCTGGCAGACACACGACCCAACCACACCAGCAGGCAATCTACACAGACGGCCATGTACCAACCAAGACACACACGCACACACGCGAACGACGACAGGACGGCGGTGCGGTGAGCTGCCGTGTGTGCAGACTATAGAAGAGGCTGCGGCGCATGTGAACTGGCTAGTAGCCCGAGGCGGAGAGAGAGAGACGAAGAACAGCCAAAAGACCCAGCCGCGCTGCCGCCTTGGACAGTTGGAGCAGAGACGCGTCCGCTCGCTCGGGCAAACGGCATTGTCAGAGACTACATACGTATATATATACGCGTCAGCAAGAGTGTACAGCCCGGCGCCAGCAGAGATGAATGGCGGTCAGAGCGCTGCGCAGACCGCGCGCAAAACAGCTCGCCGCCGCCGCAGCAGCAGTAGTAGTAGTAGTAGTAGCGGCAGCGGCGACCAGCAGCAGTGGGTCGACCATGATGGCCTGCCCACTTGGGGGCGAGGTGAGTCACTTTTGATTCATTCACTCATGCATGTACCTGCAGCGCGCTTCTAGCCTGGCCCCGATAGTGGGACAGCTAGCGGGCTGTCCCTTGCTCGCATACACACCTCTCACATCCACCTCCCCTTTGTCTTCCTGCCAGTGCTCATCGCAGGCGGAACCGACTGGCCCATGCTTGGGCGCAAGCAGCCAACCAAGGCTCCCTCTGCAGCCGGCCCGCCCCCATCCTCCTCCTCCTCCGTGAACAGCAGCAACCCGCTGCAGATCCCCACCGCCGACTTACCCACGCCGCACATTCTTCGCGCGCTCTCCAACGTGCGCATCGCCAAGATACGCTCCTCGCATGCCAGCTGCCACGCCGTCTTCCTCTCCACCAAGGGCCACGCCTACGTCCTCGGTCGCAACGAGCACGGCCAGCTCGGCCTGCCCGTCGCACCTGCTTCCCACGCAGCAGATAGCAGCAGCAGCAGCAAAGCGCATGCAGCCGCGCAGTGTGGCCCCGCCGTCTTTGCGCCAGTGCGCCTCTCGCGCACGCGCCACTTCCGCCCACCCCTCCCGACTGGACCGCGCGGCGCCATCATCGATGCCGCCTGCGGACGCCACCACACGCTGCTCGTTACGCGCGCCGGCCACGTCTATGCGGCCGGCAGCTGCGCCTCGGGCCAGACCACCTTCCTGCCCGACCGCCGGCACGGAGCAAGCACCGGGAGCAGTGGGAGCATTCTTGACGTCTTCACGCTCATCGACGACGCACCATGGATGCGCCCGCGCGACCCTGTCGTGCAGGTCGCTGCCGGCGCCACATTTTCGCTCGCGCTGACCGCCGCCGGGTGTGTCTACGCGTTCGGCAGCGCCGAAAAGGGCCAGCTCGGCAACGGCCGCACCGGCGAGCACATTGCCACCGGCAACCGCACCGCCTACGCCCTGCACGCCCGCCCGCTCCTCGTCAGTGCCGGCGGCCTCGCCGAGCACAGGGTTACTCAGATCAGCGCTGGCCTGCAGCACGCTGTTGCGCTCACCGAGGAGGGCTACCCGTTCGTCTGGGGCTTTGGTGGCTACGGCCGCCTCGGACTCGGCACCCAGCACGACCAGCTCGTCCCTACGCTTGTTCACCAGTTTGCCAAGTGAGAGCTGCAGAATCGCCCTTGATCGTTTCCCCGAGTCAGACCTCCGAGAGGTAGCATGCCCATGCGCTGACCATTCCATCGCTCGCAGGGACCTCGTCAAGCTCAGGGCCGCGCATGTCATCGCCGGCCCCACGTGCACCGCCATCATCGACGGCCAGCGCACCTTCTACCTCGCCGGCAAGTGGAAGACCTCTGGCGACGGCGGGCTCGGCCAGGGGTTCATGACGTACAAGTGTGAGTGCTGCCGCCCTGTGCGCGCGCACCCGGGGAGATGCTCCGCCTACTCAGTTGCTGACAATGCGCACGCCGCCCGGCGCCGGCGCAGATCTACCGGACATGATGGGCGTCAAGGTGCAGCGCGCCTCGCTCGGCGGCGTCACGCTCTTCGCCATCTCCGACGAGGATCCCAAACTGCAAGGCGCGCACAAGGCGACGATGAACGTCTGCTGGGGGCAGAACGCCTCCAGCGGTGAGCTTGGCCTCGGCGCCGACAAGCCGCGTAGCGCGACCAAGCCGGTGCGCTGCGAGCCGCTCGACGGCATCGCACTGCTCGACGTCGCTGCTGCGCAGAACACCACCTTCTTCCTCGCGCGCAACCAGGGTGACGCATATGCGAACCTCCCGCGCTTCCCCGAACAAGTCGATACCGTCGTGCAAGATTGCATGGTCTGCGGTCGTAATGACGAGGACGCCCAGGCGCAGCGCGGCGACCTGCTCGAGTGCGAAAAGTGCGATGGACCTTACCACCTCCAGTGCCTCCACCCGCCGCTCGACGGCGTCCCAGACGGCGAGTGGCACTGCCCCGTCTGCGTCGAGGAGGGCGAGCGCGCCGGCGAAGAGTCGCAGAGCGACGCTGATGCCGACGCCGATGCTGATGGCAGCGAGCAGGGGCAGGAGCACGCTGGTGCGAGCCGCGCGCAGCAGCAGCAACTCGCTGCTTCCGGGAATAGTTCCAGGACCGGCAAGGGCACCAAGCGCAAAGGCTCACAAGACGGCATCGACAAGGCAAAAACGTCCGGCAAGAAGAAGCGAACCTGAGCGGCATGGTCGCCTGCTTCCGTTTTCGTTCTTGCGCGTGTAAGCGAAAAAATACTACGAGAAAAAAATGGATGCATGCGATCCGATGCTTTTGAAGGTTTATGGAGTTTCACTTTTGGCTTCTTTCGTTCGCGAAGAGCGCGAGACACTCTGTGCGCGACCATATTAACATCTACAGATGCTTCGTCTGTGACCACGCACCCACGCTCATTGAAGCTCGATGACAAAGTCCTCCGTGATGAGTGCCCCGGGATCTTTAATGACCAGCTCGCTCGCCTTGCTTTCGCTGTCGCCCAGCAGCGACGAGAGCTTCTTACCGCTACTTGCTGTCGCGCCCCGCGACCACTTCCACTGAATCGACCTCTGTGCAGCGTCGCCGTCGCCGTTGCTGCCGCCGCCTCGCACGAGCCGGATCGACCGCGGCTCCTTCTCGAGGCCGAGCACGACGATGCGCTCCACGCGCACGTCTTTGATCGCCTGCGCAAACGCGTTTGCCGCGTGCGGCGCCGACGACGCCCCACGCCGCACAGATTCGTCCGTCGCAGCGAGCACGTGCGTCCCCTGAGCCGCGTCGGTGCGCCAACTGAAGCGGCGCCAGATGAACGACCCGCGCTCGTGTTCATACGTCTGGCCGTCATCAAGGTACAATACGCCGGTAGCACGCTCGTTCTGGCTCTGGGCCTTACCTTGTGCGCTGCTCGCCGGCTTGCCGAGCGCGACGATGAGCGTGATGGGGTCTTTCGAGCCCAGCTCTGCAGATCGCCGCTCGCGCTCGCGAATCGGCAAGATGGAGCCTCCTTGGTGCAGGAGCGGGGCGGTGCCGTCCAGCGGCGCTGGGACGGTGATGTACTTGCCGCCGGCGCCAGGGTAGTAGACGCCGTGCGAGAAGTAGTGGTAGTACGGCTGGTCATCTGCAATGTAGATCTGCACGTTCTCCTGCTTCTCCTCGACGGGCGGCTTGACGAGCAGGCCGCTGTCACCAATGTAGTACTGGTCGTCCACGTCGAAGCCTTTCGTGTCGCCAGGGAAGACGAGGTACTGTGGGCGAATGACCGGCAGGCCGCTCGCGGCGCTCTCCTTGAACGCCGTGTACCACACCGGGAGATGCTTGTAGCGCAGCTTGATGAGATCTCGTACGTGCGAGCGCAGCGGCTCGTCGAGCAAGTACGGTTCTCGGCGCTTCGTGTCGATGTGTGCATGTGCGCGGAAGAAGGGCATGAAGATACCCGACTGGTACCAGCGCACGAGCATCTCGGGCGAAGGGTTGCCAAAGAACCCGCCCACGTCGGACCCGACGAAGGACATGCCGCCGAGGCTGACGGACAACATCATCGGCACACTGATGGCAAGGTGCTCCCAGTCGCCCAGGTTGTCGCCGGTCCACACGGCGCCGAAGCGCTGACTGCCAGCCCAGAAGCTGCGCGAAAGCACAAATGGACGCCGCCGTTCGCCGCCAGTAGCAAGCTCGCGCTCGACCAATGCCTGCGCAGTGTTGTTGTGGAAGAGCACGCCGTTGATGTTGTGCAAATCGCGATTCTCCCAGCCGCCGTAGTGCACGACATCCTTGGGGCACGTGATCTCCGGGCCATTGAACACGCTCGGCTCGTTCATGTCGTTCCAAATGTGCAGGTTGCGCGCATTGGCTTGGATGCCGCCTGCACCGCCGGCTGGCAGCTTATACACATCCTTGTACCACTGCCAACTGGACGGGTGGAACATGTCCAGCCACGAAGCGCTGCCTGACCAGCACCAGCCCTCGTACTCGCCGGTGCCTCCGCCCTCGCCTCCACGCGTAGCTGGTGCAGCAACGGGCCCGTTTTGTACCAGGACGCTGTGGTCTTGCGCTTCTGCGTAGAGGAAATAGTCTCTCGTGCGCTTCAAGTGCGGGTCGATGATGATGACGAGCTGCGACGCAGGAAGCAAACGGTTGCCAACAGTCAGCGTCCAGTTCCTCCAGCGCAAACAGCGCTCGCAAAACAATTATGCGGGACTCACCTTTCTTCCGACGGCATCAAGCCCTTCAAGCATCTTTTCTGGCGTCGGGAACGTTGCCAGATTCCAAACGCCGTACATGTGATCCTTGCTGTACTCGATGTCGAGCCACATGACGTCCATCGGGATGTCCTCCTTGTCGAAGCGCTCGTTGACCTGGAGGACGTCAGCGGTGGAGAGGTAGTTCCAGCGGCACTGGTGGTAGCCGAGCGCAAAGAGCTGCGGTAAGGCGGTGCGGCCCGTGTGCGCGGTGAAGAGCGCCAGGTTTGTCGAGGGCGCAGGCTCGAGGTACACAAGGAGGTCGAGCACGCCGGATTCGGACATCCAGTGTGTCTGCGTGTCGCTGCTACCGGCCTTGCCGGCACCTTTTGATCCATGCGCGAAGGCGGAGGGTACATCACGCTGAATGTCGATCCATGTCTCGGCGGCATTGAGCCAGAAGACGCTGACTGCCTCGTCCTTCTTTTGCGCATGCATGACGGGGATCGCGCCATACAGGCTCATCGGGCTGTCGTGCTCGTACTCGAAGACGTCCAGGTTGAACAGCCGATACGGGTCCTTGTAATCCTCCTCGGCCTTTCCGTGCGTCGAGCGCAGCGCAAGAGGAGAGGCATGCTCGGGGATGCCGTAGACATTGGAGTAGCCAATAAAGGAAATGTCCAGCGAGATCGCTTCGGGTCCTTTTGGCTTCGTGTCCAGTCGACCGGAGAAGGTCTCCTCCCATTCACCCTCGTCTTCGACCTCGAAGCCCTTCCACTTTTCCGCATCACTTGCAGCGTATCCGCGCGAAAGGAGCACATCGCGCTTGCTGTTCTGGATAACGAGCTTGACATCCTCGCCGTCGCTTTCTCCTTGCTCGCCTTTTTCATCATCGTTCGAGGAAGGTGGTTGAATGCTGGGGAGGGAATCGGGCTTGGGGCGGAAGTGCTCCATGTGCAGCAGTGCGCGGTCGTTGAGCACGATCTGCGGCGCGCCGTCGCGCAGGAACGTGACTTTGAACGGCGCGTGCTGCACCTCGGCCATGAACGTAGGCGGCTCCTGCCTGTCGCTTGCGTTAGCGATCCCGTGCCACTGCAACGCCGTGACGCCAGGACGAGGCTGCGATATCTGTACCGTGCCTAAAGCGGCCGGCTCAGGTGCATTCTCAAAGGTCCAGAGCGGCGCCTCGTCGTACCGCTTCCAGCCGTTGTGCGTCTCGATGCCAGGTGCGTCGTCCACGCGCACACGCGCCGTGCCATCCGCGTGCACACGTAGCTGCAGCTCGAACACCGCTTCGTCCGGGTACAGGGCGCTGAATATACGTGCTTTGAGCGTGGAGGAAGTCATGTTGAACGACATATGCTCTGGCAATAGCGGCAACGCCGTCGACAGCGAGTAGGGCGAAGGGAAGTCGCGGCCGTTGCCCTGTTTCTCGGACGAGAAGGAGGCAACGTAGCTCGACAGCCGTCGAAGTCGTCGGCAGAAGGAGGACTGGGAGCATGTCTTGAATTCATGGTGCCGCACTGCCGCCGTTGGGGTCGGGACCAGGGCGAGAGCGGTGAGGAGAAACACAGTGAGTAGCGTCAATGTCGTGGTCCCGGTTATGGCCCTGCCCTTGGCGAGAGAGCGCCTGGTGCCTCTAAAAAGGGCCATGGTTGTCTTTCCCTGCAGGAAGCAAGCTATTTACACCCAGTCCAAGGAGAGCCAGCAAGTGTTCGGGCCGACCAGTCGGATTGAGTCGAGCCTTGGGTCGTTCCAAGGTATGTAGCGGGAGGTGCTAACTACCCACCACGCCGCGCCCAGAGGGTGGTAACGACCATGCGTCGTCCTGCGACAGAGATGGCAGATTTACCAATGATGGAAGGCGGCGTCGGCTAGAGACTCCCCGTTCACAGCGCTGTCTCTCTTTGCGGCCTTGTCGAGGTATGACAAGATGAAGGAAAGGAGGTCGGCCGTAGACTCTTTTAAGGTCGGCTGCCGGAGAAGGGGGGGTTGATACGCGACCTTGTCGCGGGGTGGAGGCTAAGCACAACCCTACTTGGCTGGCGCTAAGTAGTGTGTAGATGCTAGCTGAACACGACATCGCCTCCGGGTTCTCCGCCAGGTCTCCGTGGCTGTGGAACAATGGTGCTTGTGAGGAAGCTGTATAGCATGGATGGCCTTTGATCAGCCTACACAGACAGCAGCTAGCGCGGACGCTGGAGTATGCTCGCTGTCATAGCGTATGGCAGCGCATTATTGCCACTATATTGACGATGCCATCCTTTACTGCTTCGTCTGCGCCCTCTCGGTCATCGTCGACGTCACCCTCGACATGGCCGCCCTTGCGCCTCCCTTTAACCGACCTGCTGGCAGGCAGCGCTGCGGGTGCAGCGCAGGTGATCGTCGGACAGCCGCTCGACACGGTGCGTGTGCGTATGCAAACTGCTCCACGCGGTGCATTCAAAGGCACCTGGGACGTGTTGGTCCAGACAATACGGTTCGAAGGCGTCAGAGGGTTGTTTAAAGGTCCGTCCAGCGCCATGTATGTACGCCTGTGGTTGTATTAACCAATGTTCAATTTGTCGCATCATCTTCCCACAGGCATGGCATCTCCGTTGCTAGGGATATCCGCGCAGAACAGCCTGCTTTTTACAGCCTTTGCGCTTTCGAAGCGTCTCATCTCACCGTCCAGCACGCAGCTCAGCGTCGCACAGACGGCTGCAGCGGGGTCCATCGCAGGAGGCGCCAACGCCATCCTCGCCAGCCCCGTCGAACTATTCAAGATACGCCTGCAGACACAGTATACGCACAGCGCTGCAAATGCAGAAGGCACGGCCGCGACGCAGAAACTGAGCGTCATCGCGAGAGACCGTGGGTATTCCGTCTGAGCTCCATCTGAGCACGTCCGAATGCTGAATGATTGCAATGACGCCTTTTCGCACAGTATGGAACCAACACGGGCTCGCATGTGGGGTGATGCGTGGCTTCCAGATTACCTTCTTTCGCGAGATCGTGCGTCTCACTCCCCTCCTCGACCCGTCTGTAGACACCACCATAGCTGACGTTTCGCCTCCCCCCGTCGCGCCGCACCGTGCAGCTCGCCTATGCGGGCTTCTACGGCGCCTTCGCAGCGTCCAAGCTTTTCTGGCAGCGTCAGCTACTCGAGCGCGAACCTGCTGGGTACGCACCATCAGCCTCATATTCGCAAACGCAGCAAACGCTCCCCATCTGGGCGCTCATGGCGAGTGGCAGCATGGGCGGGATAGCAAACTGGCTCGCATGTTATCCGCTCGGTACGTGTCCGCTGCTACCCTCCTTTTGGGGGTCACATGCTCATTTTGCAGATGCGTCTGAAATGCTCACACAACCGCCTGTTTCCATTTCCCTTTTGTGCCATCACGCTTTGCGCGCCAGACGTCATCAAGTCGCGTGTGCAGCAATCCACCGCACCGTTGCCGCGCGCATACATCCTGCACTACTTTCGCACCATTGCGCGAGACGAGGGGCCGTCTGCTTTCGGCCGGGGCTTGATGCCGACTCGTGAGGGGTGGTGATCACGCCGGATGGCTTGCCTATTGTTCATCCCCTTAACTGACGCCTTGCATTGTGCTGCTACTGTCGATCTATTTCAGTGCTCAGAGCGTGAGTGCTTCTGCCGTGTTGCATCCACTTCCAGGCTGTGCTCCATTCTGACCTTCTTTCCTGCACCATGTTTCAGCATTCCCGCTGCTGCTGCAACTTGTACGTACCTGTGTCGCGCAATCTGCTTGCTCTCATGCCTTAACTGACGCGCTGACCCTCATCGGCCGGCACCCGCTAACGCTTCCGCAGTCACAACGTACGAGCTTGTCAAAGGCATGCTCGAATCATAGTGCAGGCTCTGTAGCCAATATCATCGGCATTTCATCATCGACATCATCATAGAGAGTGGGCAGATCCGCCTGCATCACATCGCATTGCAAATGAAAAATTGCAACTTGCAGTACATCTCGCAATGTGCGAGTGAAAGCGAAGTTTGCCTGTCTCTCGATGCTCAAATGACTTCCCTCTGGATCTTAAGGAGACAAGGAAAACGAAGGAGCAACACGCATCCTCTGATCGTTGTTATCGTTTCGGTTTCGCTCCCGGCTGATTTCGTCTTCGTCGCCGTCGCCTTGATTCTTGTCACTCTGCTCGTTCTCCTTGACCATGCCGTCCTTATCGTCGCACGCGCCACGGCGCTCGCCGTCGCTCTTCTCCTTGCTGGGCCATGGCCCGACTTTTTCGAGCAGCTGTTTGAGCTCCTCCTCGAGCTTCTTGCGTCGCGCGGCCCAAGCGTCGTCCGCATCCTCGATTGCATCGTCCACCGCATCTTCCTGATCGTCCAGCGCGTCTTCCTGCCACGCGAGCAACTTCTTGGGCAGGTAGTACACCTGGTATGTCGAGTGGTGCTCGTTGTGCGCCATCGACCCTGGGCGCGGCAGGGCCGACGAAGTCGAGGCGATTGTGGAGGAGTAAGACTGTGGCTGCGTGATCGCCTCGGGTGGCAGCGAGCTCGGCACATCGGCACTGATGCTAGAGCCTGCGCCCTTGGGTATGTCGTTTGGCAGACAGTGGGCTGTGGCGCGCCGCGGTGGCGAGGAGGTGATCCCACCACCTACTCTTCCCCATCCTGCAGCTCGGACATCGGCTCCTCTTTGACTCCTGCCACCACCGGCGCGGGGACCGGGACCCCTTTTTCCTGAAGAATCTGTCGCAGCCGCTGCTGGGTTCTTAGTCACGAGAAAACTCGCCAGCCGTCGCTTCTGCGCGCGCAGGCTGCGGTGCTCCGCCTCGCCCGCCGCGATGTCCTCGGCGACGCGGAACAGCGCGCGAAGCTGGCTCTTCTCTTCGGACGCGGACCGCATCTGTTCATTCTCGCGTGCCAGCTTGGTGGCCAGACGCGCCTCGAGCGACGCGCGCTGCTTGGCACCCTTGTCGCGCGACGCCGTCTCGGCCTCCGTGCGCGCTTTCGACAGCGTCGACTGCAATAGCGACATCATTCCGAGCGCCCCGCCAGGGCCACGACGACGCTTCTTCTCTGGCGGTGCATGCGCACCGCCGTGTTCGTGCGCGGCGGTAGTGGATGGGCCCACGTCGCCTGCACCCTCTGCATCCGCCGCTGCTGCATCTCGCTCGTCGCGCGGCAACGCAGAGAGGATCAACCTGGGCCGCTTGCGCTCCCTTCTGCGTCTCCCTGCGTCGTCGTCATGCTCGTGCTCCCTTTCTTGTCTGCGGCCATCTTCCTCCCTGGCTTTACTCAGAAGCTCCTTATCACCTTGAGGCTGTACAAAACCATCCCCAGCCGTCTCGGCCTCCCTGTGCTCTTGCCATGTCTCTTCCTGCACACATTCCATTGGTCGTAACGCTTCATCCTGCTGTCGAGCATTTTCCGGTTCGAGCGCCTCGCCTGCTTTTGAATCTGTAGCTTGCTCTCTGTGCGCTTCGTTCTCACCCGCTTGCTCGTTCCGCTTGACGTACGCAGGGATGGATTCTGAATCTGACAGCTTGTCTTTCTCTGAGATCGGTTCCGAAGAAGTATTTTTCACACCGTCCTCCACTCGGGTGATCTGCGCATCTACCTCTTGGTCGCTGTCGCCTGGCGCCTCATCATGATCATCCACTGATGCTTTGGTCGGAGCACCGGTGGCTGGCGCCTTTTCTGACCTCTGCCCATCTGTCTTCTGAGCGCCTTCCTCGACGCCACCTTTGGAGGCTGCAGCGCCCATATCTCTGTCACCGTATTCACCTTCCTTTTGCTTTGGAGCCGCAGAAGACACCAGCCCTGCGACTGCGGCTGGGCCAACTTCGGGGCTGAGCCCAGGTGCCTGCTGCTGCTCGTGCTCCTGTGCTGGCTCTTTAGCCTTTCGGCTATGCGGCGACTGTTTGGGCGGCATGGTGTGCCCGGGACTCCAGCCTCTTCCCTTCTCAGTATTGTTATGAGCTGCCAGCGGTAAATGCACCTGCCCAATCCTGGCTGAATGCTGTTTAACGAAATGGAGCATGTAGGCCTTCCAAAATGAAATCATACGTACGTTTATGATTACCAAAAAGCTTGATTGTCAATTGAGGATAAAGTAGGGTTGCGCCCCTCACGGCCCTGGACTGCAGACGCTGGAGCGCAGTTTCGTTTGACTCTCAACAGTCAAGAGCGTGAACTCATCCCTCAAACAAGCATCCTCTATTGCACAATACGCATCTCTCACAGCATCATCGTGCTAGGAAGGATCGATGCTCCAAGCTGCAAGACGGCCCTCTGCACCCTCGACACCTCGGGCACGGCTTCGAATTTGGCAGCTCAAACGAGGTGTGGCTCTGCTCGTCCCGATGTGGATGCGCCGAGGCGGACGCCTGCAACAATCAAGTGATTAGACTGCCACCTTTGGCACTTTTCACATACGCGAAACTTCCGACAGACCTCCATGGATCCATTTGCCGACATCCTCTCGCGGCCCACCGCTGGAACAGCGCAATCTTCGCGAGCGGCAGTTGCTTTGCAGGATCCATTTGCGAGCTTCAACGGCCCTCAGGACTACTCCTACCCTGCCACAGCTGACCAATCGGGTGGGACTGGGCCACCACAAAGCCATGTCCTGCTAGACGCCGACGACATCGATCTCATTGGTGGCGGCGACGACATGTCCTTTGGCGGAGTGCCAGATGGCGGTGCAGTGTCTTCTTCCAGTCGAGGGAAATCATCGACGCTGCATGCCGCCACGCCGCCTTATCAAAGTGGAGGCGCCGGAATGCTCGGCAGCATCGACAGCGGGTTACCTTTTTCTGGTGGGGGAATGTCCTCTTCCAACTACGCAGATGCGCCGTACGATGACCGAGGGCCCTTTGGTGACGCGTACGAGGCGTCTACGACCGGCAACTTCAAGGCCATCGAGGCAGATGATGAACTCACCCCGTCGGAAGAGTACAACCACAAATCCCTGCCCTACGGGCGCAACTCGTCTGGTGGAGCTCGTGGAAGCGGTGCTGCGCCTGGACTAGGGAGGGACAGCGGCACAGGAGTCGAACGCCGCAGCAAGAAGGAGCAAGAGGGGATTGCCGCATTGCGAGCACGCAAAACCAAGGCTTCCTCCAGGTTCGACGGAGTGAGCAGGAGCTTGCGCGCGATACAAGAGGATTTTAACAGGGCCATGGGTAGGCAATCCAACTTGAAGGTCAAAGAAGGGGAACGTGTCATTCAGGTTAATGACCAGACGGCGAACGATCTGCTGAAGTTTAGCGACAACTATGTCAGCACGAGCAAGTACAACATCATCACCTTTCTTCCCAAGTTTCTGATTGGTGAGTTCCCATCTCAGAGGTCGCACTTGCAAAGCTTGTGTGTGCTCGCATCTCGCTGATGTTCCCATTTGCTTTCCTGGTAATCGACCCTAGAACAATTCTCCAAGTACGCCAACGTGTTCTTCCTCTTCACCGCCTGCATCCAGCAGATCCCCGGCGTATCGCCTACGAATCGGTATACGACCATCATTCCGTTGGCCCTCGTCTTGCTCGCAACCGCTTTTAAGGAGATGAAAGAGGACATGAAACGACACAACTCGGATGCCGAGCTGAATTCGCGTCTGGCGCAAGTGCTCGAACCCGGGACAGGTGGGTTCGACTTGCGCAAATGGCAACACATTCAAGTGGGAGACATTGTGCGTGTCGAGAGCAACGAGTTCTTCCCAGCCGATATGGTCCTGTTGAGCAGCTCCGAACCTGAAGGCCTGTGCTATGTCGAGACGGCAAATCTGGATGGAGAGACCAATCTCAAGATCAAGCAGGCCTCCCCGGATACAAGCCGTCTCACCACGCCTTCCTCCGCGGCGGCGTTGCGTGGCAACTTGACGTCCGAACAGCCGAATAACAGCCTTTACACGTTCGATGCGACGCTAAACATTCAGCTCAGCTCCACTCCCGGCTTCAGTGGTACGCCGATGCGCAAGGTCCCGCTGAGCCCAGAGCAGCTGCTGCTGCGAGGTGCGCAGCTGCGAAATACTCCTTGGGTCTACGGCTTGGTCGTCTTCACCGGGCACGAGACCAAGCTGATGCGCAACGCCACCGCCACCCCGGTCAAGCGCACGGCCGTCGAGAAGGACGTCAACACGCTTATCCTGCTCCTGTTCTGCCTCCTCCTTGCGCTTTCGCTCGCATCGGCCATCGGCGCGATCGTGCGCAACACGGCATTCGCCAACGAGATGCAGTACCTCTTGCTGCAAAACGACAGCAAGTCCAAGGGCCGCGTTTTCATCGAGGATACTCTGACATTTGTCATTGCGTACAACAACCTCATCCCAATCTCACTGATTGTCATGATGGAGATCATCAAGTACCAGCAGGCTATGCTGATCAACTCAGACCTCGACATGTACTACGCACCAACCGACACGCCTGCGCTCTGTCGCACGTCAAGCCTAGTCGAGGAGCTGGGGCAGATCGACTACATTTTCAGCGACAAGACCGGCACGTTGACGCGCAACGAGATGGAGTTTAAACAGGCCAGCATCGGCGGTGTCTCGTACACGGACGTCATCGATGAGAGCAAGCAAGGCACTGGCGAAGTCGGCCCGGACGGCCGCGAAATAGGCGGGCAGCGCACGTGGCACGAGCTCAAGGCGATCATGGACGGCACCTTGCCGGATGATGGCAGCAGTGGCATCATCGACGAATTTCTCACCCTACTCGCCGTCTGCCACACCGTTATTCCCGAACGCAAGGGCAACAAGGTCGTCTTCCAGGCATCCAGTCCGGACGAGGCGGCGCTCGTCGCCGGCGCAGAGTGCATGGGCTACCAGTTCGTCACGCGGAAGCCCCGCTCGGTCTTTGTCAATGTGCGAGGGAGGGAGCTGGAGTACGAGGTCCTCAATGTGTGCGAGTTCAACAGCACGCGCAAACGCATGTCTACTGTCGTGCGAGGCCCCGATGGGAAAATCAAGCTCTACTGCAAAGGCGCGGATACGGTTATTATCTCCAGGCTCTCGGAGAAGCAGTCTTTCACCGACTCGACTGTCGTCCATTTGGAGGTGAGTTTGCTACCGCTTACGTCCCTTCAGCGACGCTGACGTTGGCATACATTGCATGTACCCCATTTCCTTAGGACTACGCGACGGAGGGCCTACGGACTCTCTGTGTTGCAATGCGAGAGATTTCGGAGCAAGAGTATCGTCAATGGTCGCGCATGTACGACCAAGCCGCTGCGCAAATCCAGGGTCGGGGAGAGGCATTAGACCAAGTGGCCGAGGTGATCGAGCAGAACTTGTACCTCCTCGGTGCCACTGCGATCGAGGACAAGCTGCAAGAGGGCGTGCCCGAGACGATCCACACGTTGCAAAATGCTGGCATCAAGATCTGGGTGTTGACCGGTGACAGGCAAGAGACAGCCATCAACATTGGCTTGTCGTGCAAGCTGATCTCCGAGTCGATGACGCTCGTCATTGTCAATGAGGACAATGCGCATGACACGGCCGACTTCTTGAGCAAGCGCCTGCACGCTGTCAAGAGCCAGCGCAGCGCTGGTGAATTCGAGGAGCTCGCGTTGATCATCGATGGCAAGAGCCTGGAATTTGCGCTAGAGAAGGACCTGTCGAAGATGTTCCTCGAGCTCGCCATCATGTGTAAGGCCGTTGTCTGCTGCCGCGTTTCGCCGCTGCAGAAAGCGCTCGTTGTCAAGCTCGTCAAGAAGCACCAGCGTTCCATCTTGCTCGCGATCGGCGACGGTGCCAACGACGTGAGCATGATCCAAGCCGCGCATGTTGGCGTCGGTATCAGCGGCGTCGAAGGTTTGCAAGCTGCGCGCTCAGCCGACGTGGCGATCAGTCAGTTCAGGTACCTGCGTAAGCTACTGCTCGTGCATGGCACTTGGAGCTATACTCGCCTCAGCAAGATGATCCTGTACTCCTTCTACAAGGTAAGCAGTGGAAAAGTGACGTGTGTATTGGAGATGGTGCCTGACTGCTTCTCGGATGCATCGCTGGGTGCGTGCGTGTGCGGCGTTTGTGAAACAGAACATTGTGCTGTACATGACCCAATTCTGGTTCAGCTTCCAGTCGAGCTTCTCCGGCCAAGTCCCGTTCGAGGGGTGGACGCTGTCCTTCTACAATGTGATATTCACTGTTCTGCCGCCACTTGTGATCGGCATCTTTGATCAATATCTAAGCGCCAGGATGCTCGATCGATATCCGCAACTCTATCGACAAACCTTCTTCAGCAAGCGGCGATTCGCAGGCTGGACGCTCAACGCCTTCTACCACTCGTTGCTGTGTTATATCTTCGTCACAACCGCCTTTTGGGGTAGCCCACAGTTGGCTGGCGGCTATAACAGCTATCAGTGGATCTGGGGGACAACCCTTTTTTGCAGCGTACTCGTCACCGTCCTCGGCAAGGCTGCTCTTGTCTCGGATCTGTGGACCAAGTACACCGTCGCGGCTATCCCTGGATCCTTTGTCTTCACCCTCGTATTCCTCATCCTTTACGCCATCATCGCCCCTCTCATTCCTCGTATTCATCTCTCTCTCGAATAGTGAGTACAGTGCCAGAAGCGCAGCTCCGCACTCTACACGTCGATATTAATTGTCACTCGGCACTTTCACTTACAGTCAAGGCATCGTACCTCGCCTGTATGGGTTTTCGCTCTTCTGGTTCTGTTTGATCCTGGTCCCGGTCGTTTGCCTGCTCCGAGAGTAAGTGTCTGGCCAGCCATGATGATCGAAGACGCGCTGTCGCTCATATGCCTTCCCTTGACATGGCAGCTTCTGCTGGAAATATTGGCAACGCACATACCAGCCTAAATCATACCACATTATTCAAGAAGTGCAGAAACACAACCTGCAAGACTACCGACCAGTGAGCCCTCTGCCTGTGCTGTCAAAGTCGAATACACTATCTACAGATTTCTTACATTTCTCCTTCTGGATTCTCGCTTGCAGCGCATGGATCAATTCCAAAAGGCAATCCGCAAAGTTCGCGCTGTGCAGCGCATGCGGCGAACAAGAGGATTCGCGTTCAGTCAGACAGAGGGCGAGGGAGAACAAGCGAAGCTCATCCGGCGGTACGACACGACTGTGCAACGGCCTTCCGGGCTGTAATGAGCATGTTCGATAAAAGATGTGATGGACTACCTCATGCAAAACCGCCATTGCGGCCTTCTGTATCATAGCGTGCCTCTTACACTGATCTACTTAGACCAATTAAGCATATTTTTTGCGATACGAGTACAAAGCGGAGAATCAGGATGTCTTGCGCACACCAGGAGCAGCAAGTTACGCTGGTGTGAGCCGTCGGATGTGCGTTCTCTGCGTAGGCGGCAGTCCGAACATGCACCAAAGCTGCCCAAATCCAGCCGCAAATTGAATGCAGCCACGGGACAGAGATGTCCGTCATGTATGTACCGTGAAAGTGAACTATGGCTGTGCTGCTGACATGGACATCTTCAGGGTGCCGTTGGTGGAAGGCATTCGCAACCAGCAAGAGTGCTGATGGAAGAGGTCTTATATTGAATCGTGGGTCATGTTTCAGTCCATCCCACCCAATGGCATCTGATTCAAGTAGCATTGATTGCAGGGAAAGAGATTGATTGTACCCTGCACCCTGTCGCTCATGTGCGAGGTGTTTGCTACTTTACGCGCCGATAAGGCGGATTGGTGGCTCTCCTTGACGCGATCGTGGCATTGTGGCTCCAACCGAGCTCTTGAAATGTTGCGACAGTGGGTTGCTCACAATAGGCCACAATCCCCAGAGGTGCAGATGCACACAACACAGCAGATAATGGATATCTGCGGGTCGCTTCTCTCGTCTGAGAGTCCGCTATACGCCGGCCGAGAAAGCGGGCGATCGATCTGTGAAGTCAACATGTGTCTCGAGAAACGCATTCAAAATGAAGCGAAGCAGCCTCACGACACTGGTGTACTTAGCCAGAGTGTGTCTCTTCTGTTTCGGTTGTGGCGGCGTCAGGCTTGGTGCCATTCTTGTCCCCCCTTTTTTTGCAGGGTCTCCACAATCCGCATGTGGTGCAGCTTTCGCCATGTGCCGAGAGTTCCGCACGGCTCTAAAAACAAACAGGGACGTCAAAATGATTTTGGTCCTATGATGTCTGAAGGAAGAGTGCCATTGCCTTGATTCGATCAATTTCAGCGCTCCGCCAGCATCTCGCCTTGGCGCTGAATGCCTCAGCTTGACACATGAGCTTGACGATGGACGCGTCGTCGTCGCACTCGCTTCGTTGAACTAGTCATATAGTTCAGTACTTTTATCTACCCAAGTACTCCATTCCTCCGACAGGCGGGTGCTCTGACGAGCTTACGTTAATGTGACATGCTCATACACACTTGGCCGTACTGCTGACACACTTCCACGAGCCAGTGCGCCATCACCTGCAAATGAAGCGCCGAAAGCGGGGCGAGATGTTCAGGTGGCTTCGAGTAGACTGTAGTTAAGCGTGGATACACTTATACAAGCTTCCTTCAACGGGATTGGTACTTTGACTGTTACACCAGCCTAGGATTATGCACAATGATTGCCGTGACAGGCCAGAGGCAGCCGAAAAAAACACCATCTACGATACATGGCACATGAAGAAACGGTCGTGGAGTGGGCCGAAGCGAATCCAAACTTTGCATTTCTTCAGCACTCGGCACGCCGCAGCGACATTGCAAGGGCAGCAAAGCAAGCAAACCAATAACCAACCGTGTCCATGAGATAGAGAATGGATTGCGACATCAGTGTGCTAACTTTGTTCGACTGCTACCGTATACACATGCGTTAAGTTGAAGAGCCATCGCGCAACATGCAATTCCATTGTTCGCCTCAGTCCTGGCCCTCTCCCGTCTTTCGTCGGGTCTTCTTGCTCCTTGGCGTACTATCTGGCAGGAGGGAGCGTCTTCCAACATCGGCAGGACTGCCTTCAGGTCCATCGCCCTTTGCAACGCGTTTCTTGTTCTTTTTTTTCTTATCCTTCAAACTCTCTGAATCTGGGAAGCCGTTGGTTGGAGATATCGTTGGCGAATGTGGTAGTGCTTCGCCATCGACGCCACACAGAGTAGTGGGATCTGCTACAGTTGCAGCTGCTGCCTCGTGCTTTGCGGCCTTCCGAAGTCTTCGTGACTCTTTTCGCTGCCGCTTCTCTTCTCGCGCCAACTTCCTTGCTGCCTTTTCTGCCTTTCGCTGCTCTCTTGCGGCTTTCTTCGCAGCCTTTGCAGATGAGGACTGTTTGTCGGTCGCACCGCTGCGCGGTACAACCTCAAACGCCATTGATGCTGAGCCCTTTGGCTCACTCGACGCTTCCTTGCCCTTTTTTGAAATATCTGAGCCGCCAATGACTTCTCCTCTAATAAAGCCACTCATAAGCTGGCGTCGAGCAACTTCGCGCTTGGCTGTCGCATGCAGCGATAAGCTCTTTTCTGAAGAGATGATTGTAGCCGTTGCAATGCCACTGGAAGGGGCTGTCGATGGTGTAGTTGTAGGGCCGATAGCCAATGTCTTGGCACTTGCCTGAAAAGAAAATAAACAAACTCGTTCAGCAAAAATGCCCTTCATTTCCATTTTACGGCGTCGGTTCGATGCATAGGACACGCACTTCGAAGAGGCAATCCCACCATTCCACTGCTCTATCCCGATTCTTGCCAAGGCCCTTGACATCCCGTTTTTGGGGTAAGGCAAGTGGCTTCTTGAGTCCTTTTCCATTTTTTCCATCGAGCGGCACCCCTGCCCCTTGCCAGCCATGTTGTATAAGGTAGTCTGTCGGGCTGAAGTTGGATCGCGAAGACTTTACAGCCGACGCTGAGGTCAACGCAAGGGCGGAGGTCTCGGCATCAGAAGCAATCTCCCCTTCGAAAGCGATCTTCCGTCGCTTCGCTTGCCGTAGTGCCATTCTATCGGCTACACACAATGCTAAACAGGGTCACACTGAACGCCAAATATGCACAGCCCAAGAAAGGGTGATGATATCATTTGAAGACGGTGAAGCCATTTCGACTGGTAATGAGAATTGGTGAAAATGAGCCAATATGAGAGGGCGCATGTCAGAATCTGGACGCAAACATGGAACTCGGTTCCCGGGAGGCGGAAGCCGCCCAGCATCACACGCCACCAGCGATGCGGACTCGATCGCATCCAAGCTGGCGAGTCGAACAGGCTACACACTGTATACACTCAAAGTCAGGGCAATGTCGGCGATCAGGCGCACTTCTTGCTAGGTCATGTCAAGCGACGCATCGCATCTGAACGGCAGAGCAGTGCAGCGTCCAACCTTGGAAGACTCATGAGGTCCTTCGTGTAGAGGCGTTGACCTCTAAGCGCCTAGGCGCTTCATCGCCCTCCTCCCTCGTTCTTCACCAGTTCACACATATCCCATCCGGCACGCTTGCGCGGTCGCTCTAATCAATCAAGATGCCTCGCAATCAAAGCACAGCAGCCCGCATCGGGTGGGGAGTTGTCAAGTGGCTTCCTTTCTCGATTGTAAGCAGTGTCTTTGGGAATTGCAAGCGAATAATAGCTTTCGACAGCTGAACTCCCCCCCCCAACTTTCTACATTAAGGTCTGCGCCCTCATCCTCTTTACATGGGGAACAATGACGTTCTCGCTAGCCATCTCTTATAACATGGTGCACGTGGGCGCGTGGCTCAAAGGGCTCTTGGAACTCATCATCACGCAGGGCCTGTCAGGCATGACATTTTGGTCGTTCCTTGCTGCGGTCTTCAAAAATCCAGGAACCCCGCTGGGCAGCCAGCGACACGCTGGGTCGAGCTTTGAACGCCGCGATGTGGAAGGGCTAGCAGTATCAGGACAGAATACAAACATGGCCCCCAACGCTAGTAGAAATCGGCCTGAAGCAGCAGCAGGCTCCGAGCCTGTCGACCATGTCCAAGTCAAGGCATGGGAAGAGCCCGATGGTTGCGACGACCGCGATGTGTCCGCTCCTCTCCTACCCAACTCTGGGCCGGTAGGGATATCCAGACTCTTACCAGGGCAGCCGCAGCTACCCGCACGAACCGGTCGCCAGCAGCTTGACGACCTCGTCAGTGGCAGCTCAGTACTTGCTCATGGACGCGTAAAAGCCTCAGGCCTGATGGTCAAGTCTTCGGGTGATGCAAGATGGTGTGCAAAATGCAATGGGCCAAAACCCGATCGTGCACACCATTGCAGCACATGTGGCATCTGTGTACTCCGAATGGACCACCACTGCCCCTGGCTGGCATCATCCTGCGTTGGGCTTCGCAACCACAAAGCATTCTTCCTCTTTCTCTTCTACACGTCGTTATTGTGTGTGTACGCCTTTCAAGAGATGGCGCGTGCACTCGTCCAATTTGTCAACATTGAGCTGGATGGATTCGAGACTTCCCCGATCGTCTGGGCTGCGGTGTTGTTCATCGGCTTCATCTTCGGCGTCGCTGTCATCCCTTTCACGGCCTACCACGCATATCTGATCTGCAAGAACCGCACCACTATCGAGAGCATGGAAGGTTCCGGAAGAATCCGAATACATGCAAGCGACACAATCACATCCAGCCGGCCTCGCCTAGAGAATAGACTGCGAAACCTTGTCCGACGTAGCACGGACAGGGGTCAGGTAAACCGTCCCTCCTTGACGAGGGAGTGGCAGGATGAGCAGTTGCCGGGCTGGAAGAGCGACGAAGTCCTGACGAAAGAGGAGCGGCGGGCTTTGAAACAAGCAGGAAAAGTGAATGTGTACGATATTGGTCCTTCCGAAAATTGGAAGCAAATCATGGGCCGCCGGCCACTGCTTTGGTGGATACCGCTGGGAGAACCGTGAGTGCATCCGCTAGATTTTGGTACAAGTGGGCTCTCGACTGACGGAAACGCTTTCTTGGCTCCAGGGAATCCGATGGCTTCAGCTATACTGTCGATGCGGAAAAATTAGAGAACCTACAGAGGATTACTGCCGATGTTCGGGGCCCTGGCGGCTCGGACTCGCATGGCAGGCCGCCGATGCAGGACAGGGACCCAAGAGATATTGAAGCACAGTCTACAGAAGGCTTTGCACTCTTCGCTCCCGATGATCAATTAAACGATGGAGGAAGGCATGAATGAAGGTTCAATACATTCTTACAGTGGTCGCTGAAGTATCTCATCTGCCTGGTACAACTTTTGGGCCGCATTGACAACGCCTTCGGGTCCCAAAAAGGCCTCCAGCGCATCTTGAAATGCGTGTTGGGCGCGACGCAGCGCTGGTGATGGCAACCCGCCAAACTGGTACAAAGGACTGGGTCGAACCTTTGGCGGACGTTTCCTCGCATGCTCGCTGTGGTCACCGTCAGAAGTTTCATCTTCCTCTAGGTTATCCCGGTCATCGTCTACCTCCCTCAACAGCAGTGCACCATTGCAGTGAATCTGGCAAATTGTTTGCGCTCTGAGACGACCGTCCCACCCGTCATTTCCGATTCTTGAGCCAAACAACCCTCCTTGACTTTTCGCCTTACTAAGGTCGAGGAACCCTGAAGCCAGGTATTTGCTTGCCAGCGCTCTTCGGCCGAGATACTCGTCAACAACATCAAGATGCTTGGAGATGGCGTCGTCTTGGTCACCGCGTTGCTCTCCCAAGTGTCGTAGCAACTGTTGAGGTATTGATGACGTTGCGAATGTGGTCGTCGGACCATGCTGTCCATCTTCAACGCTCACGACGTGGTCACTAAGCAGCGGCGCTAGGTCCAAACTATCACGTTCGTCGTTGATTTGTGGCTCGGTCCGTACCCAAAAGACGGCCTGCAGGCCAAGGGCGGCCTGGGCGGCAAAAACGACGTTGTTGTAGAGCACGAGGGGTCTCGCAAGGCCCAATAGTGTAGCTAAGAAGCTCGCAGCTAGTAGGGAAATCACCAAGCCACGGCGCGCAAAAGAGCCTTGCATAGGGGGTAGGAGAGGGTGCATGCTAGCCAAGAGCTGGACCAACCATAGCAGAGGTAACATGCCCAAAGGATCGTGATCGTCTGTGCTGATTGAAGGGCTCCCCTCAAGCCCATGAAAGACAATCCATCCGTTGAGCATATTGCGCACCCAGACGAAGAGCACAGGAGCCTTAATTGGCAGGCACCAGAACAAGGCCATCAAAAGTAAATGCGATTGTCGCCAGTGACGGATCGTTGCTGAAGCCTGGTTACCGGGCTGCCGTACCCTTGCCTCAGCCAGTGCAGCTGTCCAAAGATGAACCAGGAAAAGAGCCAAGAGGACGGCCTGATGCGGGAGAATGGTGAAAACGAGAAACAAAACAATGATGGAAGGCAGGACATGGTTAATGTCGAGCGCTCGCGTCAAAGTTCCTTTTTTTGGCTGTTTCAAGCCATATTTGCTTGCATGCGGCCGCAAGCACAATGCCAGAACTCGGCGTAGAGTCAAGGCAGTCAGCGATCCCAAGAAGGCAAATGCTGACCCGATCGATGCAATCCAGATGATAACTGAGAATGCTTCAAATGTTGTTAGACCATCAAGGGAAGCCCCCAGGTTGTCCGGCATGTTTCGACCGGAGAACCGCTTAAAGGCTTCAATCACGATCAGCGAAGCTGCCGTGAAGAAAGCAGATGGCAAAATTGCACGTAATGCAGATGCAAGCAAAGCGTCTGAGGACATATAAGCGTTGTACAGTGTCAGCTCAGGAATAAATTGGATTGGGGGTACTCACGGCTAAGTAGCTTACCGGAAGGTGAAAAATGGTCCCCGGCCAAGTAAGCGAACGCCAGACTGACAAATGGAACTACAAATATGGACGAGCGATAGCGTATTACCAGTTGGGCGAGAGATGCCACCCAGTCGATCTGTACTTCGATTGCCTTCCATGGCTGCGGACAATGAGGTTCGCTCCAAGTCGAGATATGCCAGCCGGTGGAGACTTGGCTAGGCGAGGGGATCCATGGCGATCGCCCGATTAAATTGATGGTTATGCGCTTCTGCTGACTCGACATGGATGGCACCCAGACTTGATCCCTTGCTGCGAGACTTTGTATGCGGACCAGAGAGTCGAAGGTGCCGCCCGCCTGGCATGCATTCACGACAAATCTGAGTCGATAGGATATGATGCTGGATTTGAAGTCGGGGAGGATCACGTCTTGAGAGGATAACGAGTTGGTTTGCACCTCTGCGGTCTTGGGTGCGGGAACTGCAAGTGTCGAAAGCAGGCCAGGCTTTCCTGCTACTGTCACCGGCAAAGAAACGATTCCATGGAGAAGCCATGCAGGAGGGTCTAGTGGCAGATCGATCTCTAGTCTAGAGGCATTGTGCGATCGTATTGTCTCGGGGAGAACGCGGACATGGAGCAGACCAGTTTTCTCGTACGACCCATCGGCACTGGGGAAGCGTTCTGTCGGTGGATGTGGCGAGGGTGGGAAGAGAGTCCACGTGCCGTCTGATAGCTCTGTGCAGGGGGTATCTGACGGCTGACAGAGTCGTATAGCAGGGGCTGCATGGGCATTCGTGAGCAAATCAATGCCAGCAGACATAGCGTCGGAGAGATCGATGGTCCGAGTTATCGTTGACGTTGAAGCACCGTCGTGATGCACAGCTTTGATTGCAGCTGGAGTGGCATCTCGGTCGGTGAAAGCAAGCCGGTCTTCAAGCCTCAATGCATGCTGCCAGGTTGCTCGCCGTTGCTGTACAGTTCCAGCAGAATATGCTGGAAGACCGCTCAAAAGGAAGCCACGTGCAATCAGTGAGCGCAATTGATCGCACCACATGATGGCAAGGTGATCAACGCTACACCATAGACCTGGGATCGATGTGGTCAGTGCCGATACCTGCGCTTCTCTGGGCCAGACATCGCTTAGATCTAGCAAGGACGACTCAGACGCCACCTGAGTGTCCAGGTTCCCGCCCGCGATGCTGACAAGCAAGACTTCCTCCCCTGTTCTTGTCTTCTCTGAAGGTTTCTTGTTGATCGTGGAATACACTGACATTACGCCAGCATCAAAAGATAGAGGCGGGTACGCATGTGGAGCTGACAGAGTGACGATCGTCCTGATCGTTCCCGCATGGAAGTTCGGGATTTTGATTGCAAGACGTGCGACGATACCGCCCATAGAATGAGCGAGAATTGGAACCTCGCTGTTGTTGGAGAGATGATAAGTGTTCTGTAGAAAGATGATAGCTTCGTTGACAAATGTCGCCTGTTCAGCCAAAGTTGCACCATGGAAAGCTGAGAATTCCTCATTGAAGTCTACTGTCCACCAATCGATGCCACCTTGGCGCTCGAACCACTCTGGCCGTATTTGAACCTCGGATGGATCCGACTGTTGGCCATAGTCGTGCGCCCAATATTGCTTTGCGGAGCTGCTTGCAACGCTTCGAATTTGGCCATAACTCCCGGCGTTGCCTGGGATGAACAGGGCAGGCTTGCCGTTAGGAGGAAAGGCATCCGGTTTGGGCTCCAAATATCCTTCGCGATACAGAAGCAGGCGATACTTCGAAGAGAGGCCCGACGGTGATGCTAATCGATCTGTGTAGTCGGCGTACGTGGGCCACATATAGCTCATGCGACATTCTTGACGCAGGCCGAGACGTTGGGGCAAGCGCGCGTAGCTGACCACTGTAACCAAAAGTAGAACGATACTCGCAGTGACAATACCGACGTGGAATAGCGGCCTTTCGAACTGTTGCAAGAGCAAGCCGACACTTGGCCTTTGGCCGTCTTTCCTTCGTGTTGGCCTCATGTCTGCAGTCGCGTACAGGGAGCTGTTCCCCAGCTTGAGCTTGGCGTGCGCCGGCCGCGCCGAGACGCTGCGCGGGCGCGGTTCGCGGAGAGCGAACGCTGAGGACTGGGTTTCCCACTTTCCAGAAGAATGCTATCGGGCAATTCCGTCTAGGCAAAAGCGCTTTCCATCGGATAACAACTTGCAAAATGCATGCGTATTGCGATGCGTATTATATATACATATTACGAGTTCCTGATCTTCACCAGGTGCATCATTTGGCCCCATATTCACGGCGTTCAGTTGCACCGATTTGATGGTGAATGGGTCCTGTTGGGCCGTGCGCATATAGTATATGTATATGGCACACGATGCGCGAGACAGGGAGACAGTCTCGCGGCGCTCAGCGTCCGTTCGTCCACCCAATCAATTCATCGATCATTGTCTCCAGTCTCCACCTGGGTGCACACTTATGCAAAACTCCAAACCACCAGGAAAGTCTGTGGATTGATAAATGTTGGCAGACAGGACCACGCCTTCACAGTCACGGCTGCCGTTTCCTGCTTTGCTTGCTCTTTCTCGAAGGTGTGCAAAGGTCAGGAGCGAGTTGTAGTGATCTACAGCGCCTTCCAAGGAGCCCTCATTCGAGCACCCAAGTCAAGCACTGCAGCGAGCGAAAACGAACACACCTCGGCGTCATGTCGAATTATCTCAACAAATTCAAAGACGCCGCGCATAAGGCTGGCGTGCAGGCCACTGCATTCGCGCAGCAAACCTCGCGTCAGCTGAGTGAGCAGGCCAAATTGGCTCAAGCTGGATTCTCGTGAGTCGGGCGATGCCGATTTCAGAACACGAACATGAGGTACCATTGCATCCCGCGATGTGCTAAATGTCAGTCAACCCACTGTGCTTCAACCAGGCTTCCAAAGGAATGCGACAAGGCATCCAAAATCCTCCAAAGCTTCCTCGGTGAGCTTGTTACTTCTAATTGAAGCCTGGGCCTTCCGCTGATCCGAGCGAAACGCTATGTCTTCAGCCGACCCGGAGCACCCTGACTCTGCCCTCAACGCCATTCCCAAAGCGGTGTTGCAACAGGCAAAAGGTGCGTGTCACACGGCTGAGGAAATTTCGTTCAGCAGATCAATCTACACACATTGCTAACCTGTGATGTCTCGATGTCATTCTAGGGCTTGCTGTGTTCAGCGTGATCAAAGCTGTGAGTGCAATTGATCGCTGCATGTTACCAGACGATTGACCAGCTCCCCCCCCGCACGCTACAGGGTTTCATCTGGTCCGGGAAAGCAGGCAGCGGAGTCGTTACCGCAAGACTGCCAGACGGAACATGGTCAGCGCCATCGTGTATCGCCACTGGTGGCGTGGGTTTTGGCTTCCAAGTGAGGCCAGGGTCCTGTCAATCGTCTTTAAGTCCCTATCGCGACTTACTTGTCCATTTCTCACATTCTCGTAGATTGGCGCCGACATTTCTGATTTCGTCGTTGTTATGAACAGCGAAGATGCTGTCCGCTCTTTCGGTATGGCAGGAAACTTGACACTTGGAGGGTCATTGTCCGCTACCGCTGGCCCAATCGGCACGGGTGGCGCGGTGCAAGCAGCAGTCGCGCATCCTGCTCCCATGTTTTCCTATAGCAGGAGCAAAGGTGAGAATTAAGCTGACACTTCAGCGGGCACGCAGCAAGGTTGATAAGCTGACACGCCTGTCGACTCATCTCAAAGGCCTCTTCGCTGGAATCAGTCTCGAAGGTGTCGTCCTTGTGGAAAGAAAAGATGCGAACCGCGAGTTCTACGGCCAAGCCATCCCGGCGAGGGACTTGCTCGCTGGTAAGGTCCCTCCGCCAGAAGCAGCGAGTGCTATGTACGAGGTCATCGAAGCGGTGAGCAGTGTATACCGAGTCCCAGAACGCCAAGGTCGATGCTGAATATGAACGGACCTGCATCGCGGGCAGGCCGAGCAAATCGATGAATCAGGCGTACCGCAGCAGGCATATGTACCGGGAGCCCCCTCTTCAGAAGGTGACTTCAAGATCCGTATCAACTGAACTTGACGGTGGAAATGACTGTGCATTGAATGTTACAACTTGTTGCTTCTTGGTCAGGCTACACTGTCGGCGGTAGTCAACGTGCAAGCGCGCTCAACGGTTCAGAACGTCCCATCTTTGATGCGTGAGCCGGTACTTCAAGAACTAGATAGTGGCCGACTGAGACTGAAGCCTGTTAACTTAACAGAAGCGCCCACACAACGTAATCTCAGGCTAAATGATTCCTTATTTCTCAGCCGTTTCCTTGCTTTCAGCTCCACATGCCTTTGTAATACTCCTACGAGTAATCCGCACACGTCGTTGGGCAGCCACGCCTCGACGAGGTCGGACTTTGGAGGTTGCCTTCTTCCGATTTCCTTTTGAATGATCCATGATAGACGCGCAATGAATCCGTCCATGGATTTTTATTCATATGGTTTCTTGTGATGCCAACTGGTTCACGTTGCTCGTACCAGAGCTACGGGGCGTTTGAACACTTTCTTAGGACCAATAACAACACTTGCATTATTGAGATGAGATATGGCTGCGGAACGCGCGAACTAGAGCCGCGGGAAGAAAACGATTCATGTAGACCAAGTAGAGGGGAGTGAAGAGAGTGGACGCGCTAAAAAGTTGTGCCCCTCCCCCCTCAGGCCATTTACTACTTAATACCTGTACGAGTGGTGATTGCGAATCTTCGCACGCTCTTTGTGATATAATACATCAAGCTCGCTCCTCCCTCCTGCTACACCGAGCTTGCACAGCGGAAACGATACCTCCTGCTCACTGCATCGTTCGGAGCACGTCGTAGCCATGAGCGAGATCGAGCCCAATGGAGCCGCTGTCGGCGCCAAAATGGCTCCAGGTGGAAAGGTCCGCCTGACTTCTTACGTGAGTTCCACTTCTTGCCAAGCTGCAACCATCCACGGACGCCGTGCATGATTGGGATCAATGACGGATGGCTGAACGATGGAAAACTTTTCCTCGTTCTGAAATGGTGTGGGTAGCCTGCTATTGCCAACGCACCGCTTCCGGCAGAGGGAAACGGCACATTCTCAAACCTTCACCTAGCACTCCTCATCTTCGTCACGCCCGCTATTCTCCTGCGCCTCATTCCGTTCATCAATCCTTCTTGGGTGCCATGGTGGCTTTATTTCATTCTGGCCGCTATCACGGGTGTTCCTGTCGCTTGTGGTTACTGGACCGTTATGAGTATCTACGGACCTCGCAAGAACAATAAGGTCGAGCTTCCTGGAAGTGAGTCTGGTGTCAGTGATCACCTACTCAACTCCCTGAAATTTTTTCTTTGGCAGGGCCCATCGAGGATTATATTACCATCAAGGACCCTAAGCTCAAGCAGCAGTACTTCGGCAGCAAGAAGATCCCTATGCAAGTTTTCCACGATGCATACTTTGAAGGCAAGATCGACATCAAAGGTGACATGCTCGACGTTCTGGAGTACCGATGGGACTGGGCCGAAATGCGTTTCACTCTCGAGCTCTTCAAATACGTCATTTTCAAGCTCATTCCGGATGTCTTGATGCACACCGCAAAACAAGACGAGGAGCAAGTCCGTGACCATTACGACCGTACGTATTTTTGAGCAGCGGTGAGCCGTACGCCATAGCTTGTTGACATCAGGTACTTCATCTCTTCTAGGCGGCAACGACTTTTACAGCTGGTTCCTCGGTCCCCAGATGATTTACACCTCTGGAGTCATCTCCGATGCCAACAAGCGCGAGTCCCTTGAAGAACTGCAGGACAACAAGCTGGCGCTTGTCTGCTCGAAGCTCGCCCTTCAACCCACAGACCGAGTCTTGGACATTGGCTGTGGCTGGGGAACGCTCACAGCCTTCGCTGCAAAGAACTTCGGCTGCGATGTCACAGGCGTAACACTTGCCAAGAACCAAACGGCCTTTGGAAATGACAGGATCAAGAACAATGGCATCAGTTCCGACAAGGCGCGCATCCTTTGCCTTGATTACAGAAACATTCCTGTCCAGCCTGGCCACTACAACAAGATTGTCTCTCTTGAAATGGCTGAGCACGTCGGTATTCGTCACTACAGCAAGTTCCTAGGCGATGTCTACAATCTCTTGGATGACGACGGAACATTCGTCTTCCAAGTTGCTGGTCTCCGTCCAAACTGGCAGTGAGTGCGGTATTGAGCGGCTCTGCTACTCGTGCTTGACCATTGACGTTTCAACGCTTGCAGATATTGGGATCTGATCTGGGGTCTGTTCAGTAAGTCATTGTCCTCTAACCTGCCTAGGTTAAACTAGACAGCTGATCATTTACTCCTAATGTCTTACTTCAGTGAACAAATATGTAAGGCTTCCCGCAAACCTAATAAAGGTGTCTAGTCATACTAAGGTATTCGTCTAACTGACCTTGTATTATCCCTTTTTGGCCTCGAAAGGTCTTCCCTGGAGCGGATGGTGCGTCTGTCATATGCCGCTGCTCACAATACAATGTGACTGACAATCCCTCTTTTGCACTTCATAGCCAGCTGCAGTCTTGGTTGGGTAATCAACAAGCTCGAAGCTGCAGGCTTCGAGGTCCGCTCGTGCGACGTCCTCGGCGTGCACTACTCTGCGACCATTGAGCGCTGGCTTCAAAACTGGAAGAGCAATGAAGCTAACGTCAAGTCGAAGTATGGCGACCATTGGTACAGGACCTGGCGTGCGTTTAAGTTTGTGCCAAGTGTTTACTACGCTATGCTGACCATTTTTGTCGCCCTTACAGTGTTCTTCCTTGCTAGCTCTGTAATCATCGCACGTGAAGGTGGCTCCAGCGTCTTCCAGATCACCTGCACCAAGTGAGTTGTGACGTTGCTTCTTATCGATGTCTCGCTCACTGTCCCATTTCTGATATCCAGGAACTTGAATGCCACGCACCGTATCGAAGGCGTTGCGTCGCATGGAAACATTCACCCCAAACCCCAGCGGCCCTTCACCAGTGTCTACCACTAGAGATGGAAGCCTTCGGGAGCTATGACAACGACGATCAAATCCCATTTGCTTGTCCCTTTGCAAAGCGTCGCGACCCTACCTGACCTGATAAGTGGCGAGGCCTCAGGTCATCTTAGCTGGAACTAGGAAGGCCCGCCTTGTAGATTCACCTGCACTTGTGGGTGTCGTGCATTTGCAAGTTGCGAATGTAAATCCCTAGCGTCCTGCCGATTTGCATGGTTCCCGTTATCTCTGCTTCTCTCACGGCGGGCTTCGCGTCGCTACGACACATCGCATCTGGAATCACAGCAAGTGGCGTGTGCTACCATTTGCAGCTTGAGAAGGTTCATGCTTCTTTTGGTTCGCTGTAGATATGCAATCCTCTTCGCCTAGACAAGGTAAACTTCAGGGACGTCCATGTACGAGATATACACTTATTCCAGACGTGAAAGTGTTTACAAGCGTTCTGTTCTACAATCGACTTGAGCGGATCTTATCACACGGCCTGGCCCGCACAAAGTTCTCTTCAGTCTTCCATATTTGTCCTTCGTTGAATATCCTGAAGCGAGATCGCAAGTACTTAGTTGTAATTAACGGACTCATAAGACTTTGCCTTGATGACCACTTCGCCAGGTTTTGGAAGTGTTTTGAGAGAACCGCGAAACCGGCTCTCTCTTTGAAGGTAAAATCCATACCCTTCACCGCGAGTGCAGATCGCCAGTACCGTGGACCAACCCTAGGCACAAATAAAACATGTCTATTAGTATTCTAATGGATAAGGAATAGCCTCTTGAAATGTAGTAGTGCACACTTACCCAGGATAAGCTGAAAGTAAACACCTGCCAAATTTGTTCGCCTTTCAATACTTCAACATTGGCTTCTTAATGGGAACGAGACGTGTACATATCTAAACAAAGTACCTGTTGCAAGTACTTTAGATATTTGACGGACTCTTCATCTCACATCTTAGCTCTCTTCACAGTCACACAAAGTTGTCTAAACTTGCAAACACGGAAGCCTCCAAAAGGTTTAGAAGCCAAAACAGATAGAATGGATATCAATATTGACTATGCAAGAGGACCATGTACGGTGGTCACAGTAGGATGTGCTTGGTGTGACGGGCAGCATTTCATGACTCATTCACTATGAAGAGCATTTTGGAAGCAACGTCGATACAGGTGAAATTATTGTCAAGTGAATGAGTGTGCATACGATACGGAGCGCAAAGGTTTTGTGAGCTAGTGTTCGAGTTAGTGGGCTGAGCTCCCGAAGCACCCTAGATTTGGGGTGGACATTTGAAGACGTTTGACTGATAATCTTCAATGCGGCAGTTCCGTCGAGCAGCCTTGCGTGTGATTCAAGTAATGTATGAATACTGAATCATTAATACGCACTAGAATACATATGCTCTTGTGTGCGATTCAAGGACTGTATGAATACTGAAATATTAAGACGCAAGAGTAGAAGGAGTAAAGTGCATAGTACAAAAAGACACATTGACCAAGTGGCGCATAAACGGCACTGCAGGCCTCACCTCTTCTCTATGGGTCGCGCACTATGTATATTGAAGGAATTAAATGGCCACATGCGACTCCGATGGCCTTTTGCAATGTCAGGCGGTAATTCGGTTCCGTTGCTCGCGTGCGACTCCTCTTGCATTTTCTTCTTATTGTTTCACCTACTCCTGCTACCCTTGGGTATTAATGCTTCGGTATTTACACGGTGCTCTAATCTTGTGCAATTCTGTACTACATAGTAGCTTCTCGAAAGAAACTGATGATAGAGCTCATTCCTTCACAGACAATGGTCTTCCCCTTGTACACCACCTTCACCTCGAGTCCAAAATGGCTATGGTCAATACCATATTGGTCCAGGGTTCTGCCGGAGATTTGCCCCGACGTTAAGCCAAGCCAAAGAAACGACGTGGTTTGAAACGTCTGAGGACCCCAAGGGCCTCGTTATCTATGGTTTTGCTTAGCGTATCGAGAAACATTCGCTCCTCACGCTCATCAACAGCCTGGTAAGAAGTGGTTTCAATTGCCGAATACAAAAAGGACTTGGGTTCCTTTCTTCACATTTTCCACTTGGACGAGCTATGTGCAAATATGTGGGTGGTTTCGCAACAAACTCGACTTTCGACTGTGACTAGATACTTCAAACCTCGTGATGATGCCTCCGCTAGAGATGAGAGCATTGACAATTTGGCAGGACTTTAGACGTCCAGCACTCGCAAAATGAATGCCAATTGAACCTCAATGCTCACGTTTCTATCAGTTCCACGCCTCAGCTATTCACTTCTAACCAATGACTCGCCTCTCAATGTCGAGCAGGCCAAATAGAGGGTCCTGATGAAACTTATCTAACATCGTGAAACGGGGTGGTCCATGTACACTCGCCTGGATGACAGTCGCTCTGGTATTGTCACTCAGCCCAATTGAATCGCTATTGAGCATCACACTCTTCCCTGGGCTTTCGAAGTGCGGAAAGGCCAACTTATCACGAGTATCCAGCTGGATGCCTTTCTGCGCGTTTATGTTCGACGCATGCTTTTAACAAGCCTAGAGAGTAAGCACATCATTGAGATTGCTTGCCGCTCACTCGAAATCGCTGACGAAATGTATACTTGGGCCCTGGGCAAGTGCACAGCGAAAGCGAGAACTCGTAGGTACTCTATCGAGAGCAAGCTCCTCACATTGACGTGGGATCATTAAGCTGCTACAGTCTTAAAAGGTCCCTGTAAGAATGGGAGGCGCTTGCCGCTGAGCGCCACGAGCATATCGAATGGCCTTTGCGTCCTGATGTGCCGTACAAAGAACTTTGCTACGCACTTCCCACTGATTGCAATACGCGCTTCACACCGTCCTTCGTGGCGCTGGATCTTCCCTGCAAGGCCAAGAACGAAAGTGATATATGAAAATGACAGTCATCTGGTCACCTACTTGTGCGCGGGGTAAGAGCCAAACAGCCCGCCAACCCACCACCTACGGGTCGCCAATTTGAGAGCAACGCAGCTCAACTGTACGAGTCCAAGACATTGCTAACTTGTCCCGCATGCATGCAAGACGGCTACCAAGTCCATGACTGAAATGACAAGGGGCTGTAAAGGACGAGTACGAGCAAGCAAGGTCCAAGCAAGAACTTGCTCGCACAGTTCGCATGGCACCTATCCGTGCACCCCTGCCCATGGCTTTAGGGATGACCCGAAGAAATAGTCTGCTTTGTAAAGTAGCCAGCAGGATGGAGCGCATATATTTGCGTGTATGGTTCAGGTCAGAAGACTGCTGCACACTCCTCCAATGCAGCGACCTTAAAAGATCATTTTCGTTTTCCACAGCGGGACCTCCGATACGATAGTAACTGACCGGCGCTTAAGTACTGGTTGCAAGTCCGACGGAAGGAATTCAGTATATGCACCGCATTGGTGACAGAAAACTGCAGATCACTCACTATGGCGGAAGTATGTCAGTGATGGACTTCAAGCCCCAAGGCCAATCAGTACGAGGGGATGAGGCACGCCAACGTTGTTGTCAAACAGTGGAGAGCGTGATTGCCACCAGGTCTATCACGGCAACATCGGACTCAGCCTCCTTCTCTAATGGGTGGACCATATTACAAGATAGCTCCAGCCATAAGTTGCGTATCGACATTGAATGACCTGTAGGCTATCGTTCCACGTATTCCGCATTTGGGATGCTGGAATGCAGATGCCCGAGGTTGGACTGATATTCCATGCCCGAAAGCTTCTCATTGCATCAGCAGCCAAAGTATGCCAGTCGCTTAGCAGCAAGAACAAAGCAACGCTTGGCATATGCACTTAGCGCACAATTTTGCCGGGCTGCTAAGCCGCACTGCTTCGGATGCTACCAACTATGATAACCCTGTGGCAATCCGCCTAGACCTTCCAAGCCACATGTAACATCTGCATCGTGAGCAAAACAACAGCGCAGCCCAGCCACACCTATCAAGTGACTTTTGCCTGCTTAGATACAGTGTCCACTAGTCTCACTGGACCACTGCCTTCCTCCTCCTGCACTTCCATTCAGGTCGTTGTCCATCACTACTACGGCATGGTATGAACAAAACCCATTGCACAGCAAGGATCAGGTCTTCCCATGAATCCAAACCTGCCAGAAAATGGGAGCTGTTGGGCGAGGCGGACAGCTGTCCCACGCGATCCACCGCGATCAAGGCGAATTGTGGATGATCGATTTCAGCATGTGGGCTGTTGGGCAGGAGCATTAGCAGCAGCACAACCTGCGAGCCAGCGGAGCGAAGCATGGCAAAGAACGTCGACGCAGCATAGCCCATGCAACGCCATCGAACATCTTGGACGGTTCGAGCGCAAGCAACAAGCTACAGTAGCTGCACGTGAAAGCCGGCACCTTGTGGATGTATATCAGGCTGCGCACAGCACCCAGAGCTCGTGTAGCGTAGATAACAACAAGAGGTCATAGCATCTCATCTCGTGCGAAACGAGCCATCCCTCCAATAGGCTATG